AAGTAGCAAAAAATTTGAGGTTATGTTTGTAATTTTTAGAGTAAAAATACAGAAAAAGAGTCAATTGTTATTACAAATTATTGATGTTCAAATCTTCATTACAATAAAAAAATTGAAAAAAAACTGGTTTCAAATTTATAGCATTACAAATAAACTTTTAATCAAGATAAATTTAACACAAACATAACCTAAAATTGACAATTCGTTTGCTTCTTCGATACCTTTCTTAGAAGCGCGTCGCATATAGACATTAGATGCGGACATAAAATAAAATTGATAGTTGTTCAATTTTTTATTTGGAAATTTATTTGTTTATTTTTCCAGCTAATTTCAAATAATAATTTTATCATAATTTTTTTGTATTTCATGTTTTAAAAAAATTTGTTTTCACCGATTTTATTCTTCAAAGAAGTAGACACGTACGTATATCATTGTAATTTCCTTTCAGAGGAAAATAGTATTTTTAATATTAACATCAAATTTTTACTATTATAAAAACCCTTATGTATAAAAATCTAATAGTAAAAATGCAATTTAAAAATATTTTTACATGTTCCATTTATTTCGAAATTTAACTATTTATAGAAAAGTGAACAATGCTCTAATAAATAGAGCAACTATTGTTAAATGATTGATTATTCAAATTATTAAAAAGATTTCACTTCTTTAAAAAATGATAATAAAAAAGAGAAAATTTATTTTTGGTATTCCCATGTATGAAGTCAATCTTAATTTCGAATGCACATCAACATTAGGGGCAATGCCATTGCCATAGTGAAATAGTGAAAGTAATGTCATTTACTCACTTTATCACAATCTAAATGTTCCTACATAATTCCAGATAATTCATTTATTATTTGACTCAAATTTTTCAGACGTTTTAGTCTTATTTTTTGAGCCTGTAATTAATTAAGTAACATTAACACTTTTGAAACTTCACATCTTTAAATTAATTAAAAAAAGAAAAGAATAAAATTGGCATTCTTTATATTTTACAAAAAACTTCTAATTTTCAGCACCCTTTTTTCTACTTTTTCTATTTTGAAATTCAACTTGTATTATTACAAAATAAATAATGGAATAAAATTAGTGAATTTTCTAATTTCAAAAACTTTCGCCAAATGAAGAATAATACAGACCAATTTTTAATTTCATAAGAGATGAATTCAAAGTAAAATTAATTTTTTTTCTATAAACAGAGAGAGACTACAAATTTTCTGTTCGAAAAGTGGAAGTGGTTTACAGTCTTTTCAGTGCGATAATTAAAAAAAAAAGTAAAATCTAATTCTTCTGTAGAAAATAGATTAAAATTTCTTTCAATACAATTTAATTCCTTTATAGTTTGATTTCAAAAGATTTATTTTGTAAATTTACTTCAGAAAATTCTAACAATAAAAGTTAACGTGGATAATTTTTTAATAACGTAATATTGATCATCATCACAGATTTGTATCGAGAAAATCGGATTTCAATTCTTTCATTTTTCTTCAAAGAAATTAAACGAAATAGAAATTTATTTTTATTCTAAACATGGAGTACAAAATAAGAGCGAGGATTTCCGTAATTAAATGAAATTAGTTTTTTTAATTCCATTCTATTTCAGTTTTCTCATCGGAAGTACCTAACTTATAAAAAAAACCATTGAAGTGCAAGTTACATTCGCTCACCTATATTATGGTTTCGTTCACAACTATTTAAATTATCTTTTCCGCATTACAAATAGAATAGACAATTTTCTCAATAATAATAATTTTCAGTTTTTAATCATTGCCAAAAATCAAAAAATGATTGAGTTTTAAAATTATTGTAACTAGCTTCAACAATTCTTAATTAATTTTGTTGAACCTTATTCACTTTAAAGTTATTGGGGTCATGGATTATGAATTAATTGTTTATTAATATTATTATTATTATTATTATTATTATTATTATTATTAATTAATTAATTATGGATGAGGAATAAAAATTAAAAAATACAAAATTCTTTTAAACTTGTTACTTTATTGTTAAATTTATTTGTTTATACAACTTGCATATATAATTTCCTTGACTTTTCCTTGATTTCAAGACAAAATTTTGACTTTTTTATAAAGAATATTCTGCGATTTAGTATAAAAATGATTAGATACTCAAAAAAATGTTCTATTACATTTATTTACGAATTTCTTTAACTGTAAAATTATTCGAAAACGACAATAACTGTTTTTAAAAAAAAATATTTAATCATTATTTTTCCACAGGAATTAAGATTTTCAAAACATTCAAATTCAAATCTTTTTGAAATTCAACAATTTATAATCATTAAAGATAATCGAGTGATAAGATCATTATTTTTTACTATAAAAAATATTTTTACTGTAACTTCTTCAAAATTATTTTCATCATTTCAAATCAATTAATATTTTCTAAATTTTTTAACTAAAATTTTTTCTTTAAATCAATTATTTACAATAATTTTTTTAAAAATTCTGAGAATTTTCAAATGTATTTGTTTACAATTCAATTTTACGAAATTTCATCGATTATTCAGAAATTCTTCAATTAAATATATATTTGAAAATAAAAGCTTCAAATAATTTCAATTAAACTTTTTGAAAAAATTAATTCTACAGAATTGTTAGTTAAAAATATGAAAAATTCAGATTTTCAAAGATTTCAATTTAAAAATTTTTCAAAATTCAATTATTTCTAAAAATTCACACTATTATGCTTTTAATATTCAATTATAATCGAAAATTTTAACTGAAATCCATTTTTAAATTAATTTTTATCAGAAAATTCTACTAGAATTCAATTCTTTAAATAAAAAAATAAAGAATTTATATTGAATAATTGAATGTTTCCTAATATTGAATTCTCATAAAATATTATCAACAAACTTTTAAATAATTAAATTCTTTCGACGAATTTTAATAAATTTTTTAAAAATAATTACATTTTTCGTGGCATTTGATTGAAATTATACTAAAAAATAATTGAAATTCTGCGATGAGTTTGATTATTTATGAAAATAATGAAATTATTGCGAAGAAATTTATAAAAAAATTTGTAAATAATAGAATTTATGTGAAATTTTGTTTTTTTATTTATGAAAATAATTAAACGTTTGCGTAGAATTTTATTAAAAATTTTCTTAAATAATTGAATTCTTGTGGAAAATTTTATTAAAATAATAGATATTGTATATAATTGAATTTAGGAAAATTTTTGCAAATAATTGAAATTTTGCCAAGAATTTTATTAAAATTTTTGAAAATTATTGAATTTCTGCGAAGAATTTTATTATTTTTTTCAAATAATTGAATTTTTGCAATTATTTTGAAACTTCTCCAAAATTAAAATTTTTTTTATTGTTTTTAACAAAAATTCCTCGATAAATTTATTATTTTTAATAATTACTTAAAAATTAATTGAAAAAATTATTGTCAAAATTTCAATTATGTTTTATAAATATTAAAATTTTTCTCCGAAATTCAATTATTTTCAAACAATTTAATGAAATTTTTTTTAACAAATTAAATTATTTTTTCAAAAATTCTCCTCTATTCAATGATTTTCAATATCTACTATTTTAATCAAATTTTCCAAAAGAAAAGAATTATTTTAAACATTATTTGATAAAATTCTAAGCAAACTTTTTATTATTTTTATAAATAACAAATATTTTACAGCAATTCAATTATTTACAAATTTTTTATAAATTTCTTTGCAATAATTCCATTATTTTCAGAAAATATTCAATTTATTTTCACAGAGATTCAATTATTTTTATAAACATTAAAGAACTTTTTCAAAAATTATTAAAAATAATAAATTTATGGAAGATGTTTAGTTCAAACTCGAAAAAAATTCAATTTTGTAAAAGTTAGAAATTATTGCAAAAATTCAATTATTTTGAAGAGTAATAATATTCTTCCCAAAAATTAAATATTGTTCAAAAGTAATAAAATTTTTCTTAGGAATTCAATTATTTTCACTAATAATAAAACTCATTGCTGAATTTCAATTATTTTTAATACAATTTTAATCGAATTTCTCGAAAAATGTAATTATTCTTAAAAATTTTATTAAAATTCGTTGATAGAATTCAATTATTTGAAAATTTGTTGATAACGATTCTTTATGGGACTTGAATTTTAAGAAACATTAAATTATTCAATAAATTACTTATTTTTGTATTTAAATAATTGAATTGTCGTAGAATTTTCTAATTATAATTGATTCAAATATGAATTTCAGTTAAAATTCTAGATAATTAAATTTTGATCTTTGAATGTTTGAATTTTTCATACTTTTAACTGAAACTTGTGTAGATTTAATTTTTTTTGAAAAAGTTCAATTGAATTTTTTTAAGTTATTTAAAGTTTTTATTTTCTAATATTTGATTGAAGAATTTCTGAATAATCGATGAAATTTCGTAAAATTGAATTGTAAACAAAAGGATTTGAAAATGTTGAAAGAAATGTTTTAAAAATTATTAATAATAATTAATAATAATTAATTTAAAGAAGAATTTTAGATAACAATTTTGAAAAACAATAATTGAATTAAAATGATGAAAGTAATTTTGAATAAGTTACAGTAACAATATTCTTATAATATAAAATAATGATTTTATAAGTCGGGCATTTTTAATTATTATAAAAGATGAAGATATCGATTGCTCCGAGTCGAAGACTCGGAGTTATCGATATTTTCATGTTTTATAAAAATTTTTTATAAGATGTTTAATTTCAAAATGGCTTGAATTAAAAATTTTGTTAAATATAAATGTAGTTTTAAAAACCTGGAAAAATTCCGTTTTTTAACCTGGAAAACCTGGAAAAGTCAGGGAATTTGAAATAAACAAAAACGTGACAACCCTGTTGTTGCAATATTATAATTGGGGAAAACTTGAAAGACCCACGATCAATATTGATAGTTATATGAAATTTCACCAAGCTGCCAAGAATTGACTGTTTTATACAACACAGTTTTAATTAACAAATTCTTTATTTCAGGGCTATGCAGATATCTCAGGGCATAATTTTTGGTCTGTTATTATTGGTCAGTGCCAGAGCGGCCATAGTTCCTCCGCCTTGGGCAAATCCATCTAATAATCCTTGTGCAGCACAGCCAAGAGGTTGGCAACTTCTCTTTTGGCCATTAGATGGAAAATGCTACACAATATTTCAGGCAAGAAAATGTGACTGAGTTGTTGAATAGAGTTAAGATGTTTTTTAAAAATCCTCATCATGGGGAAAGGAATTATGAAAACTGTAATTATTATTGGTGGAAGCTTATTCGAATTTTTCGTAATATTTTTAGATTGGAGCACCATGCCCGAAAACAATGGAGTTAGGACCTTCTGCTGAAGGAGGAGGAACCATAGCGGAATGCAGATGCCCGCCAGGAACTGCTCAATCAGCCAGAGATAAGCTCTGTCATCCAATTTTCACTAGAGCTTCTTGTCCCGCTGGTCAATTTTTCGCTCCAGTACCAGAAACTAAGTAATTATGGTAGAATTACTAATTTCTTACTCGTATAAAGATATCTGTCAAAAAATTTTTATAAGTTACCAGAAATTTAATTTAACTGCAGCATAATTGTTAAGTGCTGACTGTTGTATGCGGTTTAATGAATTTAATAATTTTACTCGTGTTTCATTTACAGAATTAGGGTTTCATCCCCATTACTTCCGCAGAGCATCAGAAACTGACAAAGCATTTCTAGAATTTAACTTTGTCAACTTCGGAATTTAAAACTGAACTAAGAGAATGCACTCTTCAAAAACCTGTTAAATTCCTAAGTTGACAATCTTTTGAAAATCAATTTCTGCTGCTTGATGAGCCTAGTAATACTTTCAACTTCGTTTTAGTTTTCTTTCTATTCCTCTAATAAAGGATTCGTTTACAAGCAAATTACTTATTTATTTTCTTGAAATATATTTAGTTCAAGGAAAAGATGGGGCGTCTGCCGAGAGCCAGAGACCTGTTCAGAAAAAGGTAACATCTACTGGCCCAAAGATGAAACATGTTATACAAAATTGACAAGGGGACCATGTCCAAAGGGAGAACTTTTGGTAATTGGTCAAGATGGTCTGGCTGTCTGTTCATGTTCACAGCAAGGTGAATTAAGTAGATTTTACTGGCCAGCCGAAAGAGGAGGATGTTTCGAACACTATACTCAGGGGCCTTGCTCTGAACCAGGTGAACTATTTTTACCTGGAGGTCATTGCGGATGTCATTCTAATCTACCTCATTATCATGCACCAACAAAAATGTGTTATCCGTTAGGTGTGTTTTTCTTATTAACTTATTCGCAACATTATAAACAAATTGATGATGTGGATAAATGAAACTGGGTCGTAAACCAAAAGTGTACTAATTTACAAACTTTTCCCCTTTAATTCTATTCATAATTTTAGGCACAATAGGACCGTGTAAGATTGGTCAACACTTTGTCGTCGATCAGAAAATTGAAACTGAAATTTATGATAAACCTCTTCAAGCTACATGTCATTGTAAGCCAGGTCATGTACCTTATAAGAATGGATTTTGCTACAGGGAATATACTCGAGGACCATGCCAAAGTGGAGATATGTTAGTGAATTCGACAACGTGTGTCCCCCTACCTTGTAGGTAAGCTATTCCAAAAATTTTAGTACGTACTTATTTCGAGATTTAATTTCTTTACTTGTCGACCGCTATTTCTTAAGGGGTTTCATCCAGTCAAGCCGAAAAAAGTCGATATTTTGTTTAAAAACTGTTTTCTCTTTCCCCGATATTCTCATGATATGCAAATAAAATTACTGTAAATTTATCAATTTTTAATTTTCCTAATTACAGACGTGGGAGACTTTATTTTCCCCAGGAAAAGACGTGCTACAAAATAGGATCAAGAGGACCGTGTCCAAGTGAGCAAATCGTACTTTATGATTACAGTACAAGACCATCCATTGATGGGATAAGTTACCGAGGTGTTTGTGGTTGTACCAATGATCTCAAAAACACTGGGAAATGCTCAGAGGATACGACATTAAATTGTGAAGATTTCCCCGGCACAGCACTTCTTAATAATACTTGCTACAAACTTTATACTCAGGGTCCTTGCACCGAAGGCGAATGGCTTGTTGCTCAACGAATTCCAAAAGGTGATTTTTGGCAAAAGGATAAAATTCCCAAAGCGAGATGTGAGTGTCAACCCGGATATACAAGAATCAGTGAAAATGAAACCACTGATGTTGAAAACAATAATCTTATTTCTCCAGGTGGTTGCCAACCACCTGCAGTTAGTCTTGCTAGATTTTTAAATGCCCGAGTGAGATCTATTGGATTTTAATAAATAAGAAAAGAAATTATAATAGTTGTGGAATATCAATGGAGAATTCACAATAATACTCAGATATATATAATTTTAAATGAGGATACAAAATTTGATATTCCACTACTATAAAATAAAATCGTGCCAAATGTTCAAACGTTACGGACTGAATTTGCATCAGTAATTTCTCCGACACTTTAGTAGGTATTTTTTATGTTTTAATACACCTACTGATTAAGTAAAATTCACTAAAAATCATTTAAATTAAGAACTGTTGATTTCAGTAATTGGTCCTAAATATTTTATTTCCTAATAATAAAAATTCAATGTAACTTACCTTTTCTTGACAAGCTAGAATATTTTACAGTTCAATATAGCCTATAATTTTTTTTTTAAATCCAAGTCTAAAGCGTATTTTTCTACTTCGACTGATTATACTTAATAAAAATTTTAATAGCAGAAAAATTAAGAATTTTTAAACAAAACCTTAAGATTCTAAAAATAAATTTTCATAAAATACTTAGGCAAATTGAGAAAAAAATATTTGTATATTATTGTAAATAGCATCGGACGCATTTCACATTTATTTTGTGAAAAGAGATTAATTTTTACATTATGTCTTGTATATATTAATGTAAAAGATGTCGAGAAAAAATTAAATAGTTTTGAAATCTATGCCAATTGACTATGACTTTTTTAATTCAAAACTTTTGCTTGTTTCCCTTCTCACTTATCATTTTTAACGCTAGTTTGATAACTCAAAAAAAAAATTCATAAATGTAGAAAACGCATTTTTCAGTTAATTAAATGAAGAAATAATAAAATTTTAAAAACTAAGATAACCAAAAAAAAATATAAATGATTTAGTAACTTACTGATTTTTGTGCTGTAAATCACGAAGTTGTTGCTCTGCATTTAGCATCTGTTGCTCTTTGGATTGTAACTCCCGTTCTAAAGAAGCAATTTTTTCCGTCTTCTCATCAAGTACCATCTGTAACGGTAAAAGTTAACTATTGTAAAAATTTGTCAAAAGTAACGAATATTTAAATAAGTTTTCAAGATCTTTAAATTTTTATTTGATTTTTATTTCGAAAGGGAAATTCGGTCACAATTTAAAATAACAAATCGCGGCCACCTAAGGGTATGTATTTAAAATTGTTAAAAAGTGTTTTACGTTATTGATTGTAATTTATCAATTTTTAATTCACCTTATCATACAAGTGTTTCATTGAAGCAAATAAAGAAAAACTGATTTGGTAATTTCGAAATATTTACCAAATTCTATAAATTACTTTGAGTTCTTTTAAATTTAGAGAAAGTATTGAATAAAGTTGAAAAATTGTACAAAGTGTCTATAGGTAAAAAAAGATGTAATCAATCAGAAATCTTACTAGTAACTGGTCTTTCTCGTGATCTATTTGTGCCATGCTGGTGTGCAAAGTATTAATTTCTTGCTTCAAGTCCTTGACTTGATTGGTAAGATCGATTTGTTGCTGTTCCATATTTCGATTGCGATCAATAGCCTTTGTTAGTTCAGTCTCTGATTGCGAGAGTTGACCCTGCACATCACCGAGGGCTTGATCCGTTTGATCTTGCAACGCTCTGCGTGTCAGAAGACAAAAATTTTCATATTCATCAGATTAGATCTTCATTGAAAATAATAGAAGATACAACTAGTATTTCATCACTTAGAAACTAAGGATACAACACTTTTTAGGGTCAACCACATTTATCAACGGTATGTTCCTAAATTGCAAACCTATCATCTTTTAAGTTCAATTTAAACTTTAAATCAAATCTTTAATCTTTAAATATGTAATTTAATTACATCTTCGATTTTTGGCTATACGTTTTCAGCATTTAGAACTTCTGTGTTTATGTAGGTACTCCAAATTAGTAAATACAAAGTAGATATTAAAACAAACCTTAATTGGAAATATTGTGTTCTCTGTTCCGCCAACTCCTGTTTAGTTCTTTTGAGTTCTTCCCTGAAGTCTTCGAGCTGATCCTCGAGACCATTTATTGTAGAGCGTTTGGTACCCTGTGATGTTATAAGTTCTTGTCTTTCACATTCAATATATTTTAATCGTTTCTCAACATCGTGAAGATTTTCCCTTAACCTTTGTTGCACAGAGGAATGCGACTCTGTTGCCATCTAAGCCCATAAAATTCACAAACACAAAGTTCCACCAGACTCGAAATATTTATTTATTATGCATGTTATCAATTTTACATTTGTTAATGAAAGTGAGGCACTAAATTTTAATGTGATTGTGAGTTGATCTTAAATATAAATTTAATGTGTAATGGCATCCATTAAGGTAAATGTCCTAATTTATGAATTCTTGTTGGACTTATCCCAATCAGTTAAAAACTAAACAACAGTGTTTGAATATCAAAGCAACAAGCAGTTATTTTTATTTTAGAAATTAGTTAAAACTTTACCTTCAATCGTTCGCGTAAAGCATCACGCTCTTCGACTAGACGTTCAACATCTCCTTTAGCCAAATCTCTTTCACGTTGTAATCGTTCCAGCGTCACCTAAACAATGTAAAAATGATTTACAGTGATAATAAGTACAGAAGTCTTTCTTTTATCATTACTTTTTGATAAATAAACTACTGGAAGGTTGTTTTTCATCGCGGTGTTGTTTTTAGCAGAACACCCCAATGAGATTAAATAAAAATAATTTAACTATATTTTCTTACGCTTTCATTTCTGGATTCTTTACTGCACTTGTCTCGACATTTATTGTATTCCTCTCTAAAGTAATCACGTTCTGCTTCTAAATTAATTAATTTATTCTGTAACTAAAAATTTATTGTCAATTTACATTCAGCTTTACTTTACCTAAATTTACATTTAAGTTTCATTTTATATTTATGTATAGATAATTTTGTATTACTTCTATCAATATAATCTATAAATTACAAAACTTACACTAACAATACTAGACTCCTTTTCATAAAGAATCCTTTGCACATCATTAGAAATTTCCCTATTTCTGCTTTTTACAATTTCCTCCCCCTGATTGAAAATATATTCTTTCGATTTTTCATTTCTTGTTGCTGAAAATAATTATAGATTCAAATTAGAAAAATTAAGATTTAAGCTCTTGAGAGCATAATAAATTTTTTTCTATCCACTATTCTGTACCAAGGTATTGCGATTTTTTCTGGTGCAAACTAGTGTTTATATTACCAAATAAAAAAATTTTCGGCAAAAGATTATTAACATGTTCTCTAATATACAATCTTGAAAAAAATAATAAATACCCATAGCAGTGAGTTGATTAATCCGATCTGTTAAATTCTTTTTCTCCTCTAAAGTGAATTCGAGTGTCTGTTGAATATCTAATTTTTCAAGACGACTAGCGCCTAAATCACTTTTCAATTCTTGTACCTTTCGTCTTTCTTCTGCTAATTCACATTCCAGTGCATGGACTTGAGTCATAACTTCGTTTAAACGTTCCTGTTAGAATAATTTCCAAACCAAAAAAAATCGTTCGGTAATGAAAAAGTTTAACTTGACTAATAGATATATTAGGTTATAAAATACTTTTGGATGTTTACCTGCAATCTACAAACTCTTCGGTTATTTTCTTTAACTGCTGTATTGCAATCAGCTTCAACAGACAATGCAATGTGATCAATGTCTCTTAATTCTTTTTCTAATTCTTCATTTCTTTCGGCTAACTTTAGCGCCTGAGACATTGCTTCATGTTGTTTATTTAATGCTTCTAAAAATTATTATAAAAATAGAATTCAAACTGAATATAAGTACTAAAAGTAAAGGTGTACAAAGTTTAAGTAAGTAGAAGTAGAAGTAGAATATCTTCAAAAATTATTGTGTATGTCAAACCTTTCAGTTGATATTCTAAATCTGTTTTAGCCTTCAATATAATTTTTAAATCACAATTTTCAATTTCACGGCACTCTTGTGAATTGTGTGTTTTTTCAAATTTATTACAGGAGCATTCCTTGGCAACTGCGTTATAGGGACGGCCGCCTTCGAGCATTCTCCTCAAGCGTGATATTTCTTTTTCTTTTAACGCCAGCTATTAAACGATACTATTTAATAGAATATCATAGTAATACTATAAAGGATTGTATAAAAGTTTATTTTAGGTATTTAGGTCATCAATCCTCGGCAAAAGTTGCATGCTTAGATCAAATTTTCAGTATTAAAAACAACGAACACGGAGCATTTATTTTTAAAATAGTTAATGAATTAAAAATCATTATGCATAAAATTAGAGAAATAAATTTTACATAAAGAAATATGTATGTAATTATAAATACATTGTTAATCATCAAGTAGTAAAATAACCATTCCAGTGTCTACAAGTTTCAAACTAGTTTTACATAATAGATATTCCAAAAGAGAGTCAAATACTGGAAGTATAGGAAACAATCAATAAAATCAGTAACTATTAACATTTATAATAAAAAATTTTTGTCAAATAAACCGACTTTAATGCTACAGAAAAAATAAATTTTGAAACTTTTGTATCCCAATAGTGAATAACTCCAGATCTTAAAACAACACATGCAGCATTGATTTTAAATGGTCTATGTGCCCTTTTAAGATTCGAAGCCTCAATTTATGTTACGAATCTCACCTTAAAGTATTATGACAAATAAGCAAATATGTCAATAAAAAATAAAGTATGTGCCTACACCAAGAAATAAGAAAGACGAAAGTATTTCATGCACCTTCAATTTTCAACCAAAGAGAAGAAGAATCCAAAACAGCATGCCAGTGTGAAATTGAACATTTTCATTTTCATACCTGAATATCTAAAGTGTTTATGTTGTCCGTCTGCAGTGTAAGTTTTTCTTTTAATTGGGTTACCTCGTAATTAAGACAATTCATCCTAAGATCCGCCATTGCAACAAAATCCACCACGAAAGGTTCAACTTGTCTGGCACTTTGTAAAGAAATTGTACTACTTTTTGTTTTTGGTAAAGTTTCACATTCCAAAAGAGGTCTACGGAGAGGATAGCATGTTCGTTTTTTCGCAGCTATTAGAAAGAATAGAAGGAATAGACGAACATTTTTGAAAATTAAAATTATTTGATATTTATAATTAGTTGTAGATAGAGGAGAGTGGATAAAAATCACCAATTCGAATTTAAACACTTCACTGTGTATGCTACCTCAAGGCTCGCTTGAAGCTAAAAACTTGTCTTAAACTTAAGACTGGACATGAAATAAGGCTCGCTTGAGGCTCAAGGCTCACTTAAAACTAAGAACTCGTCTAAGGCGTAAGACAGAACTAAGGCATAAGGCTCGCTTAAGACTCAAGGCTCACTTTAGGCTCAATGCTTGTTTGAAGATAAAAACTCGTTTAAAACTTTAAACTGAACTTAGACATATGGTTCGCTTGAGGCTCAAGGCTCACTTAAAGCTCAAGGCTTGTTTGAAGCTAAATATTCGTCTAAGACTTAAGACTGAACTAAGACTTTTAAGGCTCAAGGCATGTTTAAAGCCAGAAACTCATCTAAGAATATAAATTGAACTAAGGCATAAGGCTCACTTTAGGCTCAACGCTTGTTTGAAGCTAAAAACTCGTTTAAGACTTGAAATAAGACATAAGGCTCGCTTAAGGCTCAAAGCTCACTTTAGGCTCAATGCTTGTTTGAAGATCAAAACTCGTTTAAAACTTTAAACTGAACTTAGACATAAGGTTCGCTTGAGGCTCAAGGCTCACCTAAAGCTCAAGGCTTGTTTGAAGCTAAAAATTCGTTTAAGGCGTAATACTGAACTAAGGCATAAGATTCGCTTAAGGCTCAATGTTTGTTTGAATCTAAAAACTCGTTTAAACTTTAAACTGAACTTAGACTTAAGGCTCAAGGCTCACTTAAAGCTTAAGCCTTGTTTGAAGCTAAAAATTCGTTTAAGACTTAAGGCTCAAGGCTTGTTTGAAGCTAAAAATTCGTTTAAGGCGTAAGACTGAACTAAGGCATAAGACTCGCTTAAGGCTCAATGTTTGTTTGAAGCTAAAAATTCGTTTAAGACTTAAGACTGAACTAAGACTTTTAAGGCTCAAGGCTTGTTTGAAGCCAGAAACTCATCTTGGACTTTAAACTGAACTAAGACATAAGGCTCACTTTATGCTAAATGCTTGTTTGAAGCTAAAAACTCGTCTAAGGCATAAGACTGAACTAAGGCATAAGGCTCGCTTGAGGCTCAAGGCTCACTTAAAGCTCAAGGCTTGTTTGAAGCTAAAAATTCATTTAAGGCGTAAAACTGAACTATGACATAAGGCTCTCTTAAGGCTCAAGGCTCACTTTATGCTCAATGCTTGTTTGAAGCTAAAAACACGTTTAAGACTTTAAACTGAACTTGGACATAAGGCTCGCTTAATTTTCAATGCTTTTTTGAAGATAAAAATTCGTTAAAGGCGTAAAACTGAACTAAGGCATAAGGCTGGCTTAAGGCACACTTTAGGCTCAATGCCTGTTTGAATATAAGAACTCGTTTAAGACTTTAAACTGAACTTAGACATGAGGCTCGGATGAGGCTCAAGGCTCACTTAAAGCTCAAGGCTTGTTTAAAGCTAGAAATTCATCTAGGACTTTAAACTGAACTAAGGCTCTCTTAAGGCTCAAGGCTCACTTTAAGCTTAAGGCTTGTTTGAAGCTAAAAACTCGTCTAAGACTTAAGACTGAAGTATGATTTTTAAGACTCGCTTCAGTCGCAAGGCTTTTAAGGCTCAAGAGTTATTTTAACCGAAAAGCTCTTTTAAGATTTAAGATTTATCTAAGATGTAAAACTCGTTCAAAGCTTGTTTGCAATTTTAACTTTGCCTATGATCTTACATTGCCCTAAAACATTGCTTCAGATTTTAAACTAAAATTGGTGATTTTGATCCACTCTACCTTAATTTGTGATAAAACTAAAATTACCAAGAGAAACGTTGCTCACAACAGGTTTGCAACACTTTCCTTGTAGTTCCAAAATTTTTTTCGATTTATTAGCAGATTCTCCTTCGAGTTCTTTGATTCTTTGAAGATTCCGTGATGATGAAAGTTGTAAATCACCGTGCTCCGCTTCCACTCTTCTTAAACGTTTTTTTAATTCAAACAATTCTTTTTGATGAGATTCTTTTTCTCGCATCAATTCTACGTTTAATTCATTATTTTCCTGCACTAATCGCGCATTGTCACATTTATATGGATTCACAGACAACTGCAGTTGACTACAAGACTATTAAATAAATAAATTTAGATATTTTATTATATATAATGACATAAGTAGAAATTTATTTAAAACTTTATTCTATAAAATTTTAATTCAAATATGCGTTTATATTTTTTATGGTTTTCGTGTCATGTCGTGTCATTATTTTCAAGAATTTTTAACTAAAATTTTTCTTTAAATCTAAATTTAAATTGAAAATTATTTATAATTTTTGAAAAATTAAAATTATTTAAAGATTTGAAAAATTTTTGAAAATTATTATTATAATAATTTTTAAAAAAGTTTTTTAATAATTTTTAAATCCATTTGTTTACAATTCAAGTTTACACGAAATTTCGTTTATTCGAAAATTCTTCAATTAATTATATACAAGAAAATAAAAATATGAAATAATAATAATTGAATAATTGAATTTTTCTCAAAATTGAATTCTCATAAAGAATTTTGCCAATTTATTTTTAAATCATTAAATTCTTTTGACGAATTTTAATAAAATTTTTAAGAATTATTAGGTTTTCGAGGAATTCGATTAAAATTAAAATAAAAATAATTGAATTTCTGAAAATAATTTTATTATTTACGAAAGTAATTGAATCTCTGTAAAAAAAATTGTATAGTTTATGAAAATAATGGAATTATTACGAAGAAATTTATAACAAATTTGTAAATTATTGAATTCCTGTGATATTTTTATTGTTTATACAAATAATTAAATGTTTTCGTAGAATTTTATCAAAATTTGTTTGAAATAATTGAATTTTTTTGGAAAATTTTATTAAAATAGTAGATATTAAAAATCATTGAATTAAGGGAAATTTTTGAAAATAATTGAAATTTCGCCAAGAAATTTAATTAAAATTTTTTGAAAATTATTAGAAATTATTGTCCGAAATAGAAAAATTTTGAAGGTTTTGTATTAGAATTCGTGATAAAATTTCATAGTTTATGAGAAAAACAAAAAAAAACACAAAAATTCAAAATTTTCTTATGAATTCTAAAAATTTAATTTTTTCCTGTACTTTTAATGAAAATCCCTGACTTTTCCCTGAACAATTCTACTTTTCCTGATTTTAATTAAATAAAATTAAAAAATTTTTAATTAAATTTTTTAATAAAATTACTTTCTTCAGAAATAAATAATTTTTTTTAAACAGAAAAAACATTTAATTTAAAGCAATATAGATTTTTTATATTTTCCAAATCACGTAAAACCTTGAAGGATATCAGTAAACATAAAATTGGAATAAAAATTGTTATCACAAAAAACAAAAGATAGGATTTTACATTTTTAAAAAAAAAATTCACGTTCTTTTGAAAATTGTATTCTTTTTTAGGTTTTTACAATTTTTTATGTATTTAAAATTAGAAAATTTCGAAAATTATTATCTCAATGTTTCGATAGTTTCCGTCTATTTTAATAGATAAACTTATGTTAATTAATAAACTTATAATACACTTATGTTATTAATTAGTTTTTCCAGTATTTTTTAAAAATTTTTATTTTTATTTTTAATTACTTTTATTCTTTTATATTCTATTTTTATTTTTACGTACTTTTTATTATTCATACAATTTTTTCTTTTGTTAAATTCTTTGTTTCAGCTTTTTACACGTATTCAACAAGTCCTAAAAAAACCTAAAAATCATTAAATTGTAATGGAATTTCATTTTGGTTTATAAAATCATGGAAAATATTTTAATATCTTAATATTCTGTTTTTACCAAAAATGTAATGGTTTTTTTCTAAATTATATAAAAATATTAATTTATCAATAATAATCATACTAAAAAAAAAATGTTCTATCACAATTATTTACGAATTTCTTTAATTGTAAAATAATTAATTTTATTACAAACAATTAAATTTTTGCAAAGAATTTTACTATATATAAAAATAATTGAATTGTTTTGAAGGATTTATTAAAATTTTAGAAAATAATTTAATTCTTTTGAAAAATTATATAACCAATTAAGAAAAAAATTGAATTTTTTTTTTTTTTGAAAATAATTGAATTGTTTAGATGGATTTATTAAACTTTTAGAAAATAATTGAATTTTTTCGTGAAATTTTATTAAAATTTTGTTAAAAATAATTGAATTTTTCCGAAGAATATTATTATTTATAAAAATAATTGAATTTTTAATTAAATTAAATTTTTTTTTATTTTTTTTTTAATTTAATTTTTTTTTAAATATAAACAATAATAATTAATTATGTAGTTAATAAGTGAATTTTTTAAATTTTGATTATAAAATTATTCAAAAATTCATGTTTGAAAATAGAAAATTTTTTAATTTGCATAATAATAATAAATAAAATAATCACGTTCTGCTTAATTAAACTTAATGCTATAATAATAATTCTTTAATTAATTAAGTAAAATAATACGTTAATTTTGAAAAATTAAAGAAATGATTGATAATATAGAAATTTAATTATTTTAAAAATATCTATTTAACGAATAAAATTTTCGGAATAAAAATTAATTATAAATAAATATTTTCATAAAATTTTAAATTCTGCAAAGTAAAGAATGTTGATCGAAAAAAGTCAGCAGAAAATAATTATAAAGATTAGAAATATCCAAGAAATATAGCAAAAGTTATAAAGTTTAGAATTTAATAACTTTAGCATTTTATTATTATGATACAAAATATCTTATCAATTTGTTATTTTCTTTTCCTTCAAGCTCCACTAAAATTATTATTGAAAATACATTTTTCTCTTCAATAATTCAATAAATGACAAATATTTTTACTACAACCATAAGAAGGTTATTGAAAAAAAGATTATTGAAAGAGACTAATATTTTTAAACTTTACATTCCACTTTTCAGTATAGTACCAACCGCTAAATTGTTAAGTTAATTTTCAGAGTTTTATTAAAAACTATTGGATAAAAACAGTGAGAGAAATATGTTGAAGTTAAATATTATTCTATTTCTTGTAATTTTTTCAACGTTGCCGAATCTCAATAGATCAGAATGTTGCGATCCAAAGAAAGTTACAATGAAAATATCGATCTTTCATCCAAATATATGTAAAATACCGAATGCATATCAAGAACCACTTTATTCACAATGTTACATTATGGCATGTGACAATGGAAAAGTTGTAAAAAAGGGTGAATATTGTAGCTCCGGAAAATGTAATATATTTGGTTGCAATTGTGACGGTGGATGCTTTAAAGGAGAAATTCAAAAGAATTTAAAAATAGCTTTTAAAAAATTTATGTAAAATATATCTTATCATGATATACTTTCTTGAAAGTATAAATTAAAAAATTTTGTTAACACTGCATAATGTACATGTATTTTTCTTGAAATAACAAAATATTGTAAAATAAAAAATTCAATAAATAATAATTCATATTGAAATTGAAAGGCCATTGATTTAAAAATAATTCCCCATAATTTTCAAATCCTTTTACAAATTTTTAATTATGCAAAATTTTTCTTCAAAAAGTATAAAAAAAAATGTTTAACAAATATTCAATAAATCGATCTATAAATTGTTATTCTATTATTTTGAATCCTTAATATAATTACTAATTAATTATTAAATAATATTATTATTAATTATTAATTAACTAGAAAATGATTACATTTATTATTATTATTTTGTAAATTAAAAAATGTTATATTTTCAAGAATAAACATCAATTTTTCAATGATTGCAGATTCAAAAATTTAAACAATTCACTTATTAAGTACATATAATATTAAATATTCTCGTTCATTATTATTCACAAAAATTTTAATAAAATTTGTCGCAAGAATTTCATTAATTTTTTTAAATAAAAAAATTCTTCCCAAGAATTCAATTTTATTTTTATAAATAAGAAAATTCTTCGCAATTCAATTATTTTCAAATATAATTTTAACAAAAAATTTTTCGAAAGAATACAATTATTTTCAAGAGTTTTTAACAAAAAAAAATTCAATTATTTTTAACAATTCTGATATAAAAATTCATCGAAACAATTCATTTATTTTTAAGAATTGTAAAATTCTAATCAAGAATTAAATTATTTTTGTAAATAAAAAAATTAGTCTAATTAAAAGTCTGTTAAAAAAATTACATTATTCTTACGAAATTTAATGAAATTCTTTCAAAAAAATATATAATTAGTTACAAAAAAAAAACTCTAATAAAATTGTTTAAAAGAATTTAATTTTCTATGAATAATTTTAATATAATTTAATAAGAAAATTTGTTAATTACAATGAATAATAAACACGATTATTTTAAAAACTTAAAAAAATTTTCATCATGAAATTCAATTATTTTCAAAACTTTCAGTAAAAATTATTAAAAATAACTTTATTTTCAAAATAATAACTTCACTTTTAAAAGAATTTTAATGAAAATCTTTCCAAGAATTAAATTATTTTTCATACAATTTTAATTACATTTTCTCGAAAAAATTCAATTATTCAAAAAAAAGTTGATAAAATTCTTGAAATGAATTCAATTATATTCAAATTTTTTTTATAAATACTTCAATGATATTCAGTACATCAAAAATTTAATGTATTTCTGAAAATAATTGAATTCTTGAATAGAATTTTATTAAAACTTTTTTAAATATGTAATTGAATCTCCGACAAAAAAAATTTATTATTTCTACAAATAATTGAATATTTGGGAAAAATTTACTATTTATTGATATAATATTGAATTCTTAGGAAGAATTAAAAAATAATTTAATTTTCCCTGTAATTCAATTAAAATTGTATTTAAAATTATTGAATTCATATTACTTCATATTAAAAGACAAACATTTTTTTTTAAAAGTTATTATTTTTGTAACTTTTATTATTTTTAATCTGAAATAATTTCATTGATGAATAGAATTTTATTTAAATTTTTGAAAATAATTAAATTCTTTAGAGGAATTTAATTAAAATTATCAATTATTATAGAATTAATTAATTGATTATAATTGATTATTATTATTATAATCATGAGTTTTTTTTAGAAAAATAAAAATTTTTTCTTAATTCCTATTTTAAATCACAACTTTTTAACAAACTTCTATTTGATTTTTGGTTTTTTTTTAAAAAGGAAATAATTTGCATCATTTCTATTTTTTCTCAATTACAAGTCTAACAAAATTCTATTTTCTTCAAATAAATGGAAAAACAATGTCATAATTTCTATTTTATAATCACAATTTTCATTAAAAAAATATCTGTTCTTTCTTTGAAGAAATATTAAAAATATTTCTCGTGCTTACACATATGCGACCGTTTTTATTATGTTTTTGTGCAAACAGTCGCAATTTGAATATAGTTAAAGAATAGTGCGCATTTTTATACGTTTTTTTATTTGTGTTAAGAGAATACTTGAAAAAAAAATTTTATTTTAATTTATAAGAAAATTAGAAATTATAGAAAAAAGTAGTAAATTAGAAAAAAAAGTAAGTAAAATAGTAGATTTTAGTTGACGAGTGCAAAGCCTGAAAAGGACTAAAAAAAGAATTTTAATTCGAACAAGTAAAGTGTTTTTTTTTTTTTTTGACAAACTTTCTTCCATACAAACTAAAATTATTATTTATCCAAATTAATTAATAATAAAGAAAAATTACTAACCTCTATATTATCCTGAGCAACTGATTTAAAATGCTTAAGACTTTCTGTGGTTTGAATTAAATCAGCGAGAAGATTTTCTACGAGAGGTAAAGAATCTAGAGGTAATGTTTGTTTATACCCCAAACCATCTAAATGTTTTTGAACTGTTCTATATCTATAAGCCAAATTGCACTCGTTTTCGACACTCATTTTTTTTTCCTTTTTTTAACAATATATACATAGATGCACTATATCTTTTTATCAAACTTTCAGTTTATTTACACAAGTATTTACATTATTAGGCTTTAAATCTTAAATGATAATTCGATTTTTGAACAAGTAATTGGTATAAATTCATTAAAATCCTTCTTTTTGATGGAACACGAAATTTACGGTTTCTTTTAGAACACACACTGTTATTGGGAAGAAGCGTTTATTATATCTTTAAAAAATATTATACATTTATAAATATCTACTGTTTATTTGTTTGCTTTGTTTGGGAGGTTTTCAAATTTTCAAAACAAAAAACTAAGGTTATGTTTATCAAACAAAAGCACAGTTGAGAAGGTGAAAAATGTATTATATTATTCGACCTACCGCGCTATGCAGCACTAATGGTGTTTCTACAATATCCTCTTTCTCAACGCATTTGCGTTTTGTAACTAGACCATGAGTGGGAGAGAGATGGAGATATACGGTACCTTTGAGCTGTGTCCACAATAGCACCCTGAACGGAACGTTCGGTTCAAGGTGCTATTGTGGACACAACCTTAAGGTTTGTAATTTACATACGTAATATACGTAAAAATCTCATGTATATTACGTGACGTATATTACGTGCGCAACCTGCGCAACCCTGGTAAATTATTACACATAGAAAATTTATGTATCCAACTCTGCTCAAGTATTTTAAAAGCAATAAAGAAAAATTTGAGTCTCAAAAATGTTGAATTTTATTTTCAGAGAAGAGAAAAATAACACATGCGCTCCTGCAAAGTAAATATATATACATTGTTTTGTGTTTCGTTATGGTTTATAAACGTAAAAAGTACCACGATGGTGATACACATTTAAAAAAGCGTTGGAGAACTAAACGAAGGCAAAAAGATCTTGACGAGGTGAGTTTTTTTATCTAAAAAAATTAAAACTTTTAAAAATGTAATGTATAGTCTAACCTAACCTTTTCGTACTTTAAAAACACGTGGTTTCAACATTAGTTTTTCTGTACTGTAAAACATTCAAATCTTGCACTATTTATTTTCATTGTGAAACAAATGTTACTATTTTTGTTTTCTTCAATAATCTTAAACAAATGTTAATAGCAAATAAATTTATATTAAGAAAAAATAGTATATATTCGATATACTGTACTGCAAGGTTAAATCTATTCTAAACGTTTCATAGTGTGTCAGAATGCATGAAAAGTTAACAAATTATAAAAATAACTAATTTTAAAAAAAATTTATTCTAAATTTATATTAATTTAATCTTTGATTTTAAATTAGGCAAATACTATATTACTTTAACTTGTCAAAACATTAATTTATCGATTAAAATATTAATTAATTCTAAATTTAATTTATCAAAATTTGTATAATGTTTACAATTCCAATTTATTTGATTTTCATTCAACTTTAAATTCAATTTCATCTAAATTTTTAATTTACCATAAAATTTCGATAGTTTCTATCAATTAAAAGTAAAACAATAAATAGACCTATTATTCCATTTTTACTCAGCATACTTCAATTTATGTACATTCTTATGGGGCATTCTCCACAATATTTTCAATCAGACATCACAGTTGGTCTCCTTTTCCCTTTTGCCCCCTTATTTCAATTGTATCCCCTTTTTCACCTTTTTTCACGATTTGTCACCTTTTTTGATGATTTGTCCCCTTTTTCACCTTTTTGTAATAAAAAATAAACAAGTTTTTCTTTTTCTGAAATCTTTTTCAAAGTGTAATCATAAAATTTAGACTCAAAGTTATAGAATTCAGTGCGTTTTATATCTGATTTAGATTATTAATAACACCACAACATAATATAAATATGTTTTTTATGTTAATAATTTAAATAATATAGATATCGTATAAAGAATTTTATAAATTATAAGGTGGTTCATTCAACATAATGCAGACCTTTGGAAAAATAATTAATTAACACTCAAATAATTAAAATATTATTATTAATAGTTTTTTCTAGAAAAAACTAAAATTCTAATATAAAACCTTCAATTTTTTCCATTTCTGACAATAATTTCTTTTTAAATAACTTAATTCTTGAAGAACTATCATAAAATTATAACTTGGAAATTATTTTATGAATAATAAATAAAATTTTATTTATACATTTCAAAATTAATTCAACTTTAAAATAGTTTCGTTTACAATTTTCATAAATAGATGAACTTGAAAAGATTTTAACTTCAAATTTTATAAAATTTCAATTTTTAATGAATTTCATTAGAATTTCTAAAGAACTTACATTTTCGCAAAAATTTTCAAAATTTAAATAATTCTAAAATTAGTTAAATTTTTTAATATATATATTTAATTAATTATTAAAAATAATAAATTTATCGAGGAATTTTAGTTAAAACACTAAACAAAATTTTTATTTTGGAGAAGTTTCAAATAATTGCACAAAAATTCAATTATTTTAAAAAATAATAAAATTCTACGCAGAAATTCAATTATTTTCGAAAATTTTAATAAAATTCTTGGCCAAATTTCAATTATTTGCAAAAATTTTCGTAAATTCAATTATATACAATATCTACTATTTCAATAAAATTTTTCACAAGAATTCAATTATTTAAGAAAATTTTTAATAAAATTCTACGCAAACGTTTAATTATTTTCATAAATAAAAAAAAAATTTCACAAGAATTCTATTATTTACAAATTTTTTATAATTTTCTTTGCAATAATTCCATTATTTTTATAAATAATCAAACTCATCGCAGAATTTCAATTATTTTTAGTATAATTTTAATCAAATGCCACGAAAAATGTAATTAATTTTAAAAATTTTATTAAAATTCGTCGAAAAAATTTAATTATTTAAAAATTTGTTGATAAAATTTTTTATGAGAATTCAATATTAAGAAACATTCAATTATTCGAAATATAAATTCTTTATTTTTTTATTTAAATAACATTCAATTATTCGAAATATAAATTCTTTATTTTTTTATTTAAATAATTGAATTCTAGTAGAATTTTTTTGATAAAAATTAATTTAAAAATGGATTTCAGTTAAGATTTTCGATTATAATTGAATATTAAAAGCATTATTGCGTGAATTTTTAGAAATAATTGAATTTTGAAAAATTTTTAAATTGAAATCTTTGAAAATCCGAATTTTTCATATTTTTAACTAACAATTCTGTAGAATTAATTTTTTCAAAAAGTTTAATTGAAATTATTTCAAGTTTTTAATATTTAATTGAAGAATTTCTGAATAATCGATGAAATTTCGTAAAATTGAATTGTAATTTGTAAACAAATACATTTGAAAATTCTCAGAATTTGAAAACAAAATTATTGTAAATAATTGATTTAAAGAAAAATTTTAGTTAAAAAATTTAGAAAATATTAATTGATTTGAAATGATGAAAATAATTTTGAAGAAGTTACAGTAAAAATATTTTTTATAGTAAAAAATAATGATCTTATCACTTGGTTATCTTTAATGATTATAAATTGTTGAATTTCAAAAAGATTTGAATTTGAATGTTTTGAAAATCTTAATTCCTGTGGAAAAATAATGATTAAATATTTTTTGTTTAAAACAGTTATTGTTGTTTTCGAATAATTTTACAGTTAAAGAAATTCGTAAATAAATGTAATAGAACATTTTTTTGAGTATCTAATCATTTTTAGACTGAATCGCAGAATATTCTTTAGGGAAAAAGTCAAAATTTTGTCTTGAAATCAAGGAAAAAAGTCAAGGAAATTATATATACAAGTCGTATAAACAAATAAATTTTTATCCCCTTTTTGGTCCCCTTTTTGGGGAAAAAAATTCCCCTTTTCACCTTTTTTGAGGAAAAAAAGTACTGTGATGCCTACGGGGCATTCTCCGCAATATTTTCATTCAAAAATTAGATTTTGTTAGAATTTCTGAATAATTGTAATTTAATCCTACCGTGAACTGGGGTCTCACGCCGGTCTTCAAGCAAAAAGAAATGCGACTAAAATGGAACTAAAATCTGTTTACACAGGAAGTTTTTTGTATTATATGTAGTTAAAAAATTAATTGGATTTTAAATCCTAGCTGGATCCTATTCATGAAATAATCGAATTACATCTTTGTTTTCGTTTAGATTGACAATGATTTAAAGGAAAAGAACGCAGAAAAGCTTTTGAATCAAGAAGTCGACTTAGATAAACCCGGTTGCGCCCAATATTACTGCTTACACTGCGCGTAAGTTTTTTTCAGCACTGAGTCAATTAAACATCCATATCACTGAATTCTATTCCAATCCAACATACTAATTATTAGGTATAAATTTTTAAAAAATTATTAATCTTATTTTTTAGGAGATATTTTATAAATCAACGTGCACTAGAAGATCATTTTAACACAAAAGTTCACAAACGACGACTAAAAGCTCTTGAATTAGAACCATATTCAATTGAAGATTCCGAACGTGCAGCAGGACAAGGAAACTTTATTGCACCTAAGAAAAGAAAAATTGAAACACAAAAATCAAAAAATTCCCTTGATGATGATGGTGATACTGAAATGAAAACAAAAGTTGCCAAAATAGATAATTAGAAGAAATCACTGTTAGTCAATTAAAAAAAAAAAAGAAATATGTTTTTTCTTAAGAATTCCGTCTCATTTGTCTGCAAATCAACAAGATTTTTAAACATACAATCATCTAGAAATTGTAGTTCTTCACTTTTCATTTCCGGTAATAAAGCTTCCGTAACATTTTCCTACGTTTCTCCGCATCTTGATTTTGACAGTAGATTTAATGACATAGAAAAATTGAAAAAAGAACTATTCTTAAGAGGAATAAAAATTAATGTTGAAGAATTAAAAGAAACTTGGGAATTTTATAAACGAATTGAAAAAGATAAAAATTTATTAGACAATCGTCGATTGGAAGTTAGTGAGAAAATTAAAAATTTAATGAATTTAAAGGAACTCACTCAAGAGGAGCAGGAAAGATTAGTAGCTCTAAAGGCGCAAGCAACAATTTTAAGGCAAGATTTAAAAGTCATTAAGGAATCATTGTGGGAGGTGGAAGATTGTGCAGTTCTACGAGCTCTTAAATTACCAAATGTTGTTGATGAAAGAACACCAGAAGAAACGTCAGTTATTTTAAAAGTTGTTGGTGAACCTGTCAATATTTTGCCGAAGAACAGAAAACATCATCTCGATATTGGAAATGATTTTGGTATTTTAGAATATATAAATCCGTTACAATATTATTTGTGTAATGAAGCCGCACTTTTTGAACTTGCAACTTTTACTATTTGCGGAGAAATACTTGGCAAGGATTTTACCAAAATTGCAGGTAAGGTTCTTCAATTTTTGTAAAAAAAAAGAAAAATAAGACTCAAAGTTTTTGATAAAAAATAGTTATTTTCGTATCAAGGGCACAAAGGTGATTACAACGAGGACGAAATTCTTAAATATTTCAAAATTAATTCGATTTTAATATAATTCAATTATTTTCATAAATAATCAAATTTTTTAAAGTGATTCAATTATTTTTATAATTAATAATACTCATCGCAGAATTTCAATTATTTTTAATACAATTTTAAAATCGAATTCTTCGAAAAATGCAATTATTCTTAAAACTTTAATTTAAATTCGTCAAAGGAATTTAATTATTTAAGAATTTGTTGTTAAAAATCTTCTCAAGAATGTAATTATTTTTAATACAGTTTTAATTAAATTTTTTGAAATAATTTCATTATTTTTCAAAGTTCTTAATAAAAGTCTTTAAAACAAATCAATTCTTCTTAAAAATTTTAATAAAATTATTCCAAGAATTCAATTATTTGCAAAAATTGTAACAAAACTCTTTCCAGAAATTCAATTATTTTTCAAAGTTCTAAAAAAAAATTCTGTAAAATAAATCAATTCTTCTTAAAAATTTTAATATAATGACTTCAAGAATTCAATTATTTGCAAAAGTTATAACAAAATTCTTATCAAGAATATAATTATATTCAAAACAAAATTTTGTGCAAAAATTAAATTATTTTCAAAAAATTTAATAAAATTCTTCGAAAGAATTTAATTATCTTCGTAATTCATAAATAACAAAATTCTTCGCAGAAATGAAATTATTTTCAAAAAATTTTTAAAAATTCTTCTAAAGAATTCAATTATTTTCATAAATAATAAAATTCTTCAAAAGAATTCAATTATTTTCTTAAATAATAAAATTCTTCGAAAGAATTCAATTCAATAATTCAAATTATTTTTATAAGTAATGAAACTCATCGCAGAATTTCAAATAATTTTAATCAAATTGTTCGAAAAATTTTATTATTTTTAAAAATTTTATTAAAATTCGTCGAAGTAATTATAATATTTAAAAAATTGTTTATAAAATTCTTTATGAGAATTATTAAATCAATTATTTAATAAATTATTTATTTTTGTATTTAAATAATTAAATTCTCGTAGAATTTTTTAATAAAAATTGATTTAAAAATGAATTTCAGTTAAAATTGTAGAAAATAATTGAATATTGAATATTTTTATAATTTTTTTTGAATATTTTTATAAATAATTGAAATTTGAAAAGGTTTTATTAAAATTCATCAAAGAAATTCAATTATTTTAAAAAGCCGTCCTATAATTTATTTATTAGAATTTAAGTATTATTGTCAATAAATTTTTAATTAAATTTCTTGAAAGAATTGAATTATTTTCAAAAATTTTAATGAAATTCTTTTTAACAATTCAATTTATTTTCAAAATAATTTTAATAAAATTCTTCCTAGAAATTTCATTAATTTCTATAATTTATAAAAATCCAATTATTTTCAATATCTACTATTTCAATAAAATTTCACAAAAGAATTCAATTATTTAAAAAGAAATTTTAATAAAATTCGTCTGAAGAATTCAATTATTTTCGAAAGTAATAAAATTCTTCGCAAAAATTTAATTATGGTCGCAAAAGTTGGAAAAAATCATCATCAAAATTTTAATTATCTTTATAAATATTAAAATTTCTTGCAAAATTCAATTATTTTCAAAAATTTTAATGAAATTCTTTTTAAAAAATTCAATTTTTTTTTAAATTCACCTCCAGCCAATGATTTTCAATATCTACTATTTTAAAAAAAATTTCCAAAAGAAATGAATTAGTTTAAAAATTTTTTAATAAAATTCTAAGGAAACCTTTTATTATTTTTATAAATAACAAATATTTCACGGCAATTCAATTATTTACAAATTTTTTATAAATTTATTTGCAATAATTCCATTATTTTCAAAAATATTCAATTTATTTTCACAGAGTTTTAATTATTTTTATAAATATTAAAGAACTTTTTCAAAAATTAATTAAAAATAATAAATTTGGGGAAGATGTTTAGTTAAAAACACGAAAAAAATTCAATTTTGTAAAAGTTAGAAATTATTGCAAAAGTTCAATTATTTTTCAAGAGTAATAATATTCTTCGCAAAAATTAAATATTGTTTAAAAGTAATAAAATTCTTCTTAGGGATTCAATTATTTTTACTAATAATAAAACTCTTTGCTGAATTTCAATTATTTTTAATAGAATTTTAATCGAATTTCTCGAAAAATGTAATTATTCTTAAAAATTTTATTAAAATTCGTTGATAGAATTCAATTAATTGAAAATTTGTTGATAACGATTCTTTATGGGAATTGAATTTTAAGAAATATTCAATTATTCAATAAATTACTTATTTTTGTATTTAAATAATTAAATTGTCGTAGAATTTTCTAATTATAATTGATTCAAATATGAATGTCCCCTTAAAATTGTAGATAATTGAAATTTGGTCTTTGAATGTTTGAATTTTTCATACTTTTAACTGAAAGTTGTGTAGATTTAATTTTTTTTGAAAAAGTTGAATTGAATTCTTTTAAAGTTATTTGAAGTTTTTATTTTCTAATATTTGATTGAAGAATTTCCGAATAATCGATGAAATTTTGTAAAATTGAATTGTAAACAAAAGGATTTGAAAATGTTGAAAAAAATGTTTTAAAAATTATTAAAAGTAATTAATAATAATTAATTTAAAGAAGAATTTTAGTTAAAAATTGTGGAAAAAAATAATTGAATTAAAGTGATGAAAGTAATTTTGAATAAGTTACAGTAACAATATTCTTAATTTATTTTAAATAATGATTTTATCAGTCGGTCATTTTTAATTATAATAAAACATGAAGAAAACTTTCACTCCGAGTCGAAGACTCGGAGTTATCAATATTTTCATATATAACAATTTTTTATAAAATGTTTAATTTCTAAAAGGTTTGAATTAAAAATTTTGTTAAATATAAATGTAGTTTTAAAAACCTGGGAAAATTCCGTTTTTTAACCTGGAAAATCTAGAAAAGTCAGGGAATTTGAAATGAGCAAAAGCGTGGCAACCCTGGTGACACATATTTTTGATTACTTAAATCCTCATCCAAAAAATAAATTAGAAAATATTAGTTACTAGTAAGCTGTTAACCAATATTTTCCAATTTTTCTTCATTCATATAAAGGTCAAATTTTTAAAGTAAGAATGAATGAGGGTGTGAATGAGGAAAAATTAGAAAATATTCGTTAACAGCTTACTAGTAACAAATATTATCAAATTTTTATTTATTAAATGAGGATTTAAGTAATTAAAAATATGTGTGCATTAATGGAGATACAGTCAGTACGAACAAGAAGAACTGGAAAGGAAAAAATACTATTTAACATTAATTAACACTTATTTTGATTGATTGCAGGTTCAGACTTCAGTCGTAGTCTTGTAGTTGAAGGCTCAGGATTGAGTTACGACAATCCAAATGAATCCTTCATTCTATCGAGTAATGCCGACTCTGTTAAAAATTCATTAAGTCGATTACATCTCGTTGGTGGAGCGAGTCTAGTCTCATTACTTTCATTTCACACAAAACAGATAATTGACGCAAGCAATTTCCCCCAACGTTATTTTGCTACCGGAAAACAATACACACCTCTAACTAAAAATATTGAATCAATGGGTCTTTTCACCGTTTGTCAAACATCTGCTGTACATGTCTTCTCCATGGTTCAAGAGGTTGAAAGTGATGAGTACAAACTCGAATTCGACAAATTAATGGAAAAGGCAACAGAATTTTACGACAAACTTGAAATCCATTACAGAATCGTAAAGAGATCGGCATCTGAGTTACATTCAGGGGAGAGTCTTAAAGTTTCCTTTCAACTTTGGTCTTCATTTAATCAAGAGTACGTCGAAGTTGGCTTTATTTCGGCATACGGCGATTTTATCAGTAAACGTTTGATGATTGAGTGTAAAAATGTGAGTGAACAATCATTTCCAGGAATTATTTCTGGAACGATTGTCTCTGTACCAAGATTACTTGCTTGCGTGTTAGAGCAAAATCCAGATAAACTGGAAATGCCTAAGATTATTCAGTTGTGTATGCAAAGAGACTTTCCAATTGTGTAAGGAACCAAATTTCTATTAATTCAAAAAAGACAAAAAAATTTTTGTTATCAACTGTTTTATTGTACAATACAATATTTTTATTTTGAAACCATATGTCGCTTCTATTTCTAACCTACAAAACTAAAAATGGCGGATCCAATATGGCGGAGAATTCTCCACACCATTTTGAATTTTGAAATTTTTACATCTCATTCGTAATCCATAATCTCAAAAAGCTTTTTTTTTAAAAAAAAAAGCTATAACAAAATTAATTGATTAAAGGATCATAAGAAATAATCTAGACACAAATAGTTTTTATTTATATTTCTTCCATTTATTTAAAAGAATTTAAAAATCTATTTTAACAAATAAGATAATATGTAAAAGTGAAATAAAAGAAGTACAAACAAACGCCTATAATGATTACATTCACACGTAAGATTTAGAGATGTTAATAAATCTTTTCTCTTCTCTTTCTTTTACCGCGTCATAAAAATTTACTGTGAACAATAAAAGCAGGATATTAATTTCTAACATGAGTAATTTTTATTCAAGCAGCTTGGACAACTTTACTTTGAGGACCTTTTTGTGTTGAATTTATTTTATCACCAAGGGAAAGTGCCATTCCTTGACTTTTAGCTCTAATACGAATGTGTCCAACCACTGGAGCATCTGGTCTATTCAATGGTTTTTCAATAGACAAATTGGCCAAGGCGTCTTCACCAAATATCGATTTTGCATACATATTAGCGGCCATAAATCCACATTGACCAGAAAGAGCCTGAAATCATCAAATATTTTAATCTTCAAATTTCAATTTCATTTCATATAAACAGGCTTCACAGTGTCCCTAAAAAGTATTTTAGGGGAAATAGGAGACTTTTGAAAATATTTCATTTTTTTAAGGAATTTAATTAAAATTTTAATGAAATTTATTATATTAAAGAATTTTATAACAATTTTTGAAAATAATTGAAAACTTTTTTAAGAATTTTATTAAATTTTTAAAAAATAATTGAATTCTTGAGAAGAATTTAAATAATAGTTTTTGAAAACAATTGAATTCATAAGAAGAATTTTATTAAAATTTTTGAAAATAATTGACTTTTTGAGAAGAATATTAAAAACATTTTTTGACAATAATTTAATTTTTGAGAAGAATTTCCCTATCTATTTATAAAGATAATTGAATTCTTTACGAGAATTTTTAAAAAATTTTGAAAATAATTTAATTTCTCCAAAGTATTTTATTACTTTTCAAAAGAATTTAATTCTTCTGATGAATATTGATATTTATCAAAATAATTGAATTTTGGAAAAGAATTTTATTAAAATTCCTTGGAATAATTTATTTTATGGGAAGAATAAATTCGATTTTGTTGTTTATCAAGCTAATTGAATTCTTTTGCAAAATTACTTAAAAATTTTTGAAAATAATTGATTTTCTGCGACGAATTAAATGTTATTTATGAAAATATTTGAATTATTGCAACGAATTTTATTGTTTTATTGAATAATTGAATGTTTCTTAAAATTGAATTCTTTCCTCACGTTTTAATAAAATTTTTAATAATAATTGCATTTTTCAAGGAATTTATTTAAAATTGTATTAAAAATATCTGAAATTCTGCGATGAAAATAATTGAATTCGTAAATGAAATTTTATTATTTATGAAAATAATTGAATCTTTTCGTAGAATTGTATTATCAATAAGTTTTTTCTATAATTAAATCTGTTGATAAATGTTATGAAACTAGTAAATATTTAAAAACATTGAATTGCGAAAAACTTTTAAAAATAATTGAAATGTTGCAAAGAATTTTATTTAAATTTTTGAAAATAATTTAATTTTTGGCGAAAAATTTTGTTATTTATAAAAATAATTGAATTCTTAACGAGATATTCATTAAAATTTATAAAAATAATTAAATTCTTGCAAAGTATTTTATTAAATTCTATTTAAATAATTGAAATTTTGCCAAGAATTTAATTAAAATTTTGACAATAATTGAATTCTTGAGAAGAATTTCGATATTTATCAAAATAATTGAATTTTGAAAAAGAATTTGATTAAAAATCCTTAAAATAATTGATTTTATGGGGAGAATTTTTTTGGTTATAAAAATATTTAAATTCTTTTGCAGAATTTCTTAAAAATTATTGAAACTATTTTAATAAAACTTTCCAAAAGAATTCAATTATTTAAAAAAAATTTTGATAAAATTCTATGCAGAAATATAATTATTTTCATAAATAATAAAATTCTTTTAAGGAATTCCATTATTTATTACATTCTCATAAAAAATGAGAAGGTCTTGGATTTGTGCGATTTTTTTAAATACAATTTTAATGGAATTTCTCGAAAAAATGTAATTATTTATTCTTAAAATTTTTATTAAAATTCATCAAAGAAATTCAATTATTTTAAAAAGCTTTGCTGTAATAATTCTGTAAAGAATTAAATTATTTTCAATATTATGTATTTACTATTTCTATAAAATTCCACAAAATTATTCATTTATTTAAAAAGAAATATTAATAAAATTCATCTCAAGAATTTGATTATTTACAAAAGTAATTAAATTCTTTGAAAAAATTCAATTATGTTCAAAATTTTTTTTTAATTCTAGTCAAAATTTCAATTAAATGTCAAAGATTAAATATCTTTATAAATTATAAAATTCTCCAAAATTCAATTATTTTTATAAATTCTAATAAAATTCTCTGGATAAAATTTCAATTATTGTGTTCAATTATTCAAGTATTCAATTATTATGTATTATAAAATAATTTAATTATTTTCATAAATAATCAAATTTTTGATAGGATTTCAATTATTTTTAATATAATATTAAATGAATTCTTCGAAAAATGTAATTATTTTTAAAATAATTACAATTTTATTAAAATTCTTCAAAAGAATTTAATTATTTAAAAATTTGTTAATGAAATTCTTTATGAGAATTCAATTTTAAGAAATATTCAATTATCCAATAAATTAATTATTGTATTTAAATAATTGAATTCTCCTAAAATTGTTTAATAAAAATTGATTTAAAAATTCATTTCAGTTAATTAGAATATTCTTTAGGGTCAGGGAAAAAGTCAAAATTTTGTCTAGAAATAAGGGAAAAAATTAATGTTTTGTGGCATTCCTGTAAATCTGCGAAATTCTTTGAAGTTGCAAAAATTAAAAGTGAGAGCGCGCATATGAATTTTTAACATGAAAATATTGAGTATTTAAAATTTGAAATAATAAAAATACCTTTTCTGGCGTCAAGCAGCGCATGTTAGTCGATTTCAAAAGATGTGCCAAATAATCTCGCAAATCGGAGAGAGTCGTATTTACCGACACTTTATTTTCCCATTCGAATTCCGCCCACATTTGACGGAATTCAGCATCTGTACAAGTAGCTGGTACAATATAGTCCATAATATCGATGTGAATGTCATTTAAAACGACAACACACCTATCTGATCCGGCACCGAACACGTCGTACACTAGACAAATTTAAAGTAATAAATATTTCCTATTTCCAACAATATTAACTTTCAGAGAAATTAGACAAATAATAATATTTAAAAACCTTTTCGAATAAAAAAGTGTAAAAATTGGAATGCTTAACTATTCCATGGATACCTCGAAGAATAATACAAATTGCCTTACCAATATTTCCAAAGATAATTCCATTCTCAGTGGACGCAACTTTAACGTTAGCTTTAATACTCGCAAAGTCTCGGGGCGCCAATACAATGGCCTGCGGTCTCTCGACAAGTTTCAAATCACCCATTGTGGCAAGTTCAAGAGTACAATTTTGAAGTGTATCTTCACTCTGATTAACAATGAGGACGTCAAGGACAATGTCGTACTGATTCACGTGGACAAGAGCCTCGGCATAGACGGGATCAGAGAAACCAGTGAGTTGCGTCACTTTGCTTAGAGCATTTGGAATGGAAACGTCTTGAGCTCCGGCGGACTTTCCTGCCACTGCTGCACTTAAACTTTGTTCAAAAACATCACCCGCACCGCCTGTTAAATCCGATCCACGAGTTAACTGCATAAATTGTATTGCATCATCGACCTGTACAATATTCCCTGGTTTCTCCTTAGCCTGAAATAAAAGTGTTACAATTATAGACATTGATTTCCGAATTTCGCTTTAATTACCGCAGGCTCCGTACTCGATAATTAATTTTTGGAAAAAGTAGCTTGAAGATTGAAGAAAAAGTATAAAAAAGAGTAGCTATCGAAAAATTAAATTCAATGACTCAATTTTTTCATAATTTCTAAATAAAATTACATTTAGAAATAGAATAATTTTCTTTTTAAACAAATATTTAAATACCCATTTATTTTTCCACAGGAATTAAAATATTCAAGATGATTTCAGTGTAAAACCTTTTTGAAATTAATTATTTATAAAAACTACAACTTTCATTCTCCCAAAATTCAAAAATTATTTTGTTGAAATTTTTAAATAAAATTATTAAAAACTTTAATAAATTTATTTCAAAATAAAAATTGTAATATTATTACAGTTTTACAGCAACTAAAATTTTCAGAAATTTCAATTCACAAAATGTTTCGAACTTTAATTATTAAAAATCTAGTGTGATTCTAAAAATTAATTCAATAATCAAGGTTGCCAAGCTTTTGCTCATTTCAAATTCCCTGACTTTTCCAGGTTAAAAAACGGAATTTTCCCAGGTTTTTAAAACTACATTTATATTTAACAAAATTTTTAATTCAAACCTTTTTGAAAGTAAACATCTTATAGAAAATTGTTATAAAACATGAAAATATCGATAACTCCGAGTCTTCGACTCAGAGTCATCGATATCTTCATGTTTTATAATAATTAAAAATGACCGACTGATAAAATCATTATTTTATATTATAAGAATATTGTTACTGTAACTTATTCAAAATTACTTTCATCATTTTAATTCAATTATTGTTTTCCAAAATTTTTAACTAAAATTCTTCTTCAAATTAATTATTATTATTAATTATTAATAATTTTTAAAACATTTCTTTCAACATTTTCAAATCCTTTTGTTTACAATTCAATTTTACGAAATTACATCGATTATTCGGAAATTTTTCAATCAAATATTAGAAAATAAAAACTTCAAATAACTTAAAAAAAATTCAATTGAACTTTTTCAAAAAAATTAAATCTACACAACTTTCAGTTAAAAGTATGAAAAATTAAAACATTCAAAGATCAAAATTCAATTATCTACAATTTTAACTGAAATTCATATTTGAATCAATTATAATTAGAAAATTCTACGACAATTTAATTATTTAAATACAAAAATAAGTAATTTATTGAATAATTGAATGTTTCCTAAAATTCAATTCCCATAAAGAATCGTAATCAACAAATTTTCAAATAATTCAATTCTATCAACGAATTTTAATTAAATTTTTAAGAATAATTACATTTTTCGAGAAATTCGATTCAAATTGTATTAAAAATAATTGAAATTCAGCAATGAGTTTTATTATTTGTGAAAATAATTAAATCCCTAAGAAGAATTTTATTACTTTTAAACAATATTTAATTTTTGCGAAGAATATTATTACTCTTGAAAAATAATTGAATTTTTGCAATAATTTCTAACTTTTACAAAATTGAATTTTTTTTCGTGTTTTTAACTAAACATCTTTTATAAATTTATTATTTTTAATTAATTTTTGAAAAAGTTCTTTAATATTTATAAAAATAATTGAATCTCTGTGAAAATAAATTGAATATTTTTGAAAATAATGGAATTATTGCAAAGAAATTTATAAAAAAATTGGTAAATAATTGAATTGCTGTGAAATATTTGTTATTTATATAAAAATAATAAAAGGTTTGCTTAGAATTTTATCAAAAAATGTTTAAAATAATTCATTTCTTTTGGAAAATTTTATTAAAATAGTAGATATTGAAAATCATTGAATGGAGGAGAATTTATGAAAAAAATTGAATTTGTTAAAAAGAATTACATTAAAATTTTTGAAAATAATTGAATTTTGAAGTAAAATTTTAATATTTACAAAGATAATTGAAATTTTGACGATAATTTTTTCAAACTTTTGACCTTAATTAAATTTTTGCGAAGAATTTTATTAAAATTATTTTGAAAATAAATTAATTGAATTGTTAAAAAGAATTTCATTAAAATTTTTGAAAATAATTGAATTCTTTTAAGCAATGTAATTAAAAATTTATTGACAATAATACTTAAATTCTAATAAAACCTTTTTAAATTTCAATTATTTATAAAAATACAGGCTTTCAATATTCAATTATCATCTAAAATTTTAACTGAAATTTATTTTTAAATCAATTTTTATTAAAAAATTCTACGAGAATTTAATTATTTAAATACAAAAATAAATAATTTATTGCCTTAATTGATTAAATAATTCTCATAAAGAATTTTATCAATAATTTTTTTAAATATTATAATTACTTCGACGAATTTTAATAAAATTTTTAAAAATAATTAAATTTTTCGAACAATTCGATTAAAATTATTTGAAATTCTGCGATGAGTTTCATTGTTTATAAAAATAATTGAATTATTGAATTGAATTCTTTCGAAGAATTTTATTAAATTTTTTGAAAATAATTTACTTTTTGCACAAAATTTTGTTATTTTGAATATAATTGAATTCTTGATAATAATTTTGTTATAGCTTTTGCAAATAATTAAATTCTTGGAGTCATTATATTAAAATTTTTAAGAAAAATTGATTTATTTTACAGAATTTTTTTTGAACTTTGAAAAATAATTAAATTATTTGAAATAATTTAATTAAAATTGTATTGTAAAATGATTGAATTCCTGTGAAAATTTTATTATTTATGAATATAATTGAATTCTTACGATGATTTTTACAAAAATTTTTTTAAATAACTGAATTCTGTTTGGAAATTTTATAAAAATAGGAGATATTGAAAATCATTGAATTGCGAAAAGTGTTTAAAAATAATTAAATTTTACAAAGAATTCTATTAAGATTTTTGAGAATAATATTGAATGTCTGTGTAGCAATTTATTAAATTTTTTTTTTTTTGAAAATAATTGAATTCCTAAAAAGCATTTTAAAATAATTTAAAAATAATTAAATTCTTGTAATGAATATTGTTATTTATGATAATAATTGAATTTTGCAAAGAAATTTATTAATTTTCCTCAAAATAATTGAATATTAAGGAATAATTTTGTTAATATTTATCTAATTGAATTTTCTTAGGAAGAATGTTATAAAAATCTAAAAGAATAATTGAATTATTTAAAAAAAAATTCATTATAATTGTATTTAAAATAATTGATTTCTTTCGAACAATTTTATTAAAATATTTGAAAATAAATGGATTCCTGTGAAAAATTCTAATATTTTTGTGAATAATTGAATTCATCCAAAAAATTTTTTAAAAAAACATTTTTTTAAATAATTGATTTTTTTGAAGAATCGAAATTAAATTTTTAAGAATAATTACATTGTTTGATTAATTCCTGTAAAATTGTTTTAAAAATAATTGAAATCCTGCTATGAATTTTATTATTTATGAAAATAATTGAATAGTTGCAAAGAATTTTATTAAAATTTTCAAAAATAATTGTATTCCTTGGAAGAATTTTATTATTTATGAAAATAATTGAATTTTGGATGAATTTTCCTTTATAGATTTTGATTTTATGGATTAACTCACCTTTTGACTAAGCAAATCCTCTTCCGCTTTGGCCGTGAGCATTCTACCTAGAGCTTCACGGCATCCTTCTGTAAATACTCTTTGAACAAGTGGCGTCGGACAAGCGAGCGATCGCAAACAAAGAGAAACCCTTTCGACATCGTCGTGTGTCATGGGTTTCGTAGGAAGGCCAGATCTACCGAACTGAAGAACACTGGACATAATAAGCATCGCTTCAGTTTGCATTCTGTTGCTCTTTTGATGGCTTGTTTCTAGATTTTTATAACGAAGAGCAAGTTTCGAAAGTGTTGTTGCTAATGATGCGCCAATAAAGAAATCCCCGTCCATCATGTACTGTACCAGTGTGGGACGCTTCTCTTCTTTCTTTCCTAAATTTAAATACAACATACAAAATTATTATTGTAAATAAAAAATTAATAAAATAATAAATTATAAATTTAGGATTGTACCATATATTGAACTGTAAATATTTTACAATAAAAATATTATATTTCAATGAAAAATGATTACCTGTTAAGACGGAATTAAAAGCACTTTGAGTTGCATAAGTTCCATCTGATGTGACCAATTGAATTGTAGAATTTTGTGCACTTTCGTCTAAACTTTTTTCACCCGCTTGACGATTGTTCTCTGCCTCAACTAAAGGCAATTCTCCTAAAGCAGCTCTTACGCGATTCATAACCGCTTCGATGTCTTCCTTTGATGTTGCATACTCTCCAAGTATCCAGAGTGCAGCCCGATGTACTTTAACTGATCGAATTTGCGGAAAGACCTGTAACAAGAAGATTTTATTGGAATTAGGAAAATTCATTCACATTCTTTTACACTTCAGGGTTGCCACAAAAAATTTATTTTTTTTCCTGATTTCCAAAAGAAATGTTGCCTTTTTCTCAGACCCTAAAGAATATTCCGATTCACTCTAAAAATGATTAGATAATAATCAAAGAAAGATTCTATTGCCTTTTTTTACGAATTTCTTTAATTAGAAAATTATTCGAAAACATCAATAACTTCTATTATAAATAATAACTAATAAATAAATAACTTCTATTTTAAATAAATATTTAATCATTTTTATTTTTTATTTTTTTATAAGAATATTATTATAAAACCTGAAAATATCGATAACTCGAAGTGATCGATAACTTCATGTTTTATAATAATTTATTTAAATATCCATAAAATTTTTCAGAAATAATCAAATTATTTAAAAAATTTTTTATAAAATTCTTCCCAAAAATTCAATTATTTTCACAAATAATAAAATTTTTCACATGAATTCAATTACTTTCATAAATAATAAATTTTTTAATAATTCAATTTTTTCTACGAATTTTATTAAAATTTTTAAGAATAATTACATTTTTCGAGGAATTCGATTAAAATTGTATATTAAAAATATGTGAAATTCTGCGATGAGTTTAATTTATTTATGAAAGTAATTGAATCCCTGTAAAAAATATTATTTATGTAAAAAATTGAATTATTGCGAAGAAATTTATAAAAAATTTGTAAATAATTGAATTCCTGTGAAATTTTTATTATTTATGGAAATAATTTAATGTTTGCTTAGAATTTTATTAAAATTTTTGAAAATAATTGAATTTGAGAGAAGAGTTTTATTAATTTCAAAGATAATTCAAATTTTGACGAGAATTTTTAAAAAATTTTTAACATAATTGTGTTTCTGCGAAGAATTTTATAATACTTTTTAAAATAATTGAATTTCTGCAATCATTTATAACTTCTCCAAAATTCAATTTTTTTAAATGTTTTTAACTAAAATTTTTCTATAAATCCATGATTTTTAATAATTAATTAAATTTATATATATTTAAAAATTAAATTAAACTAACTTTAGATTCATTAAATAATTGCTGAGTAATAATTTTCTGATAATTCAAGAATTAAGTTATTTAAAAGGAAATTATTGTCAGAAATAGAAAAAATTGAAGGTTTTGTATTAGAATTCGTGGTAATTTTATAGTTTATAAGGCAAACAAAATAAGTCACGAAATTTCAAAATTTTCTTATGAATTGCTATCTTAGACTGATATTCCTTAGAATGTTAAAAGTTAAAATTTTTTAAGGAACTTATCTACTTAAAGTTGTTTTAAACATAAGAAACTAATATAAAAATTATCTTTTTAATATTTTTGACGCGCTTATAACTATTTAACGTAACGTTTTAATTTACCTCAAGTAATTTTTCAATTATAAGTGGTCTAAGATTTTCAAATCTTTGAATTGCTTCGCGAACGAAAACAAGAACATCTGTAGCAGCAGCCTCATTATTTTCAGCTAGAAAATCAGTTAATACGGGAATAACAGTAACGGCGACGTCGGCAAATTTAATAGAGCACGAGTGTAATGTTCGAACAAGAAGTTGCCGATATTTCCCAGCATCCTCATGCTCTCCACCGGAAGTTCTCAAGATTTCCTTCTTCAGCAATTGAACCATCTCTTCAACCGTTCGAGTTGTTACCAAATCCATCACCAAGGACAAAGTCTTTGAACGCACTTCTAAAGCTGGCGAACCTGTAAAATATTTCCCATTGTAAATTTTTGCATAACAAAAAAGATGCGAAATAAAAGAAACGAAAATTTGATAATGGATTTAAATAGAAATTGTTTTTATGTGGTAAAATAAAGGAATCTTGTATCAAACCTAGGATACGCAGAATATCCATGACGAGATCCTGAAGAACTCTTTCGTGTGATGGACTCTCCTTCATCGCTATAAGACGATCAAGAACAATAAGTTTTACATTATTGTCGCTTTCTTTGACGACAAGTTCTATGTAACAAGAAGCAGCAGCTTTTATTGCAGTTGGAGCACTTGAAAGTGTTACTAAAGTTCCAGCGGCTTCATAACGAACTGCAGCACTTGGAGAATTCAATAAACTGTAAATACACCTTATGAAACGAGCGCGCTCTGATGGATTCGCCAAGCACACCTGAAAGAAACATGCAAATATAAATGTTTGCTTTTTTGTTTCCCAATTTTTTTAAAAATAATTTTCCTTTTTAAATGTTTTGAATTTTAAAATTAATTTACTGAAAATCATTGAATTCTCGCAAAGTATTTATAGAAAAATTGGAAAATAATTGAATTCACTTCAAAGAATTTTATGAATATTTTTTTCAATCATTGAATTCTTTCGAGAAAATATAATTAAAATTGTATTGAAAATAATTTAATCCTTGGCAACCTTTTATTAAAATTAAAATTTTGTAATTTGCATATTAATAAATTGAATATCACGTTCTTTTAGTTTGCTAGTTACCTTATAAATTAATTCAACGATAACAAGTTGAAGGATATCTCCAAAGCTGGGAACTTGATCCAAGCACGCTGTTAGATATGCCAAAGCTTTATTTTGATCTGCATGTAGAAGCATTAAGAAAGCATTTCTTCTGCAGGACATATCTTGCTCTCCTTCCAAGTATTTCGCTATTAGTTCCGGTGCGTCGGGTATAAGAAATTCAAAGTTACGATAAATTGTAAATATCGCCAGAACAGCATTACGTCGTACGTATGAATGACGATGTTCTAGACACGCAATAATAGCTGGCATCAAGGGTTCAAGTAATTCTGGTTCCTTTAATTTGCAAAGAAATCTGAAATTTTTATTTTAGCATTTCGTTATCAAGTCTCTGACTGAAAAATCTCTTTCAAAATTATAGAAATTTGTTATTTCATATGTATCTTACCGTAAAGTAGAGCCTCTGACAAATTCATTAGGATGCTGAAGATCTTTTCTATAAGCATCGCAAACTAAAATCATTTCTTGAAGTAATTTTCCATCGGCAGAAGTTTTGGGTACAATTTCCCAAAATATTAAGAGAAGTTTCTTTATTATATGATCTTGAAGAGGTAAAATAAATCGAATAATTGTCATCAAAAGACCAGGAAGTCTTTCTCCACTTAAAATCATGTGAATTGTCTTTTTAAGAGCCTCAATTTTAGTGTTGATGTCGCCTTTCTCGAGATCTTGCTTTAATTGCATTTCATTGAAAGGCTCTGCATCAATTGCTATGTTGATCAGGGTGTAACATGGTTGCTCTGCTACAGTACTCATCTTGATGTCACTGTAAAAATAAAAATTCATAGTAAAAAAAAAAGTTTTCGAATTTCTCTTTAAATTTATTATATTACAGAATTTTATAACAATTTTTGATAATAATTGAAAACTTTTTGAAGAATTTTATTCAATTTTTTAAAAATAATTGAATTCCTGAGAAGAATTTAAATAATAATTTTCGAAAAAAATTGAATTGATGAGAAGAATTTTATTAACATTTTTGAAAATAATTGACTTTTTGAGAAGAATTTTTGTTAAAAATTTTGACCATAACTTAATTCTTGAGAAGAATTTCCCTATCTATTTATAAAGATAATTTAATTCTTGGAGAGAATTTTTAAAAATTTTTGAAAATAATCTAATTTCTGCAAAGTATTTTATTACTTTTCAAAAGAATTGAATTCTTGTGATGAATATTGATGTTTATCAAAATAATTGAAATTTTTTTAAATATTTTATTGAAATTATTGAAAATACTTGAATTTTTGGCGAAAAATTTTGCTATTTATGAAAATAATTGAATTCTTGATGAGATATTCTTTAAAATTTATAAAAATACATAATTGAATTTATGCAAAGTATTTTATTAAATTTTGTTTAAATAATTGAAGTTTTGCCAAGAATTTAATTAAAATTTTTGACAATAATTGAATATTCTTGAGAAGAATTTTGATATTTATCAAAATAATTGAATTTTGGAAAGGAATTTCATTAAAATTCCTTAAAATAATTAATTTTATTGGGAGAATTTTGTTGGATATCAAAATATTTGAATTCTTTTGCAGAATTACTTAAAAATCATTGGAAATAATTGAAAACTTTTTTGTAGAATTTTATTAAATTTTTAAAAAATAATTGAATTCTTGAGAAGAATTTAAATAATAGTTTTTGAAAACAATTGAATTCATAAGAAGAATTTTATTAAAATTTTTGAAAATAATTGACTTTTTGAGAAGAATATTAAAAAAAATTTTGACAATAAGTTAATTCTTGAGAAGAATTTCCCTTTCTATTTATAAAGATAATTAAATTCTTGACGAGAATTTTTAAAAAATTTTTTAAATAATTTAATTTCTGCAAAGTATTTTATTACTTTTCAAAAGAATTGAATTCTTGTGATGAATTTTGATATTTATCAAAATAATTGAATTTTGGAAAAGAATTTTATTAAAATTCCTTAGAATAATTTATTTTATGGGAAGAATTTATGCGATTTTGTTGTTTATCAAGCTAATTGAATTCTTTTGCAAAATTACTTAAAATTTTTTGAAAATAATTGATTTTCTGCAACGAATTAAATGTTATTTATGAAAATATTTGAATAATTGCAACGAATTTTATTGTTTTATTGAATAATTGAATGTTTCTTAAAATTGAATTCTTTCCTCAAGTATTAGTAAAATTTTTAATAATAATTGCATTTTTCAAGGAATTTATTTAAAATTGTATTAAAAATATTTGAATTTCTGCGATGAAAATAATTGAATTCGTAAATTGAAATTTTATTATTTATGAAAATAATTGAATCTTTCCGTAGATTTGCGTCAACAAGTTTTTTCTATAATTAAATCTGTTGATAAATTTTATGAAAATAGTAAATATTTAAAAACATTGAATTGCGAAAAACTTTTAAAAATAATTGAAATGTTGCAAAGAATTTTATTTAAATTTTTGAAAATAATTGAAGTTTTAGCGAAAAATTTTGCTATTTATAAAAATAATTGAATTCTTGACGAGATATTTATTATAATTTATAAAAATAATTGAATTCGTGTAAAGTATTTTATTAAATTTTGTTTAAATAATTGAAATTTTGCCAAGAACTCAATTAAAATTTTTGACAATAATTGAATTCTTGAGAATAATTTTGATATTTATCAAAATAATTGAATTTTTGAAAAGAATTTCATTAAAATTCCTTAAAATAATTGATTTTATGGGAAGAATTTTGTTGGTTATCAAGATAATTGAATTATTTTGCAGAATTACTTGAAAATTATTGAAAATAATTGTTTCCCTGCGACGAAAAAAATAGGGGTCAAAATTGTTCCGATTTTTACACAGAGCTTCAATAAATAAAATTGCATCGACTTTAACATAATTGCAGTTTGTCATGGCCTTTTAAAAATGGTCGTCACTATTGATACGTACTTCAAGAATTTATGCCTTTGTATTGTGTCAAACGTTAAAAAATTGGATTTTTATAAAATATCAAAATAAACACCAATATTTTTCTTTATACTTTTAAAGATTATAATGTAGGTACGGTTTTAAAGTATTTTTAAGTTGCTCCTTAACAACTTTAGTCAAAACATAATATTTCGAAGTCAAATTTTGAATTGAAAAAATAACAAATAGGCTTATAACTTACTTTAATGGATTGATTTTCTCGAATTATTTGCAAATAACCAAACTTAATACTCTTAAATTAATCACTAAAAGTTTATGACAATAGTGTACTTGAACAATGTAGAGAAAATGTACTTGGTAAACAGTCAATTGTTTTTACTAAAAAAATCGATTTGACTAAACAAATTTATTAAAATCTCCCCACTAAAGACAGAACTATTTTAGAAAATTTATAAGAAAAAAAATTAAGTTTCTTTGAATAATTTTTAATGAAACAGATGAAATTATGAGAAATACTGAACAGAATTATAAAGACAATGAAATAAAAGAACAAACTCTTTAGAAATGTATACAATATTTTATAAAATGCACATAAATTGCATAATTAAACTGACTAGAAATAACTACTGTTGCAGATATAAATTTGATAAAGGGCAGATTGGAAATTCTCAATTCAATTGAAAAGAATACTAAAAATTAAAGTAAAAGTATATTAAAAGCTACTGAGAAAAATGTTAAGTCTTTTTGTTTATTTAATTACATTGTACTGTTGAATTATTGATAATGAATTAGTAATAAAAGCATATAAACTTTTTGAGGTTATATTTACTGACAGCAACATTTGTAAGGTGATAAGTTACCTTTATTAAGATAGTTTGATGTCAATTGTTATTTTACCTTTTATTTCGAGCCGTAGAACAGTAACACTCAAAAAATTAAAAAAATATAAGTAAATTTCATTTAATTTGACATCTGTATTATGTTGACATATACGTGTCAAACGAAATTGTGCCACGAACACGATTATGATGGAAGAAAGAATTCTCCTGGGTATCCACTCTTACTCTATATTGCAGAGAGGTAACATGACACTCATTATTGGCGCTGCGGTCATTCTGCTACCTACGTGAAAACGTCAAGAAAACTTAAAGCCTTGTCACAACGCTTTCTGACAGTAGAGTATTAATGTAGAAGAACCATAATGACGGCACTTTCACACGTAATTTTATTGCGGTCTCAGTGCGCTTGGAACACACAACGTTTCACGCATGTCCCCAACAATTTACAATAATTTTCATTATTAAAATAATGTACTCGGCATTCTTCGTCCAACAGTTCGGAACAGTTCGAAATTAGAGAGTTCAATCTTGTTATTATTAGTTCTTGAAAAAAGACCACGGTGTGAAATAGGCGGATGATTTTGTGTGTTATTGACAATGGCAGATACAACTGTTGATGCTACTCGACGATTAAATGTAAAAAAACAAACCCTGGACGATGCTTACGCTGCGCCAGCTAATTTTTTGGAAATAGATGTAATTAATCCCATTACTCATGGTGTCGGCAAAAAGCGATACACTGATTATGAAGTTCGAATGAGGGTGAGTAATATATCTTTCATTTTAATCTGTCAAATTTTTCATTCACTTCATTTACTTCATTTTCTTCATTTTCTTCATTTTCTTTCGTTTTTTATCTCTTTTTGAAATATTTTTCACGATTTTTCTAATATTGCAATTTAATTTCATGTCCATTTTGACATTTAATAATTGTACCATTTGGAATAGTCCTGTCAAAGGAATTTTATTCTCATAGCCAATGACATTTCTCTCTTTAGAAAAAGAAAAAAAAAACATTTCAACTTTCTGTCCTGTTGAAGGCTTCATTATAATTAAATTTAAATTAGTGGGATATTATTAAGTTATGTTCGGTTACAGTGCTTGTATAAAAAATAATAATAAACTCCAAAGAGTTCTTTTCAGTGTTCAGTTGAATAAGTCTTTGACATTTTTCATATGAAAGGAATAGATTCTTTAACGGACTAATTATAGCTGATTTTGCAGAAGCATTAAAATACTTTTAAGATTTTTAATAATGAATGAATAATTATATTTATGACAATTTTTTGACAATTATTTATATCTAAACTTATAATTTACGAATTAATGTAATTATGAACATTGTTATTAAATTTTAACTTTATACAATAATTTTAAAATTACGACTTCCAATGATTAGTTTATACGTAAAGACGGTAAAGACAAAGAAAATGTTTAATCATAATTTTCTAGAAAAATTTCTCTTTCTTTCAATATTAATTTTTTTATTGAAGAATTTAATTAATTTAAATTTTTTGATTAAATAAATGTAAGGTTTTTTTCAGAAATATTTATTCCAAATACGATTAAAAAATTAAATTACAAAAAATTTTTTAATCCGTTTTTCAATATTCTAATATTAAATTTTCTATTTTAAAATTATTTTTAAATTATTTTTTTCATTTTCATATTAAATTATAAAAATAATTATTGAATTTCAATTTTATTTAAATGTAGTTAAACTTTTAATATTTTTTAATTAAAATTAAAATTAATTTTATTCATTTAATCTAAATTTGTTTATTCATTAAATAATTATTATTAGAATAAAAAATTAAAATATATCAAAAGGAAAAATTAATCTCAGTAAAAATAAGACTAAATTATTTTTTTAATTTAATTTTTTAATTTTAATTTAATTTAATTAAAAATTGTTTTAATTAATAGTTTTTTTATTTTATTTATTATTATTATTATATTATATTATATTATTATATATTATTATTATATTATTATATTATTATATTATTATTTATTATTATTTTTATTTATTTTATTTATTTTTTATTTTATTTTTATTTATTTATTTTTTTTTATTATAAAAAATATTAAAATATATAAAAATCAAAATTTAATGTTCGTAAAAATAAGACTAAATTAAATTTTCAATTTCATTTTTTAATTATTTAATTTAATTATAAATTTTTTTAAATAATAGTTTTTTTTTAAATGTGTAATGAAAGTTCAAATGAAGATTTTGAGAAGCATAATTTTGATTGTTCAAAAATTAAATAATTTATAATCACTTCTGTATATGGAACGCCCCATGTATCTCTTATCAATATTGTCCATTGCAAGAGAACCTCAACTTTGCTCGATATCTACATTTAATAATCAAACAAAAAATGTTTACTGATTTTTAATATATAGGAAGATGCGTGAATGAATTGTGACAAATTTTAAAATAAACTGTTTCATTTCATTTCGCTTACGAGAAACATTTACATGATTTTTTTTTAATTTTCTTCTCTTCCTGATATTTTTAATTTGTTTAGTTATTTCATAATTTACACTAATTGATATTTTTCTCAGTGTTTTTTTTTTCATTTTTTTTATCTCTTACATTTTTACAAAAATAGTTTTTTTCTCATTTTTTATTATTATTCGTTTCAATTTATCTATTTTGCAATTTTTCCACTAATTTTTTAATTTCTAATTATTTAAAAATTTCTATTTTTATGAAAAATGATTTTTTAATGGTAGAACAATAATAAAATGAATACATTCGAACAAGAGGTTTTTAATAAATATTTACTCCAATGTTTCGAAATCTACGCATTATTAATTATTTAATTAATTATTAATCTTGTTAAGGAATTGATAACGTTTGGAAATCGGTTTTAAATTTAACATTCCAATTTACGCACGTACTTTTATTTTGTTTTTGTGGTTTTAGTTTATTGTAAATTGTCTAAATTTTTGTATTTATTTCTTATTGTTTATATTTATTTATTTTTAATTTTGTTTCTTTAAAGGATTTACAAAAATATTTACACACATTTTTTTGGCCATTTTTTCAAAAATTAAAAAATTCATTAAAAAATTTTTTTTTAATTTGAAAATTTATCTTTTTTTGTGAAAAAACGTATTCCTTGTTTTAAAACAATTTAAATAATTCAAATAACAAATAATAATTTTTTTAACTTTTTATACTCTAAATTTTCCTTAAATCTTATGAAACTTTTCTTAATTTTATTATTGTTTTTTGGTACTTTTATTTTAAATTTGTTGTATTAATTTATATTAATTTTTTCTATAGATACATATTTTGTAAATTTTTTTTTATTATTTATGAAATTTTTAATTCTATTTGTCAAAAAATTGTCAAATTTAAAAATGTAATTATTTTAGGGAATAATCTAACTCAGTCAAAATAAAAAAAAAAATTCAATGACATGATTTTGTTAAAAGAAAAAAAACAGTAAAAATATAACATTTAAAAACCGGACAAAAAATCCAAAAAAGTAAAAAAAAAAATAATTTTTACTTTGGATTTATTTTTTGAATTTTTTGTCCAAAGAAAATAAAAATTCAATGAATAAAATTGAGATATAAAAATTTAAATGGTTGTACTTTAATTGTGTTTCAGACAAATCTTCCCGTTTTCAAAGTTAAGGATTCTAGTGTGCGAAGAAGATATAGTGATTTTGAATGGCTTAGAAATGAATTAGAACGAGATAGCAAAGTAAGCTTATTTACAATTTCCAAGTTGTCTTAATTTCTATTTAAACAGTTTTTCAAATTTCCAAAAATCATGTTAAAATTTTAAAATTCAATTTAACCATTTGAGTGGTAATATAAATTATGAATAAGTATTAACATAAATAACTTAAATAAAGTTTTAAACATTTACATAGAAGCAAAAATGTTATAAACGAAAAAAAAATTTATGTACAAAATTTTTTTTTCGTTTCATTTATTAATTTCGTTCCATTTATTAATTTTTGTTGAAAAAGAGTGTACCACTCAATTGGTTGATAATCTTTTAATATTTTTTTTAAAACATGTTTTTAAAATTAATGTAAAGTTTATTTTTTTTTTAAGATTGTAGTTCCCCCATTGCCTGGGAAGGCTTGGAAGAGACAAATGCCCTTTCGAGGGGACGATGGTATTTTTGAAGAAGATTTTATTGAGGACCGCAGAAAAGGTTTAGAAATGTTTGTAAACAAGTAAGTATTATATTAATTAATTTATCGAAACAAAAGGAATACGTGAACGATCACAGTGTCGCTCATTTCAATTCAAATATTATTTTCAAAGAATTTTTAACTAAAATTCTTCTTTAAATCGATTATTTTCATTATTTTTAATAATTTTTGAAAAAGTTCTTAAACAATTTACAAATCTATTTGTTTACAATATTCAATTATTCGTAAGCTCTTCAATTAAATATATATTAAAAAATAACAACTTAAAAAAATTTCAAAAAAAAATTCAAATAAACTTTTGGAAAAAATTAATTTTACAGAATTGTTAGTTAAAATTTTAATTTTCAAAGATTTTAAATTGAAACCTTTTCAGAATTCAATTATTTCAAAAAATTCTCTGAAATTCATTTTTAAATCAATTTTTATTGGAAAATTCAACGAGAATTCAATTATTTAAATACAAAAATTAATAACTTATTAAATAATTAAATGTTTCTTTAAATTAAATTCTCATAAAGAATTTTATCAAAATTTTTTAAGATAATTGAATTGATACGAAGAATCTTATAAAAAATTTTCAAAAATAATTGAATTCTTACGAAGAACTTTATTAATTTTTTTTTTTAATAATTAAATTCTAGCAAAGAATTTTATAAAAATCATTTTAAATAATCGATTTTTATCGAAAAATTTTATGAAAATTGTGTTTGTTTGAAAATAATTAAGTTCCTGTGAAAATTTTATTATTTATGAAAATAATTGAATTTCTAAAAAGAATTTTATTATTTACGAAAATAATTAAATCCCTGTAAAAATTTTATACTATTTATCTATGAAAATAATTCAATTATTGCAAAAAAAATTTATAAAAAATTTACAAATCATTGAATTTATGCAAAGATTTTTATTAAAAAATTTGATAACAATTGAATTTCTTCGAAGAATTTTAATATTTATGGAAATAATTAAATTTTTGGAAAGAATTTTATTAAAATTTTTCATAATCCTAATTAAATTATTTATGAAAATAATTAATAAATAAAAGAAGTAAAAAAAAAAGAATTTTATTATTTACGAAAATAATTGAATTCCCTGTAAAAATTTTATTATTTATGAAAATAATTGAATTATTGCGAAAAAATTTATAAAAAAATTTGTAAATTATTGAATTCTTGCAAAGAATTTTATCAAAAACTTTTAAAATTATTGAATTTCTTTGAAGAATTTTATTATTTTTATTATTTTATTATTTTTATTATTTTATTATTTTTGGGAACAATTTTATTCAAATTGTTGATATTCCTAATTAAATTCTTTTGAAGAATTTCTTCGAATTTTTTTTTTAAATAATGGAGTTTCTTTAATAATTTTAATCGAAAATTTTCAAAGTAATTGAATTTTATATGAACAATTTCTCTCAAGTTTTTACAATAATCGTGTTTCTTATTTAATAATTGAAATTAAACATTTAATTCTTGAATTTTATTAAAAGTTTTAGAAAATACTTGAATTCTTTCGAAAAAATTTCTTTAATTTATTGAATAAAATCGAATTTTTTAATAATTGTATTGTGAAATAATTGAATTTCTTAAAAAGAATTTTATTATTTATAAAAAGTAATTTAGTTCTTACAATGAATTTTACTACTTATAAGAATAATTGAATTTTTTCGAAGGATTTATTAAAATTTTAGAAAATAATTGGATTATTTCGAAAAATGTTATTAAAAATTTTTTTTTTAAATTCAATTCTTTCATGAAATGTTATTAAAATTGTATTAGAAATAATTGAATTTTTGGGAAGAATTTTTTTAATAAAATTTTTGAAAATAATTGAATTTCGGAGAAGAATTTTATTATTTATAAAAATAATTGTTGATGAGAAATTTCAAAAAAAATTTGACCATGATTGAATTTTTGCAGAGAATTTGATTAATTTTGAAAATAATTGATTTTTTGCAATTATTTGTAACTTTTCAAAAATTCTTCAAATTATATCGTTAAATTTGCGAACTTTTATTATTTTTACAATAAAATTACGAACTTTACGTACCTTTTTTTTAAAAAACTGACTTCTACGGACTTTTACGGAATTCACGGACCTAGTTCAAGCCCTGAACAAAATTTTTTAATTTTATTTTTTAGATTTTTTTTTATTAAAAAATCTAAAAAAAAAAAAATTAAAAAAATTTTGTTTGAAAGAATGACTAATTTTTTTTAAACAAATGGCCATATTTTTGTTAAAAATTGTACAAAAATTTTAAAAAATACATTTTAAAGGTGACGAAATTAGCTTTCAAATGATATATTACAATTAAAATGTGATTCATTCAATAAATTCTCATAATAATTGTTTTCGTTTACAGAATAGCCGGACACCCGTTAGCACAGAATGAACGATGTCTTCATATGTTTCTACAAGAATTAATTATCGACAAGAATTATGTGCCTGGAAAAATAAGAAATACATAATCTATGAAGAGGATTGTCAATTTCTAGCAATACTTTTCTTAAATTTTGTTAAAGTTGTTAATAATAACGATGAATTCTTTTTATTAAAGATATCCATTAATTGTAAATTTAATTGATAGTCTCTCTCTCTTTTTATTATCTGATTGAAAATATAGCATTGAATTTTTATAATCAAATATAAATGCATGTAATGTATTTCAATATTTTAATCTTTAAAGGAGGTAGTGTATTTTGGAAAACATAATCATCATAAATATGTAAGTGCTTAATAATTCCTTATATTATATGTGTATTAGTTAATTTAAAGCAATTATATTTCTTTGTAACAAAGGCAAAAAGGAAAAAAAAATTACCAGGCCCTTAAGTATGTTTATAATTTGCTGTTATAAAATATTTAGTGCCTTAATTAAAAATAATCATGTTTGCAATATTGGTAATATTTTCCAATTTATGTTAAAACACTTTGGATACTTTTTTCTAGATTTTATATGTCTGTACATATTTCTCCTGTAATAAATGTCATAATGTGAATCGGAATTATACTTTTTTGTTTTTTTAATAATAAATTCTAGTTTGATTTTAAAAGTTCGAAAATCCAAAATGGCGAAGCTCGAAGCTATAATTAATCGAATTTACAAAAAGAAAATAGAATTAATTAATTTTATTTCATTTAGTTGGTTTCCCTCTTATTTTTTAATTCTACTTGAATAATAGAAAAAAGTAAATTTCTTATACAGTGCGAAAGAAATAAAAATAATTTGGCTCATAGGAAAAAAGATAAGTTTTCCATTGGGATTGGTTAACAAAAAAATAAAAATATTGAAATTAAAAATTTGACCTTGAATTTCAAGGTCGAATTAAAAGAAAACAATTTTTTTTCATCGCCAGCTTGTAGCTCGTGAAAAACCCTTCAAAAACCACTATTCACATTTTTAATTTGATTAATTTTACTTATCAATATATTAAATCGAAAAAAAGATATTTTCAAAAAAGTCAAAATTTTCCAACTCTGTAACTCAAAAAATATTTTATCAAATTCAATAATAAGTCATATTTACACCTCTACTAATAATAGTAACATTTTGGCAAAGTTAAGAGAAAATTCATTTTTTGACCTGGACAGTTGAGGAATTTTGACCTATCCTGTTATTCTTTTTACAAAACTCAATTCTTTTAATTGGTTTACCAATTGAGGTTATGTTCTCTTGTAATATTTATATTTATGTTTCAAATTTTTAATTTTAATTGTTTTTTATTTATTATTTTCCAAATGCGGTAAGATATATTTTTTTTCTATATTATACTTTGAAGTACATGTATACACTTAAACCGACATTTATATATATATATATATATTTTTATTAGTTCCTGATGAGCTGTGTTAGGCGAAAATGCATTAGAGAGAAATAAAGTATTTTCAATAAAATTATTTCTTAAAAAAATCAACACCTTAGTTTTACGGACCAATGGCCACAAAATCTACAAAAAGTTTATATATATAAAAATTAAGGTCCTAAAAATAGAAAAATAATCAAAACTCAAATAACAATTTTATAATTTTAAGGGGATGTCAAGGTCGATGGAACTTTACATTATAGAGCTGCAATGGGAAAATCCGGAAAATCCAATCGACTTTGACACCCCCCTTAAAGGTCATGTTATTCAGTGGTCACGTGACCTTTATACTTTACTATGGAAAAACGTCACACTAAATGCGATTGTTCTACTTGTTAAGTTTTAAAATCGACAATTTTTAAGAATTATTTCTTAGAAAATTGTGAATTTACTTATTATTTTCTTAGTGTAAGGTATAGCTTTTAAATATATAAATTATAAATTATTTCTTCTTTAATATTAACTTTGGTCACGAAAGATTTCTTTTAAGTATCAGGGGTCATATTAAAGGGTCGGGAAAATTTTTTTGGGGTTTGACCACTTAAATGGCCATTATGCTCTTTTCATTTTGAGGTGAATGCACGCGTCCCAATAAGGGAGCTTCTACAACAGATGTAAATAATGGTACGGTCACACTACTTTTGGAAAAACTATAGGGATCTGAAATCATAACGTCACTAACAAATATGGCGGTCGCAACGGGGTCAAATTTTAACAAACACACATGTTTTAGACGTCTTTTTAATTATTTTTCCATAAAGGCCAACGCAGAATAGATCTGTAACCGGAACCGCAATCGTAAGCGTAACCGTAAGAATGAGTTAAAGAAGGATAGGTATATTGTTATCCTTCTCTAACTCATTCTTACGCTTACGGTTACGATTGCGGTTCCGGTTACAGATCTATTCTGTGTTGGCCTTTAAAAAGTTGAATAAAGCTATTTGTGGAGTTAAAAATTGCTTCGGTTTCTTTACACGCAAATTTTAAAAACTATTAAAATGATGCATTTCTCATTAAATATTTAATATATTATGGAGTAAAACAAATCACATTAGTGTTTCAGGTTATGTTTACATTCGAAATGCACCTGTCAATATAAAAATTGTTTTCATTATGGAAAAACATTTTTTACTTCATTAAATTATTAAAAAAATATCTACTCTAAATATTTAATGAAAATTTGAAGTGGAAATACATTTTCTTTTCACAAAAGTAAAGGAGTTAGTGGGTGAATATAGTTTATAGGTTATGTTGTGTCTCTTGTTTACAAATCTGAAAATATTAAATAAATATGTTGTAGGAGACACACTGCAATAAAAAAATATGCAATAACATAATTTTAAACTACTTTTTGTTTTGCTTTGAACAAGAAGAGAAAGATAAATATATGCTGTTTTTGTTACACTCACTGCGTTCAACGCAAAACGCAGCAGGCATAAACCTTAGGGTACTGTCACACTGTTCCCTAATCTGATAAGGATAAAAGATGAAAACAGCATATTGTGGACATAACCTAAGGAACAACAGCAACTTGTTTCAGTTGTGATTAGACCTTTAGAAAATTTTAAGAATGTGTGTGTTTAGTAGGTGTTTATTTTGAATGTTTCATTAGAAGAACATAACCCTTCAAAATGTGTTTATATTTCGAAAGATCGAAATTATAATTTACTATTTCTTATATTTTTATAATAAATCCAAATTACATTTCTTTAAAGTATTATTCTTTGACACTGACAGTGTCTAATGTAGAGTTTAATACAAGTCATCGTAATGAGTGAATTTAAACTTCATCATTTAGTTAAAGAATTAATTGAATTATTGGGGTAAGTAGAAAATTTACTGAACTTACTTAAGCGAAAATCAGGTCAATTTCAATTCAACAAAAACAAATTAATTAATTTAATTAAAAACTAACAAATTGTCAGCTATTATTCTCTTTCTAAAAAAAAATCGTTTTCTTAAATATATAGCGAAATATACATAGAATGGTTTATAAAAAATTTGTATCTACCTATTTTCTTAATAATTTGTTAAGTAATTTTTAAGGGCAAAATATTAATTAATAGCTTTTTCATTCTTAATTATTTTAAGTTCCATCAAACGAATAGAAAGCGCATTACATATATTTATCGGAGTGTTCATTTCATCAGCCTAATGGATCACCCACTTTTAAAATTAATCTAATATTTTCTAATAATATACAACGTTCATACGAAATCAAAATTTATTTACAGATCATCTGCTCCACCAGAAAAATATGTAGAAAAAATTCACAAGGAAGCGACAACTTCCCCTTCTGCATTGAATACAGTCGTTACACAAAGTTGTATACGACAAGTAGCAAAAAATGCCCCTAATCCAGAATTATTTCTTCAAAAATATGAGGAACTTAAATCAAAGAAGTAAGCTTTTTTAATTTCTTACTGCGACCTTTAGAATTTCGAACTAAAGTATATAATCCAGAGTTGCCACAGGTCAGGGAAATCAGGGAAAAGCCAGGAACTTTTTATTAAAGTACTGGAAAAAATTGAATTTTTGAGAAGTTACAAATGGTTTAAGATTTTCAATTACTTTCAAAAGTAATAAAATTCTTCGCAAAAATTCAATTATGTTTAAAAATTAAAAAAAAATTCTCATTAAAATTTTAATTATCTTTAAAAATAGATAATAAAATACTTCTCCAAAATTCAATTATTTTCAAAAATTTTAATAATATTTTTAGCAAAATTTCAATTATTTTTAAATAAAATTTTTTAAAAGAATTCAATTATTTAAAGAAAATGTAATAAAATTCGTTGCAAAAATTCACTTATTTTCCTAAATAATAGAATTATTGACAGAATTTCAATTATTTTTAATACAATTTTAAGTAAATTCTTGGAAAAATGTAATTATTTTTAAAAATTTTATTAAAATTCTTCAAAAGAAATCAATTATTTTCATAATAGAATTTCAATTATTATTTTTAATACAATTTTAATCAAATTCTTCGAAAAATGTAACTATTCTTGAAAATTTTATTAAAATTTGTCGAAAAAATTCAATTATTTACAAATTTCTTGATAAAATTCTTTATGAGAATTCAGTATTTTGAGAAATTAAAAAATTAAAATTGGTTTAAAAATGAATTGCAGTTAAAATTTTCGATAATAATTGAATATTAAAAGCATTATAGCATGAATTTTTAAAAATAATGGAAAAATTTGAATTGCTCATACTTATAACCGACAATTCTGTAGAATTAATTTTTTTTTTTTTTTTTTGTAAAGGTTTAATTGATTTTATTTATTTCAAGTTTTTATTTTCTAAAATATATTTAATTGAAAAATTTTCGAATAATCGAATTTTGATTGGAATCCTGGAAAATTATTGTTTTCTAAAGTTATTGTGCTTATTCTTGAAATCTGATTTTTTTAATTCAATTTTCTCAATTCAAACTTCTGAATTCAATTTTAAAAGAGTTGCCTTCACAATTTTTCTTCGCAATAATTCAATTATTTTCATAAATAATCAAATGTTTTTTACAAAGATTCAATTATTTTCATAAATAATAAAAAACTTTATAGATTTTCAATTATTTTCATAAATAATATAAATATAAGTGATCGCAGAATTTCAATTATTTTTAATACTATTTTAATGGAATTTCTTGAAAAATGTAATTATTCGTAAAAATTTTATTAAAAATCATTAAAGAAATTCAATTATTTTAAAAAGCCTTCCTATAATTTATTTATTAGAATTCAGATATTATTGTCAATACATTTTTAATTAAATTTCTTCGAAGAATTCAATTATTTTCAAAAAATTTAATGACATTCTTTTTAACAATTCAATTTATTTTCAAAATAATTTTAATAAAATTCTTCGTAGAAATTTCATTAATTTCTATAATTTATAAACATTCAATTATTTTCAATATCTACTATTTCAACAAAATTTCACAAAAAAATTCAATTAGGTATTTAGAAAGAAAAATTATTAAAAAATTCGTCTGAAGAATTCAATTATTTTTAAAAGTAATAAAATTCTTAGCAAAAATTTAATTATGGATACAAAAGTTCGAAAAAATTATCGTCAAAATTTCAATTATCTTTAGAAATATTAAAATTTTTCTCCAAAATTCAATTATTTTCAAAAATTTTAATGAAATTCTTTTTAACAAATTCAATTTTTTTTTAAATTGTTCTCCATTCAATAATTTTTAATCTACTATTTTAATAAAATTTTCCAAAAGAAATGAATTATTTAAAAAAAAATTTTGATAAAATTCTAAGCAAACCTTTTATTATTTTTATAAATAACAAATATTTCACAGCAATTCAATTATTTACAAATTTTTTTATAAATTTCTTTGCAATAATTCCATTATTTTCAAAAATATTCAATTTATTTTCACAGAGATTCAATTATTTTTATAAATATTAAAGAACTTTTTCAAAAATTAATTAAAAATAATAAATTTATGGAAGATGTATAGTTAAAAACACGAAAAAAAATTCAATTTTGTAAAAGTTAGAAATTATTGGAAAAATTCAATTATTTTCAAGAATAATAATATTCTTCGCATAAATTAAATATTGTTTAAAAGTTATAAAATTCTTCTTAGGGATTCAATTATTTTCACAAATAATAAAACTAATTGTTGAATTTCAATTATTTTTAATACAATTTGAATCGAATTTCTCGAAAAATGTAATTATTCTTAAAAGTTTTATTAAAATTCGTTGATAGAATTCAATTATGTAAAAATTTGTTGATAACGATTCTTTATGGGAATTGAATTTTAAGAAATATTCAATTATTCAAAAATTACTTATTTTTGTATTTAAATAATTGAATTGTCGTAGAATTTTCTAATTATAATTGATTCAAATATGAATTTCAGTTAAAATTGTAGATAATTGAATTTTGATCTTTGAATGTTTGAATTTTTCATACTTTTAACTGAAAGTTGTGTAGATTTAATTTTTTTTGAAAAAGTTCAATTGAATGTTTTTTAAGTTATTTGAAGTTTTTATTTTCTAATATTTGATTGAAGAATTTCCGAATAATCGATGAAATTTCGTAAAATTGAATTGTAAACAAAAGGATTTGAAAATGTTGAAAGAATTGTTTTAAAAATTATTAATATTAATTAATAATAATTAATTTAAAGAAGAATTTTAGTTAAAAATTTTGGAAAACAATAATTGAATTAAAATGATGAAAGTAATTTTGAATAAGTTACAGTAAAAATATTCTTATAATATAAAATAATGATTTTATCAGTTGGTCAATTTTAATTATTATAAAACATGAAGATATCGATGACTCGGAGTTATCGATATTTTCATGTTTTATAACATTTTTTTATAAGATTTTTAATTTCAAAATGGCTTGAATTAAAAATTTTGTTAAATATAAATGTAGTTTTAAAAACTTGGAAAAATTCCGTTTTTTAACCTGGAAAACCTGGAAAAGTCAGGGAATTTGAAATGAGCAAAAGCGTGGTAACCCTGTACATTTTTTGAAGAATTCACTTAAAATTATATTAAAAATAATTGAAGTCCAGTGAAGAATTTTATTATTAGGAAAATAAGTGAATTCTTGCAACGAATTTTTATTACATTTTTTAAAAATAATTGATATCTTATGAAAAATTTGATTATTTATGAAAATAATTGAATTCATGTGAAAAATTTTATTACAACTTATAAAAATAATTGAATTCTTGCGAAGGATTTTATTAAAATTTTTGTAAATAATTTAATTTTTATTTTTGGAAAATTTTATGGAAAAGTCAGGGAAAAACAAAATTAATTTTTTCTGGCAATCCTGATAATCGTTGGTATATGTTTTTTTTACTTCATTTAATTTTTTTTTATCTTGAAAATTTATAAAATAATACTAAATATTTAGGGTGGATCTATTGGGGCCCTTCACACAACTTTTGCAATTTTTAACTCTGGATGAGGATTTAAAAGAATCTTTAGCAAAAGTCATATTGACTTCAACAACCACACCTTCATCAAAATCAATTACGGAAGATGACTTGTCAAAGGTTTATTTTACAAGTTTTAATTTTGTGAACTTATTACAATATAATCCGAAAAATTCTAAAAATTTGCTCCAACTATTTGTCTCGAATTGCATTTAAAATTTTAATTTTTAATATTATTGATTGAAAAGAAAAGAATTTTCTTGAAATAAAAATTGTTCATAGATTCGCAAGAGTGTTATAAAAGCCGCAGTTGAGGGTGAAAAGAAATTTAGCAGGCATGTTGGAACTGTTGGTAGACATAGTGATCAAGCAATTGCAAGGCCGAATTGGATCATAGAAAGGCCTCGAATTTCTTGGGATTTTCATAACGACATGTCCATTGTTCCTTGTCAAAGTACGTTACTTTTTCGTTATTGTCTATATCAGCAAATAATGGATTTTCAGTTGAACTAATAAGAACTGAAGTTCATTGAATTAAAAGTGAGAAATTTTAATAATTTTTAATACAAATATTTCAGAGGCTGTGCCTATTGTATCTCAAGAATCAGTACTACTCTGGGATCTTTTGAACTGTTTGAAAGGAATCGATGGAACTTACATAGTTTCAGAATCCTTGAAAAGTCAGTATGATGCAGTTGTATTCAAAATATCACCCGATGTTGGTAAGAGTTAATTTCTACGAATTTTTGAAACTAGCATGAAACGTTTAAAAAACGTTACTTAATTTCGTCTATATTTGAATTTCGTCGTGAATTATAAAAATTAGTCTAGATTACAAATTACGTTTTTAGACGTTATTACGTTTTTTTTTTTTGTTTTTTTTTTGTTTTTAGACTCACGCTAGAAGACGAATACTAAAAATTATAGTTTACTTTTATTGAAATTTTAGGTATTTCATACCGACAATTGACGCAACAAATTTTGCCATTGGCTTCATATTATTCAATAACCGTTCGATTTATTGAGGAAAAAGATTTACCCGATTCAGGTCAAGTGAATCACGCCTTAAGAAGTGCTTTGAGATGTCTACTCAAAGATTATTTGGTACTTAGATTCTTCAGTTTCATTGATTTTATTTCTGTAAATTCTAACAAGTTTTTACTATTTTTTAAAATTTGTTTTTATACTTTTTTTAGTTGTTCCTGGTACAATTAGAAATGGAGCACAGACGTGGAAAACTGAATTTACAGAAAATGTGGTTCTATATTCAACCAACAATGGCAACAATGTCAATTCTCTCACAGATTACGTCAACTATTTGTAAAGTTTGTATATCTATGTTTATTGTAACTAAATAGAAAATTCTCTTGATTCGAATCAGAGTTGCCATGCAACCTGGAAAACCTGGAAATGTCAGGGAATTTTATAAACCTTGAAAAAACCTGGAAAAGTCGGGGAATTTTGATCGAAATCCTGGAAAATTGTTATTTTCTAAAGTTTATTCTTGAAATCTAATTTTACATAAATATTTCAAAATTAATTGAATTTTAAAAGAGAATTGCGTTTACAATTTTCATAAGTAACAGATGAATTTCAAAAGATTTTAATTTGAAATTTTGTAAAATTTCAATTTTGAATGAATTTAATTAGAAATCGTCTTAAAGAACGTAGATTTTTGAGAAATTTTAATTATTCCAATTCTTCTGAAATTAGTTAAATTTTTTAATCAATATTTTTAATTTATTATTAAAAACAATGGATTTATAGAAGAATTTTAATTAAAAACACTAAAAGAAAGTGAATTTTGAAGCAATTACAAATGATTGCAGAAATTCAATTATTTTCAAAAGTTGTAAAATTCTTCTTAGAAATTCAATTATTTTCAACAATTTTCATAAAATTTATGGCAAAATTTCAATTATTTTAAAAAACTTTTATCAATTCAACGATTTTTAATAAATTTACTACTTTTATAAAATTTCCCAAAAGAATTTAATTATTTAAAAAAAATTTTTAAATTCTACGCAAACATTTCATTATTTTCATAAATAATAAAACTCATCGCAGACTTTCAATTATTTTTAATACAATTTTAATGGAATTCCTCGAAAAATGAAATTATTATTAAAAATTTTATTAAAAATCATCAAAGAAATTCAATATTTTTAAAAACCTTTGCTACAATTTATTTATATTAGAATTTAAGTATTATTTTCTATAATAAGTTTTAATTAAATTTCTTGAAAAAATTAAATTATTTTCAAAAATTTTAATGAAATTCTTTGCAACAATTCAATTTTTTTCAAAATAACTTTAATAATATTCTTCGTAAAAATTTAAATAATTTCAAAAATTTGTCAAAATTCAATTATTTTCAATGTTTACTATTTCAATAAAATTTCATAAAAAGAATTCAATTATTAAAAAAGACATTTTAATAAAATTCGTCTCAAGAATTGAATTATTTTCAAAAATTAATATAATTCTTCGCAGAAATTTAATTGTGTTGAATAATTTACAAAAATTCTTGGCAAAATTTCAATTATTTTCAAAAACACTAAAAAAAATTCTTTGGAGAAATTCAATTATTTTTAATTAAAATTTTAATCAAATTTCCGAAAAATGAACTTATTTTTAAAAATTTTATTAAAATTTGTCAGGAGAAATCAAATATTTAAAAATTTGTTGAGAAAATTCTTTTTAAGAGTTCAATTTTACGAAATATTCAATTATTCAATAAATTATTTATTTGCATTTTATTTGTATTTCAATAATTGAATTCTCGTGAATTTTTTTTAGTAAATATTGATTTAAAAATTAATTTAAGTTAAAATTTTACATTATCATTGAATATTGAAAGCTAATAGCGTAAATTTTTAGAAATAATTGAATTTTGAAAAGATTCCAAATTAAAATCTTTGAAAACTTTAACTTTTCGTACTTTTTGATTAAAACAATTCTGTAGAATTAATTTTTTTCAAAAAAGTTTAATTGAATTTTTCTTTAATTTTTTTTTTCCAATATATATTTAATTGAAGAATATCAGAATAATTGACATTACGTAAAAATTAATATTGAAGAATTTTGTCAATTTTAAAAATAATTGAATTATTTCGAAGAATTTTATTCAAAATTTTGAGAATAATTGGAATTCCTGTGAATAATTTTACTATTTTTAAAAATAATTGAATTCTTTACAAGATTTTAAAGGAAATTTTGAATTAATTTTTCTTAAAAAGTTTAATGGAATTTTTTTTTAATAATTTGAAGTTTTTAATTTCTAATTTATTTAATTGAAGAATGTCAGAATAATCGAAATTTTAGGTATAATATTGAATTGTACACAAATTGATTTAAAAATTCTCAAAGAAGAACTTTTTCAAAAATTATTAAAAAAAAATTGTTTTGAAAAAGAATTTTAGTTTAAAATTCTAGAAATGAAGAATTGAATTGAAATGAAAATAATTTCGAAGAAATTACAGTAACAATATTTTTATAGTATAAAATAATGATAGTTTTCAAGTTTTAATTATTATTTTCATGTTTTATAATAATATTCTTGAATTACAAATTTTTGAAAATCTTAATTTCTGTAAAAAAAAAATAATTATTAAATATGCATTTAAAAACGAAGTTATTGATGTTTTCGAGTAATTTTACAATTAAAGAAATTCGTAAATAAATGTAATAGAACAGGAAAAAAGTCATTTTGCCTGGAAATCAGGGAATTTGGTAAAATTAAAAATTAAATAAAAATTAAAATTTTGTAAAATATAAATGTAGTTTTAAAAACTTGGAAAAATTCCGTTTTTAACCTGGAAAACCTAGAAAAGTCAGGGAATTTGAAATGAGGAAAAGCGTGGCAACCCTGATTCCGAATGTAAATTAAAGAATAATTTCTTTTTTAGGCAAATGCCAGAGGTGGAAAAGTGTTGAGTTTACTTCACGAGCAGGTAAATTCGATGAGCGGAGACGCAAAGTGCAAAGAACTTTGTTTATTTTTAATAAAAGAATCAAGTGTTCCATATATGAAGATGTTAGAAAAATGGGTGTATAAAGGTGTTATCTACGATCCATATCAAGAGGTTAGTTTTATTAATTCATTGTGATGGAAGAAAATTTATACACTGCATCTAATTGTTCTTGATTTTAGTTTCTTGTAGAAGATAACGAGCTTATCCAAAGGGAAGAGCTTCCTATGGATTATTCAGCGGATTATTGGGAAAAGAGGTACACAATGAGACCTGATAGGATTCCAATTTTTCTCAATGATCTTGCACAAACGATTCTCAGAACTGGAAAATACTTTAACGTCATCAGGCAATGTGGTATGTTGATAAAATAACCCACCCTGAAAAACTGTTGGTTGCGTTGGTTTACTTTTATCTTTTTTTTTTTTTGTAAAATTAGGTAAAACTGTTGAATATAGAAAGCAAGAACCTCTGGTTTATCAACATCGTGATCAAAAGTACATTGCTATTATTGATAGAGCTTATTCCGAAGCGGCAAGAACATTACTTGAAGTTCTAATTCAGGAAAATGATTTAATGGGAAGATTGCGAAGCATTAAAAGCTATTTTCTTCTCGCTCAGGGTGATTTTGTTGTGCAATTTATGAACCTTTGCGAAGCGGAATTAAGCAAAAATATGGATGACATTGTAATTCATCGATTGGCTTCACTTCTTGAAGTAGCTTTGCGTCTATCGACTGCAGATTCTGATCCCTATAAAGATGATTTGAAACCAGAATTACTTCCCTACGATCTTCAATATCAGATGTTTAGAATATTGTTGATTCAAACAAGCGAGGAGAAAGGTATTGTAATTGTAAAAAAATTTGCTAAAATCAATTCTAAGTTCGTGTTATTATTGTACTTGTATATTTTTAGAATTTTGCATGCAAACAGATAAAGTACTGAGTGGATTAGAGGCATTTGTTTTTAATTACGATTTAAAGTGGCCAGTTTCGTTAGTGATCAACAGAAAAGCTATAGCTTGCTACCAAATGTTATTTAGACATTTGTTCTACTGCAAGCATATCGAAAGACTTCTTTGCAGGTAACACTTTATGTATTTCTTTATATTTAGAGTATTTATTATAGTATCTCAGTATTTATTTATTTAAACTTTAAAGTATTCTTAAAATGCAAAGCATGATTATTTGTGTATTCAGAGTATGGATCAGCAACAAAATCGCAAAGACTTTTACTCATGAAGCTGCAATGGCTTATCGACAAGCTTTCTCTGTAAGGCAGCGAATGTTAGATTGCATCCAACATTTGGAATATTATATGATGGTCGAGGTGATCGAACCTAATTGGCAATTATTTTTAAATAAAATGAGCAAAGTAAGTTTATTAAAACAATAAACGAAAATACCTCTATTCTTGAAAATTGCTAATTATTTTCTTCTTCCAACGCTAATTTTCCACAGGTTACTAACGTCGATGATGTATTGAGCGTACATCAAGATCTGCAGGACAGTTGCCTAAGAGAATGTATGCTCACAGATCCCGATCTGCTAACATGCATAACTGGAATTTGCGCCACTTGTGTAGAATTTTGTGAATTTATGCAGGTAAAATATTTAGAATTTTTTAATTTAAACAGGCATCACAGTTGGTCCCCTTTTCCCCTTTTGTCCCCTTATTTCAATTTTATCCCCTTTTTCACCTTTTTTCACGATTTGTCACCTTTTCCCCTTTTTTGCTGATTTGTCCCTCTTTTCACCTTTTTCTAATCAAAAATAAACAAGTTTTTCTTTTTTTGAAATTTTTTTCAAAGTGTAATCATAAAATTTAGACTCAAAGTTATAGAATTCAGTGCGTTTTATATCTGATTTAGATTATTAACACCACAACATAATATAAATATGTTTTTTTATGGTAATCATTTAAATAATATAGACATCGTAAAAAGAATTTTATAAATTATAAGGAGGTTCATTCAACAGAATGCAGACCTTTAGAAAAATAATTAATTAACAATCAAATAATTAAAATATTATTATTAATAGTTTTTTCTAGAAAAAACTAAAATTCTAATATAAAACCTTCAATTTTTTCCATTTCTAACAATAATTTCTTTCAAAATAACTTAATTCTTGAACAACTATCATAAAATTATAACTTGGAAATTATTTAATGAACTAGCCAAACTATCCGCGCGGGAATGTTGTATGGGGCTGCTTATTTTAAACAATTTAAAAAATTTTAAAGAAATAATTATTATAACCTAACAAAGAGATTTAACTAACTAAAATTCAAATAATTTCACTCAATGGTCTCAATTTAAATAGAATTTACATTACTAGACTTAAACTATGGCTAGAACAATTACAATTAGTATCTGGATCATCTTTTGCATTGCTTATTTTATAAAGCCATTTTAAATTAAATACTTTTTAAAGAAATAATAATTATTACACACTGAAAAAAGTTTTACTTGAAATAGCGATAAGTTTCTCTAGAATAACGAAAGTATTAATTGAAGCACTAAATAATTTCGCTACTAAAGTGAAATCTGTAGTTCATCCAGCTAAATATTTTTTGCCGTGCATAACGAAAAAAGAATTAAATTAACATCAGATTTTCTACATTAAAAAAAAACGAATTCAAATAGAAATTAATCATTTTACAACTTAACCAAATTCACCCCAGAAATCACTGAAATCGATAATTTAGAAGAAAGTCAGACAAAAGCAGGGTTCCTACAGAATCTGGAAATCATGGAAATCATGGAAATGGTATGGAATTTTTAAAAGGCTTCTGGAAATCAGGGAAATCATGGAAAAATCCTGTAATTTTTAAAAAATTCTAAATTTTTTCAGTTTTCCATTTTTTCTCTTGAATAAAAATTCAAATAATAATAAAGCTAAATGGTATAAAAGAAAAAAAAATGTTGAATTTTAAGAAATTCAATTTTTCGGTTTTTTGATAATTTTTAATAATTTTTTATTTTTTTCCAAAGAGTCGAGACAATTTAATAAGTAAAGTATTTTCCAAAAGCACAAAAATAATGAAGCTAAATCCCATAAAAGAGAAGAAAAAATGTTGAATATTAAGAAAATCGGATTTTTTAATTTTTTCGAATTTTTGATAATTTTAGATTTTTTACCAAAGATTCGAGACAATTTAATAAGTAAACTATTTTCCAAAAGCACAAAAATAATGAAGCTAAATCCCATAAAAGAGAAGAAAAAATGTTGAATTTTAAGAAAATCGGATTTTTGAATTTTTTCGAATTTTTTCGAATTTTAGATTTTTTACCAAAGAGTCAAGACAATTTAATAAGTAAAGTATTTTCCAAAAGCACAAAAATAATGAATCTAAATCTCATAAAAAAGAGGAAAAAATTTTAAATTTTAAGAAAAACGGATTTTTGAAATTTTTCGAATTTTTGATAATTTTAGATTTTTTACCAAAGAGTCGAGACAATTTAATAAGTAAAGTATTTTCCAAAAGCACAAAAATAATGAATCTAAATCTCATAAAAAAGAGGAAAAAATTTTAAATTTTAAGAAATTCAGATTTTTGAATTTTTGATAATTTTCATAAATTTTAGATTTTTTACCAAAGAGTCGAGACAATTTAATAAGTAAAGTATTTTCCAAAAGCACAAAAATAATGAAGCTAAATCCCATAAAAGAGAAGAAAAAATGTTGAATTTTAAGAAAATCAAATTTTTGATAATTTTAGATTTTTTACCAAAGAGTCGAGACAATTTAATAAGTAAAGTATTTTCCAAAAGCACAAAAATAATGAAGCTAAATCCCATAAAAGAGAAGAAAAAATGTTGAATTTTAAGAAAAACGGATATTTGAAATTTTTCGAATTTTTGATAATTTTAGATTTTTTACCAAAGAGTCGAGACTATTAAATATGTAAAGTATTTTCCAAAAGCACAAAAATAATGAAGCTAAATCCCATAAAAGAGAAGAAAAAATTTTGAATTTTAAGAAAAACGGATTTTTGAAATTTTTCGAATTTTTGATAATTTTAGATTTTTTACCAAAGAGTCGAGACTATTAAATATGTAAAGTATTTTCCACATTAAAAAGTTTGACATTAAAAAATATATAAATAATGCCAATACTTAACCCACAAAATTAAATTTTCAAAACAAACAAATGAATGCAGATAATTTGCTAACGGAAACGAAACTTACGATTATTATAATGTATAATTTTATTTATACATTTCAAAATTAATTCAACTTTAAAATAGTTTCGTTTACAATTTTCATAAATAGATGAATTTGAAAAGATTTTATCTTCAAATTTTATAAAATTTCAATTTTTAATGAATTTTATTAGAAATTCTAAAGAACTTACATTTTTGCAAAAATTTTCAAAATTTAAATAATTTTAAAATGAGTTATATTTTTTAATATATATATATATTTAATTAATTATTAAAAATAATAAATTTATCGAGAAATTTTAGTTAAAAACACTAAAAAAAATTTTTATTTTGGAGAAGTTTTAAATAATTGCAAAAATTCATTTATGTATTTTAAATAATAATAAAATTCTTCGCAGAAATTCAATAATTTTCAAAAAATTTGATAAAATTCTTTGCAAAATTTCAATTATTTGCAAAAATTTTCCTAAATTCAATTATATACAATATCTACTATTTTAATAAAATTTTTCACAAGAATTCAATTATTTAAGAACAATTTTAATAAAATTCTACGCAAACGTTTAATTATTTTCATAAATAAAAAAAATGTTACAAGAATTCTATTATAACAAATTTTTTATGAATTTCTTCTCAATAATTCCATTATTTTTAGAAATATTCAATTTATTTTCACAGAGATTCAATTATTTTTAGTATAATTTTAATTAAATGCCACGAAAAATGTAATTATTTTTAAAAAATTTTATTAAAATTCGTCGAAAGAATTTGATTATTTAAAAATTTTTTGATAAAATTTTTTATGAGAATTCAATATTAAGAAACGTTTAATTATTCAATATAAATTCTTTCTTTTTTTATTTAAATAATTGAATTCTAGTAGAATTTTTTTGATAAAAATTAATTTAAAAATGGATTTCAGTTAAAATTTTCGATTATAATTGAATATTAAAACCATTATTGTAGCGTGAATTTTTAGAAATAATTGAATTTTGAAAAAGTTTTAAATTGAAATCTTTGAAAATATGAATTTTTCATATTTTTAACTAACAATTCTGTAGAATTAATTTTTTCAAAAAGTTTAATTGAAATTATTTCAAGTTTTTAATATTTAATTGAAGAATTTCTGAATAATCGATGTAATTTCGTAAAATTGAATTCTAAACAAATACATTTGAAAATTCTCATAATTTTTAAAAAAATTATTGTAAATAATTGATTTGAAGAAAAAATTTTAGTTAAAAAATTTAGAAAATATTAATTGATTTGAAATGATGAAAATAATTTTGAAGAAGTTAAAGTAAAAATATTTTTTATAGTAAAAAATAATGATCTTATTACTCGGAGTGATCATTTTCTTCATGTTTTATAATAATATTCTCATAAATTGTTGAATTTCAAAAAGATTTGAATTTGAATGTTTTGAAAATCTTAATTCCTATGGAAAAATAATAATGATTAAATATTTTTTTTAAAAACAGTTATTGTTGTTTTCGAATAATTTTACAGTTGAAGAAATTTGTAAATAAATGTAAAAGAACATTTTTTTGAGTATCTAATAATTTTTAGACTGAATCGCAGAATATTCTTTAGGGAAAAAGTCAAAATTTTGTCTTGAAATCAAAGAAAAGTCAAGGAAATTATATATGCAAGTTGTATAAACAAATAAATTTTTATCCCCTTTTGGTCCCCTTTTTGAGGAAAAAAATTCCCCTTTTCACCTTTTTTGAGGAAAAAAAAGGTACTGTGATGCCTGATTATTTATGCTACATTTTTCTTTCATCTTTCTTTCAATTAACAATTTTTAATTGGTATTACTAACTCCACTAAACAAAGTTTGTAGTGTGAAAATGTACATAATACATTTCTCCTGTTGTAAAAAAAGCCTTTTTTTTATTAATCAAAAAACTCTTGAATTTGAAATTAAATTAAGTATAAATACTCGGAAAGCTTAATTAGTGAAATTGGCAAAGTAATTTATAAGTCATCCTAAATATGATTCTTCATAAGTCGATAAATTTTTTATTTCAATACAAATAGAAACTAAAAGTTTAGTACATTTCGTATTATTTGATAAAAATAATTTTCTTTTAAATTTAAAACCTCATTAAGCATATGAGCCGCTACTTCGTCGATGCTGAATTGACTTCGATGATGGGCACCTGCCAAGACGACACCTCTGAACCTGAGGTGAACTACTTCTTTCAAAAAACATCATTAAGTGTTCATCGTCACATTTCGACAATGAATAATGACTTAAAATTGCATTAGATGATTATTACTTCTCATGTCGCAAAAAATCATTTTCATATCTTTTTTAGTTCTGAATGAACAAATTTTTCGTAGAATATTAATTTTTTATTTCCATTTTCATCAGCATGAGTTAGAAATTAGATCTCTTAGATAGATCTCTCGCAAGTATTTACCTAATTTTTCCAAAAGGATTCATCAAACATCAAGTGTAGATGGAATGTTGCAGTTACCAGATTTTATGCATCTTTTTTATTTTATCATTTCATATATTATGTGTACTATTAATTTTCAAACGTGTCAATGCTCATTGCCCCTAAGAATTTCAGGTAAATTATATGAAACCTAGTCGGATTTTCACTGTTGGATAGAAGTGTTTCAATATTTCTACATCTTTAATTTTCAAAAGTAAAAAATGGCAGTTTTCTCAGAAGAGTTTTGTAATATTTAAAACCTTTGTTGTGAAGTGCAAGTTTGTTACTTTTTATTGACTGAATTAATAATTCAAAAGTGTTTTTGCATGAATTTTTTAAAGAAAATAGGAGAAGAATGATTAGAATGAATATGTAGTTGAAACAGTGCATGGTATTTATTGAAAGAGCTGAAGAAAGCTCCATTCAAAAATTATCCTTTTCAGAAAGAAAAGTTTATATAATAAAATACTTTATCCTAGGAATAGGATACTTGTGAGGATATTAAGTCTATAATTTGATAAAAGTTATAATGTTTTTTAAAAATAGGATACTTTCCAAAGTACAAAAGTTTGAGAATTGATATATTTATAATCGGTTTTGAAAAATTAAATTAATTAAATTAAAATAATTAAACAGAAAATTCTTTTTTGTCCCCCATGTGGCATATCATCCCAAAATAACTAGATGCTTCCGCTAACAATAAAAAATATTTAATATTCATTGTATTTAATTAAAATTAATTTTTATAATGTAGCATATTAAATGTGTAATACTTCTACTATATTATAATGCGTTAGTGACTATGTCATAAAATTATAATACCTCAATTTATTTATTAAGATTATTCATTTATTTATTCATATAGACGGATATGAGTTTATCATCAAGCGCAGATGGAACAAGTTTTGAAGAGAAAATCAGTTTTCTTGACAATAAATTTACTGAGGTGCTGATTCGTCTTTTGGAAAGAATTTGTGACATCGGCTGCGATAATAATAACGAAAAATTGCGCAACGTTTTATGTCGGTATGTAAAAAATATTTTCTTCCTTTTATGCACATTTTTGAGGTTAGGAAAAAATTCTGAAGTGTTGGAGGAAAATGAACTTCAAATTCGTGTTCCGAAGTCAATAATTAATATCGGTGTTCATCTTTAAGAATGCATTTCAGAAAAATGTTCGACTATTTCAAGTCTTGCAAATCGTTTTGAAAAATTATAGCCTTCGCTGAAGAAAGGTACATTAATTTCGTTTATGATATGCCCTCAAATATGAAAACTAGAAAATAAAAATCTAAAAAAAATTCACTTTCACTTTGCAATCATTATTGTTTTTAAACAAACTTTCTTTTTTACAAAATTAAAAAAGCATTTTTAATTAAAGATAAAACTGTCATGAACATAACCTATAATTTTTTTTTATCCTAAGATACCTTTCTTCACCGCGGTGCACTTTTGAAATTACACTTTGGAAGTTATTAAAGTGAATAACCATTCTTTTTAATTTTATAGGTTGGACTTTAACCAATTTTATGTACAAAAAATTGCTGCTCGTGATACAAGAAAAAGAACTTCTCAAGATATTTCGGGCTGAAAACAATATCTACTTTTTTAAAAATTCGAAAAAGGCCATCTTCACTGTTTATTTTGTATGAAATCAAACAAGTTGTTGAAATTTAACATTAAGCAGTTGTGAATCTCTACGTTCCTTTTTAGTGTACAAGCACACGCATCTCTAATACTATTAAATTATTATACAAATTTAATCTCTCTGATCCATTTCTTAGAAGACAAAATTTTTCATGATAATAGACGGTTTATTAAATGTCAAACTTAACTTCTAATCTTTTATAAAAAAAACATCACTTTTTTAAAGTAAATTAAATTTTTAAAAATACAGTAACTCTGTAGTTACATTTTAATTGTCTAAACTATAATTAAGTACAGCCTTTGATTCATTTCCATTGGGAAATATTCTCTTAGCCATATTATACACTAATAATTTTTTTTTTTATTTTACTTGTCAAATATATATTCAATTATAATTAAAGAATATTTTTTCTAACTAAAAAATGTCTTCATTTATTTTGTCAATTTACTACGTCCTTCAATTGAGAACTGCTATTTGCGGTAATATTTTTTAGAGCTAAAATCTGTTTTCTTTTTCAATCTTTTGAATTTTAAAATTAAGGCACTGAAAATTACTAAATTCTTGCAAAGTTTTTATCAAAATATTTTAAAATAATTAAATTCATTTCAAGAATTTTATCAAATTTTTTTTTTAAATAATAATTGAATTTATTCAAGAAAATTTAATTAAAATTGTATTAAAAATAATTGAATTCTCGCAAAAAATATTATTATTTATAAAAAGAATCAAATATTCTTCCAAAGAATATTATTAAAATTATTGAAAATAATTTAATTCTTAAGAAGAATTTTATTAAAAATTATAAAAAATAATTGAATCTTTTCGTGAAATTTTATTAAAATTGATTTTAAAAATAATTGAATGCCCGCAATGAATTTTACTTTTTATAAAAAATTGAATTTTGGCAAAGAAGAATTTTATTAAAATTTTTGAAAATAACTTAATTCTTATCAAGAATTTTATAAAAAAAATTTTTTTCAAATAATTGAATTCTTGCAAAAAGTTTTTCAAATTAATTACATTTTTTGTTAAAATTGAATTCTCATAAAGAATTTTATCAACAAATTTTGAAATAATTGAATTCTATCAACGATTTTTAATAAAATTTTTAAAAATAAATACATTTTTCGTGGCATTTGATTAAATATACTAAAAATAAATGAAATTCTGCGATGAGTTTGATTATTTATGAAAATAATGGAATTATTGCGAAGAAAGTTATAAAAATTTTTTAAAAATAATTGAATTTCGGAGAAGAATTTTATTATTTATAAAGATACTTGAAATTTTGACAAGAATTTTTTTTTTAATTTTTTAACATAATTGAATTTTTGCGAAGAATTTTATTACTTTTGAAAATAATTTAATTCTCCCAACGAATTTTATTCAAATTTATAAAAATAACTGTATTTCTGTGAAGAATTTTATTATTTTTATAAATAATTGAATTCTTACAACGAATTTTATTCAAGTTTATGAAAATAATTGAATTTCGGTGAAGAATTTTATTATTTATAAAAATAATTGAATTCTTGAAAAGAAATTTGTTCAATTTTTTAAAATAAATAATTAATTGAATTCTCGCGACGAATTTTATAAAAATCTTTTTTAATATTTGATATGTTTCGAAAAATTTTATGAAATTTTGTATTTTTAATAATTGAATTCCTGTGAAAAGTTTATTACTTATGAAAATAATTGAATTATTTCAAAGAAATTTATTAAAAATTTTGTAAATAATTGAATTCATTTTTCTAAAATAATTGAATTTCGGAAAAGAATTTTATTGTTTATAAAAATACTAGAAATTTTTTTTAAATTTTTGAAAATAATTGAATTCTTTCAACGATTATTATTAAAACTTTAAAAAATAATTGAATTTCGGTGAAGAATTTTATTATTTATAATAATAATAATTGAATTCTTGAAAAGAAATTTGTTAAATTTTTTTAAATAATTGAATTCTCGCTACAAATTTTATAAAAATCTTTTTTAATAATTGAATTTCTATAAAAATTTTATTACTTATGAAAATTATTGAATTATTTCGTAGAATTTTATAAAAATTTTGTTAATGATTGAATTCCTACGAAATTTTGCCAAGAATTTTTTTAAAAATTTTTAAAAATAATTGAATTTCGATGAAGAATTTTATTATTTATAAAGATAATTGAAATTTTGACCAGAATTTAAAAAAATTTTTTAACATAATTGAAATTTTTTGAAGAATTTTCATTACTTTTAAAAATAATTGAATTTACTGGAATCATTTGTAACTTTTCCAAAATTCAAATTTTTTTTTTAGTATTTTTAACTAAAATTCTTCTATCAATCTAGTATTTATGAAAATTGTAAAAATGATTCATTAAATAATTTATAAGTAATAATTTTATAATAGTTCTTGAAAACTTAAGTTATTTAAAAGGAAATTATTGTCAGAAATAGAAAAAATTGAAGGTTTTGTATTAAAATTCGTGGTAATTTCATAGTTTACGAGGCAAACAAAAAAAGCATCAAAATTCAGAGTTTTCTCATGAATTTTAAAAATTCAATTTTTTTCATTTTTTTTAACAAAAATCCCTGACTTTCCTTAATTTCCCTGACCTGTGGCAACCCTGATGACGAATTGATAAGTGTGCAGAGTATTATTTTGCACGGTTGGCTTTGTAGAATCGAGTATTTGTGTGATTGGAAAAGGTTGAATTGACAAAAGTCATTAGGAGCTTTTAATAAAAGAAACTTAACTAAAAAAACAATATCATAGAATATATTTAATTTGAAATATAAATACAATTTTGTTAAGAATACTAAAATTTTATCTGATAGCCGTATACTGTTGAAATTCATTAGTGAGAAACTGTCCTGGTACATAAGAAGCAGGTGGGCCGACAATATCAATTGCTGGACTGTGTACTTTAATTTGCCGCATATGAGTATCTCTACCATTTTGATGATTACTGATAACAGCTATTTGAAGCATAAATGTACGAATTGGACGTTCGTTTAAATCTTTAACTGGTATTACAATCCATCCATTCGGCTCATTAAGATCCATGATTTCCACTTCTTGCAAATCATTGAAATTTGTTCCGGCTCTTATACTAATACTGCAAGAAAAATATTAATCATTAGCTTACTATATTTTTTTTTCCTTTCTTCTCTTCTTGGCTAAAAGATTATTTTACCAGATTTTTTTTTATAACCAGAATTCTTACCGACTAGGAGTATAACTTTCATCTAATTTATAATCTGTATAAATACAAATGTCGCGAATTGTAGTTTTTCTGCGAAATTGAATATTCACAAGGTGTGGTAATTGTCCATCTGATTGCCAATAAGTTTCCGTTATATCATCACGAAGTTGATCAACACCAAAACCTGGTTTACAACTCGATAAACTCCAAATTGCTTGATTTCCCACTTCCTGCACTCTCCCGGACATTTCTTCCTGTACAGGGTCTTTATCTCCTGAAAATCAAAAATGTTTAGAATGTGGATCTTTATTTATTTATTTATTTTTTTGCTTGTACTGGTGAAAATGTTCGATTTTCAGGGTTGCCACAAATATTTAATTTTATTTTTCCCTGACTTTTCCCTGATTTCCAGACAAAATTTTCACTTTTTCCCTGACCCTAAAGAATATTCTGATTCACTCTAAAAATTATTAGATACTCAAAAAAAAATGTTCTATTACATTTATTTATAAATTTCTTAAATTGTAAAATTATTCAAAAACATCAATAACTTCTTTTTTAAATAAATATTTAATCATTATTTTTCTGTAGAAATTAAAATTCTTCAAAACATTCAAATTCAAACCTTTCTAAAATTCAACAACTTATAAGAATATTATATTAAAAAACATGAAGAATCACTCCGAGTCTTCGACTCGAATTGATCGCCTTCTTCATGTTTTGTAATAATTTAAATTACCATAAAATTTTTCAAAATAAGTTAAATATTTACAAAAATCCTAATAAAATCCTTCGAAAGAATTCCATTATTTATACAAGCAGTAGAATTTCTCAAAAAAATTAAATTATTTAAAAAAAATGTCAAACAAATTCGTTGCAGTAATTCAATTATTTTCATAAATAATAATAAATCGATTATTCGTTGATTCATTTTTAAATCAATTTTTATTAGAAAATTCTAGAAAAATTCAATTATTTAAATTAAAAAATAAATAATTTATTGAATAATTGAATGTTTGTTAAAATTGAATTCTCATAAAGAATATTATCAATAAATTTTTAAATAATTGAATTCATTTGACAAATTTTAATAAAATTTTGAAAAATAATTATATACATTTTTCAAGAAATTTGATTAAAATATTGTATAAAAAATAATTAAAATTCTGCGATGAGTTTTAATATATTTATGAAAATAATTAAAATTTTCCTAAGAATTTTATTAAAATTTTCATAAAATAATTGAATTTTTGAGAAGAATTTTATTATTTATAAAGATAATCGGAATTTTAAAAAGGATTTTTTTTAAATTTTTGAACATAAATGGATTTTTGCGAAGAATTTTATTACTTTTGAAAATAATTTAATTCTTCCAACGAATTTTAATCAAGTTTATAAAAATAACTGAATTTATGTGAAGAATTTTATTATTTATATAAATAATTGAATTCTTACAACGAATTTTTTTCAAGTTTATGAAAATAATTGAATTTCGGTGAAGAATTTTATTATTTATAAAAATAATTGAATTCTTACAACGAATTTTATTCAAGTTTATGAAAATAATTGAATTTCGGTGAAGAATTTTATTATTTATAAAAATAATTGAATTCTTGAAAAGAACTATGTTAAATTTTTTTAAATAATTATATTCTTGCGACGAATTTTATAAAAATCTTTTTGAACAATTGATATTTTTCGAAAAATTTTATGAAATTTTGTATTTTAAATAATTGAATTCCTGTCAAAATGTTATTACTTATGAAAATAATGGAATTATTTTGAATTAATTTATTAAAAATTGAATAATTGAATTTCTACAAAATTTTGCCAAGAATTTTATTAAAATTTTTTAAAATAATTGAATTTCGATGAAGAATTTTATTATTTGTAAAGATAATTAAAATTTTGACAATATTTTTTTTTTTAATTTTTGAACATAATTGAAATTCTGCGAAGAATTTTTGTAACTTTTGAAAATAATTTAATTCTTCCAACGAATTTTATTCAAGTTTATATAAATAATTAAATTCTTAGAACGAATTTTATTCAAGTTTATAAAAGTAATTGAATTTCGGTGAAGAATTTTATTATTTATAAAAATAATTGAATTTTTGAAAAAATTTCATAAAAATCTTTTTATATAATTGATATTTTTCGAAAAATTTTATGAATTTATGAATAATTGAATTATTTCTAAGAAATTTATTAAAAATTGAATAATTGAATTCCTGTGGAATTTTGCCAAGAATTTTATTAAAAATTTTTTAAAATAATTGAATTTCGATGAAGAATTTTATTATTTATAAAGATAATTGAAATTTTGACGAGAATTTTTAAAAAATTTTTGAACATAATTGAAATTCTGCGAAGAATTTTTGTAACTTTTGAAAATAATTGAATTTACTGGAATCATTTGTAACTTTTCCAAAATCCAATTTTTTTTAGTATTTTTAACTAAAATTTTTCTATCAATCTAGTATTCATGAAAATTGTAAAAATTATTCATAAAATAATTTATAAGTAATAATTTTATAATAGTTCTTGAAAACTTAAGTTATTTAAAAAGAAATTATTGTCAGAAATAGAAAAAATTGAAGGTCCACATTTTGTATTTAAAAAATTTCAAAAATAAGACTTTTTACAATTTTTGGTTTTTAAAATACCAAAAATAATATCGTAATGACATTTTCTTTAAATGTGATTTTTGAATTCCTAAGGTCGAATAACATAAAGATATGTCAAAAAATCGAATTTGAAAAATTTTGGTATTTTTACAATATTTTAGTGCAATTGATGCTCGATTGTTTTTTCATTTCTTACATAACCTGTTACCTTCTTTATTTTATTAACTAAAAGGTGAAATTTGTTCAACTATATTAAGCAAGAAAATTATATATATATATATATATATATATATATATATATATATATATATATATATAGGGTAAAGAAAGTAATTGCCTTGAAAGTACCACTTGTCGTATAAAAGAAAAGAATAAATTTTTAATTGTAAAAAAGTATCGTAATTGTAAAGTTCGGGAATTAAAAATACAATGTTTACTATGTGCTACAAACAATAAGATGATTATAAGAACAAAATAACTAAGTTTACTATTTACCTTTATTACTCATTTTAGAGGAAAATTGAAATTATGATTAAAAAACTAGTATATTGTTTATTGGAGCTTTCAATAAAAGTTTCAATATGAACTGTCAATATATAAACATGCCGGTCTTGCATGTGTATTTGTATTGGGAAGAACGAGAAGAATGGTTGTTCTACAACAGATCGATTTTGAGTTTTTGACGAACTTAAAATAAAGGTGCTTTTGTACCTCTCCTGTATTTTGTCCAACCTGCGTTTTGCGTTGAGCAATGAGTTGAACAAGGATACATATAAATATTTTTCTTTCTCTCTCTCTCATTGTTCTACAAAAAACGCAGCTAAACGCAGTGTTCGTACTCGGTCATGTAAAACAGCCTTAAATAGAAAAGGACAGAGATACGTGTGTCCTTTTTCCATCATTACATTCAATATTTATCGAATGTATTGTGCATAGGACTTAAAAAGTAGCATTCTGGCAAGGAAAATAAATTCAGAGCAGAAGATTCAAGTAAGTTTAAACAAATAATAACGTTTATTCTCATATTTTTGTAATATATAAAAAATTATGTCTAAGACAAATTATTATTAAATTACTGTGTTTATTAATTCTAATAATTTGTTTAATTTTTTAAAAATATTAATTTATGTTATATTGTAAGAAATGAGCAGGTATACTTGTGACTAATATTATTAATCATATTATATTGATTCCTATTCTCTAAAATTACTAAACGCTGATTTTGTTTTTAAAATATATTTTACTAAAGTTTCTTCTTGTTTCTCTTAATTAAAAAATTAAATAAACATTTATGTAGCACTGTGTCATGCTGTGTCAGGGACATATGTAAGACACACGTAAAACATTTTTACCGGTGAACTCTTTTATTAAATTATAATTTACCTAATTTGCCACTTCAGTAATGATAGTGCCAAATATTATTCAATTTCAATTTTGGTTAAAAAAATTATTAAAATTTAAATTTAAAAATTTTTTTTGGACCTATTTCTTGCTCCGGTATATAATATTAGGGAAAATTAAATTTTTTAAAATTATTGTCAATCTAAAATCTGTTTTTTTAAGTATTTATATAAATACCTAATAAATGTAAAGAAGACTAAAATATCGAATTTTCTTTTAAACTGCGGGGGCACTTTTTCCATACTTATCCCGCTATATTGAAAAAATATATGTTAAAGAGAACATTATAAGGTACTTTTCTTTAAAAAAAAAATTACAGTTGTCACTTCAAAAATTGACTGCCAAAAAAATTTTCGAAAATTTCAAAATTTTTTTTGCGTTTTTTTGAAATACTGAATTTTTCGTACTTTTAACAAACAATTTTGTAGAATTAATTTTTTTGAAAAATTTTAATTTTAATTTTTTTATCTAGGAATATTCTTGTAATATAAAACTAACAATTATAACAATTTTCTGAATATCTAATTTTATAGAAAATGGCTGTAGATATCTCAGTAGAAAAGGACAATGGAGTCCTGAAAGAAATCTTAAAAGAGGGAGAAGGCGATGAAGTTCCAGCAGCGGGATGTGTCGTTAAGGTTCATTATACCGGTACTTTACTAGATGGAACGAAGTTTGATTCTAGTAGAGATCGTAATGAACCATTTTCCTTTGAACTCGGCGAGGGAAGAGTGATAAAAGCATGGGAAATTGGAACAGCCACTATGAAGAAAGGCGAAGTTTGCGTACTTACCTGTGCTCCAAAATACGCTTATGGACAAGGAGGAAGTCCACCAAAAATTCCTCCTAATGCAACCCTTAAATTTGAGGTCATTAATCATTTTATTCAAGATTTTTCTTTTTCATTAATATTCTACAATAAATTTAATTCATTTAATTTAATTAATTAAATTAATAGTAATGAATATTTTTTTAATATACAGATAGAAATGTTAAGCTGGACTGGCATGGATATAAGTCCAGACAAGGATGGTAGTATTGAAAAAATTCTGTTACGGAAGGGAATTGATGCGACAAGTCCAAATGACGGAGCTCTAGTGAACGGTAAATTTATTAACGCACTTTTGAAAACTTTATTTAATAAGGTAAAAGTAAATGAGACTTCGCACTCATCTACTGAAACCTACTATTTACGTTATGCTACTATTTGGGTACTTTTTTTAGATTTCAGCCACTAAAAGCTACTATTTCTGTTTTTTTTTTTTGTGAATTTCCACTACTTTAAATTTGCTAATATCAGAAATCAAAAAACTATTGTCAAAAATTATAATCAAATTCTTTAAAACGATTCAATTATTTTCAATATCTAGTATTTTTATAAAATTTTGCAAAAGAATTCAATTTAACAAAAAATTCATGAAGTTCATACAAAATTCAATTTTTTTATACCTAAGTAATAAAATTTTCACAGGAATTCAATTAATTTAGAATAGTATTTTCAAAAAAATTTCGAAAAAATCAATAATTTAACACAATTTTTATACAATTCTTCACAATAATTCAATTGCTTTCACTAATAATATTTTTCATGGAAATTAAATTTTTTAAAAAAAGTTTTGATAACATTCTAAGCAAGAATTCAATTATTTACATAAATAATAAAACTCATCAAAGAATTTCAATTATTTTTAATACTATTTTAAATTAATTAATTGAAAAATTTAATTATTTTCACAAATAAAGTTTTCCACAAGAATTCAATTATTTAAAATAAAATTTTTATAGAATTTATTATATTTCGAAAAAATTATTTATTTGAAACAATGAATTATAAAATTCTTATAAAAAATTCAATTATTTTCAAAAAAAAAAAAATTTTCAAAGAAATTTAATTTTTTTTCAAACATTTTAATAGAATTTTTCGAAATAATTCAATTATTTTTATAAATAATAAAATTCTTCTCAGGAATTCAATTATTTTTGAAAATTTTAATAAAATTCTTTGCAACTATTCAATTATTTTAAAAAAATATTCGAAATTCAATTATCTTCAATATCTGGTGTTTTCATAAAATTTTGCAAAAGAATTAAATTATTTAAAGAAAGTTTTTATAAAAGCAAAAATTCAATTATTTACATAAATAATAAAATTCATCGAAGAAATTCGATTATTTTTAATTCTATTTTAAATTAATTAATTGAAAAATTCAATTATTTTCACAAATAAAGTTTTTCACTAGAATTCAATTATTTAAAATAAAATTTTCATAAAATTTATTATATTTCGAAAAAATTAATTATTTAAAATATAATGTTTAGAAAATTCTTATGAAGAATTCAATTATTTTTGAAAATTTTAATAAAATTCTTAGCAACTATTCAATTATTTTCATAAATAATAAAATTAATCGCAGGATTTTAATTAATTTTAATACAATTTTACAGGAATTGCTCAAAAAAAGTGTAATTATTCTTAAAAATTTAATTTCAATTTCTCAAAAAAATCAATTATTTAAAAAAATGTTTTTTTAAAAATTCTTTAAAAGAATTAAATTATTTACAAAAATATTAGAATTTTTCATAAAAGAATTCAATTGTTTTCAAATATTTTAATAAAATTGGTCGAAAGAAATCAATTATTTTAAATACAATTTTAATTAAATTTTTTTAAATAATTCAATTTTGCTTTTAGATTTTAATAAAATTCTTCGAAATAATTCAATTATTTTGATAAATAACAAATTTCTTCGGAAGAATTCAATTACTTTGCTAAACTACAAAATTATTTCCGAAAATTCAATTATTTTGAGGCATTTTAGTAAAATTCTTTACAAAATTCAATTTTTTTAGAAATAAAAATATTCACCAGAAGAATTCAATTACTTTTAAAAATAACAAAATTTTTCACAGAAATTAAATTATTTTTTGAACATTTTAATAAAATTTTTCGCAATAATTCAATTATTTTCATAAATAATAAAATTCTTCTCAGGAATTCAATTATTTTTGGAAATTTTAATAAAATTCTTAGCAACTATTCAATTACTTTCATAAATAATAAAATTTATCGCAGGATTTCAATTAATTTTAATACAATTTTACAGGAATTGCTCAAAAAATGTAATTATTCTTAAAAATTTTAATTTCAATTTCTCAAAAAAATCAATTATTTACAAAAATATTAGAATTTTTCACAGGAATTCAATTGTTTTCAAATATTTTAATAAAATTGTTCGAAAGAAATGAATTGTTTTAAATACAATTTTAATTTAATTTTTTTTAAATAATTCAATTATTTTGATAAATCACAAAATTCTTCGAAAGAATTCAATTATTTTGCTAAACAACAAAATTATTTCCGAAAATTCAATTATTTTGAGGCATTTTAATAAAATTCTTTACAAAATTCAATTGTTTTCATAAATAAAAATATTCACCACAAGAATTCAATTATTTTTAAAAGTAATAAATTTCTTCTTGGAAATTCAATTATTTTGAAAAGTTCTAATACAATCGTTTGCAAGAATTCAATTATTGTCAAAAATTGTAATTGAATTCTTTGTAAAAATTAATTATTTTTAAACAGAATTCAATTATTTAAAAAATTTGTTGTAATAATCTTCGTAAGAATTCAATTCTTTTCATGAATAAGGAAAATTTCTCAGCTATTCAATTATTTAAATTAGAATTTGCATAAAATTAGTAGAAAGAAATCAATTATTTAACATTTTTTATAAAATTCTTCGCAAGAATCAAAATTATTTTTATAAATATTGAAATATTTTTTATGAAAATTAGGAAAAAGTAGGAGGAAAATAAAATATAGAATGGAATTTTTGTCAGCTTTGTGAATATTGTGAACGAAAAACGAGTTTTTTTGGTCGTCAAGATTAATTTTTCGATAGCTAATTTTTTTAGTTTGAAAGCTACTTTTTGCTTCTTTTTTAAAATTAATTATCGAGTGCAAAGTCTATTATTATCATTTATTTATTAATATTAAATTTTTCAGTTCACTTGGTGGGAAAATGCGAGGACAAAATTTTTGAAGAAAGAGATGTTCAGTTTAATCTTGGTGAAGGAGAAGATTCCGGAATAATTAAAGGAGTAGAAATAGCATTAGAAAAGTTTAAGAATAAAGAGCATGCTAAACTTAAAATTAAGAGCAAGTATGCATTTGGAAAGAAGGGAAAATCTGAATTTGATATTCCTCCAGATACGGATGTAACATATGAAGTAGAACTGCAAAGTTTTGAAAAGGTATGTAAACGCACAACTTTTAAATACATACCGTATTTTCCATTTATTTAAGTTCATTTCTATTGAGAATTTTTCCAATAATTTCATAAAAATTTCATAAATAATGTGATTATTAAATTTTTCCATTTCTTTTGCACAGACTCCTGATACATGGTCAATGGATAATCCGCAAAAAATTGAACAAGCAAAGATCCTTAAAGAAAAGGGTACGAATTACTTTAAACAAAATAAATTGACTCTCGCTATTGAAATGTACCGAAAAATCGACAATTATATTGTCTACGACAAACTTTTTAATGATGAACTGAAAATCGAGAGGGACAATATTTTACTAGCAACTTATTTAAATCTTGCACTTTGCTATCTAAAAGTTGAAAAATTTGTAGATGCAAAAGACTATTGTAACAAAGCATTGGAAATTGATGCCAATAACGAAAAGGCACTTTTTCGACGAGGACAAGCGTATCTTGCCTTAGCGTCACCTGAAATAGCGATTAAAGACTTTCAGGAAGTAGTCAAAATTGAACCAAATAATAGTGCTGCTGTGAAACAAATATCTGCCTGTAATAATCTTAAGAAGAAGCAGCTGGCTGCTGAGAGGAAACTTTATTCAAATATATTTGCCACTAAAGAGAATAATGAGAATTCTGAGAAACAGTGATAATTTTTTTTCAAGTACAGTAAAACGATTGAAGTAGAAACGACTTCTACAGATGAAATAAAACTAGCAAGAATTTTTTTATATTCCATAAAAACACGTTTCTTGTAACGCGAACAAATGAAAAAAAGGTTTTATTGAAAATTGTCTTTAATAAATTTTACAGAATTTGATAAAACTAATTTTTTGTAAAAATTTAAAAATCCGTTAGTTTCTCCATTTATGTTAAAATATTTAAATATTATTACAGTTTTACAAAAATCAAACATTTCAAAGACATTCTATTTAAAAATTTAATCTTTTGAAATTTACTTGAATTTTCCCAGAATTTTTCACGAAACAATTGTCAATTCATTGACTTTTGAAATTTAATTATTTGTAAAAATTCATATAATAACGCTTCTAATATTCAATTTTTATTTCAAATTTTTTCTTAAATTAATTTTTAATTCAATACTTGTTAGAAAGTTTTAGGAGAATTAAATTATTTAAATATACAAAAATAAGTAATTGATTAAATAATTTATTATTTCTTAAAATTGAATGTTTATAAAGTATTTTATCAAAATTTTAAAAAATAATTGCATTCCTTGAGAAATTTATTTTAAATTTTTGAGAATAATAATTTCAGTGCTCGAATAATTGCAAAAATCCAATTATTTTCAAAAGTAATAAAATTCTTAGCAAAATTCAATTATTTTTAAAACAACTTTAATAACATTTCATAAAAGAATTCAATTTTTAAAAAAAATTCCTAATAACATTTTTCGAAAGAATCCAATTATTTTCTATAATTTTAATAAAAATCCTTCGAAATAATTCAATTGTTTTTATATAAATAGTAAAATTCATCGCAAGAATTAAATTATTTTTCATAAATAATAAAATTCTTCCCAGTAATTCAATTATTTTCAATGCAATTATAAACAAATTCGATTCTATTCAATAAATTAAAGAAATTTTTCAAAAGAATTTAATTAAGATTAGGAAAAATTTTAATAAAATTCTTCTCAACATTAATTATTTTCATAAATAATAAAATTCTTCAAAGAAATTCAATTATCAAATTTTCTGATAAAATTCTTTGCAGGAATTCAAAGATTTGCAAATTTTTTTACAAATTTTTTCGCAATAATTCAATTATTTTCATAAATAATTAAAAATTTTTACAGAGATTGAATTATTTTCGTAAATAATAAAATTCTTTTTATGAATTCAATTATTTTCATAAATAATAAAATTTTCGCTGGAATTTAATTATTTGCAAACACAATTTTCATAAAAATTTTCGAAAAAAATCAAATATTTAAAATGATTTTTATAAAATTCTTCGCTAAAATTCAATTATTTAAACAAAATTAATAAAGTTCTTCGTAAGAATTCAATTATTTTTGAAAATTTTAATAAAATTCATTGCAAGAATTCAATTATTTTTAAAAATTTTTATAAAAATTCTTCGTATCAATTAAATTATTTCGTAAAATTGAATTTTTATATAGTATTTTATCAAAAGTTAAAAAAATAATTGAAACAAAAATTTTAAGAATAATTGCATTTTTTGAGTAAATTTATATAAAATTTTCAAAAAATTGAAATAAAATTGTATTTTAAATAATTGTAAATCTGTGAAAATCTTATTATTTATAAAAATAATTGAAGTTTTTGTAAGAGAATTTTATTAAATTTTTTTTAAATAATTTAATTCTTTCGTGAAATTTGATTAAAATAGTAGATATTGAAAAAAATTGAATTTCAGCGAAGAATTTCATTATTTGGGAAAATAATTGAATTTTTGCAAAAAAAAAGTTCTTAAAATTTTGAAAAATAATTGAATCGTTTCAAAGAATTTTATTTACGTTTTCGAGAATAATTTATTTATTTCAATTATTCACGGACTTAAACTAGTGTAAATTCTAAAATTTTCACTGAAATTCATTTTAAATAAATTCTCGTTAAAAAGCTGTACGAAAATTGAATTATTTAAATACAAAAAAAAATAGTGGATTGAATAATTCTTTATTTCTTAAAATTAAATTTCTATTTAGAATTTTATGAAAATTTGAAAAAAAATTTTAAGAATAATTGCATTTTTTGAGTTAATTTATTTTAAATTTTCAAAAAATTGAATGAAAATTGTATTTTAAATAATTGGAAATCTGTGAAAATATCATTTATGAAAATAATTGAAATTTTGGTCAAGAATTTTATTAAATTTTTTTAAAATTAATGGAATTCTTTTGTGAAATTTTAATAAAATAGTAGATATTGAAAGTCATTTAATTTTAGTGAAGAATTTCGTTCTAGAAAAATAATTGAATTCTTGCCAAAAGGATTTTTAAAAAATTTTTGAAAATAATTGAATCGTTTCAAAGAATTTTATTAAAATTGTTAAAAATGTTTCTAAAAATTCTATAAAAATTTTTGAGAATAATTTCTTTATTTCAATTATTAGCGGATTTAAACTAATGTAATTTGTGAGAAAAAAGTAGTTTTTAGTGTCAGAAATCTGAAAAAAGTATCAAAATAGTAGCAAATTTTTTTAAAAAGTAGTAAATAGTAGGTTTTAGTAGTCATATGTCCTCTAAAATTTCTCTAGGGATAAAAAAACATCTTTAATCCAAAAAGTAAAAGTAAAATTAAAATTTTCAAAAAAATTTATGAAATGAAAGTTTGTCAAATAAAATTTATCCTCGGTTTAAAAATCAGTTAATTTCTTCATTCGATTCAAATAAAAAGACCACCATTCGAAGGATAAGGTGGGGGGTCAATTTTCCCAAAAAAATGTTTACCCAAAAAAAATTTTTCCCAATATTATATTTTCCAAAAAAAAATTTTCCCAAGCAAATCATTTTTCCCAATATTTTATTTCCCAAAAAAATAATCCAACATTGTCCACCAATCTGTTTCGAACTAGAATTTATTAAAAAAAAATTTCAAACTAGAATTTACTCAAACTATTATTTTTTCAAATTACAATTTATTCAAATTATTATTTTTTGAAACAAAAATTTATTGTAACTATTATTTTTTCGAAATAGAATTTACTCAAACTATATATTATTTTTTCAAACTAGAATTTATTGAAATTAGTCTTTTTTCGTAATTTGAAACTATTAATTTGTCGAACTAGAATTTATTCAAACTACAATTTTTTTAAACTATTATTTTTTCAAACTACAATTTATTAAAAGTATTTTTTTTTAAACAAAAATTTATTGGAAACTATTATTTTTTCGAAATAGAATTTACTCAAATTATTGTTTTTTTTCGAAATAGAATTTACTCAAATTATTGTTTTTTTTTCGAAATAGAATTTATTGAAATTAGAATTTTTTCAAAATACTATTTATATTTATACAAACTATTATTTTTCTAAACTAAAATTTGTTCAAAATAGAATTTACTCAAACTATAATTTTTCAAACTATTGTTTTATCGAAATAAAATTTATTGGAATAATACATTTTGGAAAAAATACAACATTGGGAAAATTATTTTTTGGAAAATCCAGCATTGGGAAAAAAATATTTTGGGAAACGGATTTTGGGAAAATTGTCCACCAATCGAAGGATAATAATAAGAATGAAATAAAAGAATCCTTTTAAATTTTATAATTATTATAAAACATAATTTATTTATTTATAAACTACTTTTTGCTCACTATTTCTGTTTTGTTTTCCTGTTGTTGCAAGTGTAACACTTGATCACTGTCGTTTAAATTTTTCATATCATCTCCTGGCGATGCTTCCTCGTCAGCAATTTCTTCATCCATATTCATTTCTTTATTGCCGTACAATCCAGGATAATTAGTCATGCAACCTTGCATTACTTTGAATGCGTCATAGCATTCATGCCCTTTTGGATCGGATGTGGAATAATGAAAGCAGGAGAATGCTTCTCGAAATTCAACACCACATGGTCCTGTTGCCATGCCACCCAGACAAGGGCAATTCCAATTTATTTCGCCACTTGGTAAAATTAGTCCAGGACTGGGTTCTATTTCAGGAAGAGTAATTTTACTTGGAGCTGCATACTCCTCTTCTGTTTTAAATATAATCGTGTCCTTGCCTTCTTTGTAAACCACAGGCATTCTTTTTTAATCAAATCTCCAAATTTTCCTGTAAAATAATTGAAAAGAAGAAATTTTAAATTAATTTGTGAAATTAACTACTGAAAATAAAGTCAAGAATCGTGATAAAACATCAAAAACTCAGGGCTCGAACTTAGTGAAAGTATTTAAAAATACGGACTTTACGGACCAAAAATGAAAAATTACTGAGAAAAATATAAATATTCCGAATCAAATAAGACAACATTTTACTTAAAACTATAAATTAAATTTTTCACTAACTATAAAACATGACCGAGTGATAAAATCATTATCAATTTAATTATTACTTTCTCAAGAATTTTTAACTAAAATTCTTCTTTAAATCGATTATTTTTAATAATTTTCGAAAAATTTCTTGGACAATTTTCAAATTCATTTCTTTACAATATTCAATTTTACGAAATTTCAATTATTCGTGAATTCTTCAATTGAATATATTATTAGAAAATAAAAACTTCAAATAATATTTAAAAAAATGCAATTAAACTTTTTCGAAAAAATTAATTTCAAAATTCAATTATTTCCAAATAATTTACGCTATATTGCTTTTAATATTCTATTATCTAAAAGTTGAACTGAAATTCATTTTTATGAAATGAAAATCAATTTTTATTGGAAAATTCTACTAGAATTCAATTATTTAAATACAAATTTAAATGTAAAAATGCAAATAAATAATTTATTGAATAATTGAATGTTTCTTAAAATTCAATTTCCATAAAGAATCGTTATCAACAAATTTTCAAATAATTGAATTCCATCAATAAATTTTAATAAAATTTTTAAGAATAAATACATTTTTCGAGAAAATGAAATTTTTTATAAAAATTCTTCGAATTAATTAAATTATTTCTTAAAATTGAATTTCTATACATAGTATTTTATTAAAATTTAAAAAAATAATTGAAAACAAATGTTTAAGAATAATTGCATTTTTTGAATAAATTTATAGGAAATTTTCAAAAAATTGAATGAAAATTGTATTTTAAATAATTGGAAATCTGTGAAAATGTTATTATTTATTAAAATAATTGAAGTTTTGCCAAAAGGATTTTATTAAAATTTTTTTTAAATAATTCAATTCTTTTGTGAAATTTTATTAAAATAGTAGATATTGAAAATAATTGAATTTCAGCGAAGAATTTCGTTTTAGAAAAATAATTGAATTCTTGACAAAAAAATTTTCTTAAAATTTTGGAAAATAATTGAATTGTTTCAAAAAATTTTATTATAATTTTCGAAAATAATTTACCTATATATATCAATTATAAGCAGACTTAACATTAAATTCTAGAATTATAACTGAAATTCATTTTTAAATAAATTCTTGTTAGAATGTTCTACGAAAATTCAATTATTTAAATACAAAAATAAATAATTTATTGAATAATTGAATATTTCTTGAAATTGAATTCTCATAAAGAATTTTATCAACTATTGAATTTTTTTGACGAATTTTAATAAAATTTTTAAGAATAATTACATTTTTCGAGAACAATTAAAATTGTATTAAAAATAATTGAAATTCTGCTATGAGTTTTATTATTTACGAAAATAATTGAATTCCTAAAAAGAATTTTATTTACGAAAATAATTGAATCCCTCTAAAAATTTTATTATTTATGAACATAATTGAATTGTTTCGAAGAAATTTATAAAAAATTAGTAAATAATTGAATTCCTACGAAAAATTTTATTATTTAGGAAAATAATTGAAATTCTGCGATTAGGTATTTATGAATATAATTGAATTCTTAAAAAGAATTTTATTTTTTATGAAAATAATTAAATGTTTGCGTAGAATTTTATTAAAATTGTTTGAAAATAATTGAATTTCGGAGAAGAATTTATTTATTTCTAAAAATAATTGAAATTTTGACAAGAATTTTTTTTAAATTCTTAAACATAATTGAATTTCTAGTTGTTGTTTGCTTTTTTGTTTTGTATCTTTTTTAATACTTTATCTTCTTAAATATTTTCAATTTTTTAATTAATGTTTTGAAAACCATCGAATTGTTCCAAAGAATTTTATAAAAAAATTTGATAATAATAGAATTTCTTCGCAGATTTTTATCATTTAGGAAAAGAATTGAATACTATTTAAATTTTTTGTAAGGAATTAAGAAAAAATTGAATTCTTTCGTGAAATTGTATTGAATATAATTGAATTTTTGATAAGAATTTTACTATTTATAAATATAATTGAATTATTCGAAAGATTTATTAATATTTTAGAAAATAATTAAATTTTTTTGAAATATTTTATAACGAATTAAAAAAATGAATTCTTTTGTGAAACTTTTTTAAAAAAAATTAAATTTTTGCAAAGATTTTATAACGAATTAAGAAAAAATTGAATTCTTTCGTGAAATTTTCTTGAAAATAATTGAATTTTTTCTTGCAAAGATTTTACTATTTAAAAAAACAATTGAATTGTTTCGAAAGATTTATTAAAATTTTAGAAAATAATTGCATTCGTTTATGAAATTTTATGAAAATTTTGTTTCAGAATAATTGAATTTTTTCAAAAAATTTTACTATTTATAAAAATATTTGTATTCTTACGATGAATATTATTATATTTATGAAAATAATTGAATTCTTGTAAAGAATTTTATTAAAATTTTTGGAATTAATAAACAAGAATAATTAATTAGTAAATTAGTGAATAATTGAATTTTTTTAAAGTTTGAATTTGAAATTATTCAAAAATTCATATTTGAAAATTAAAAATTTTGTAATTTGCATAATAATAATAATAATAAAAAATTATTGAATAACACGTTTCGCGCGTAATATTTGCTAGTAAATATAATAAAAATTAATTTTCAAAGATCCTCATAAACTCAATCAGAAAAATTATCTCAAGTCACGTGCAAATGTTATGTTTACAAATTTCATCAATTTTTCGTCTGCTTTTAGAAGTTCAAAGAATTTTTTAAATTTTATGACTCCTTTGTAATGAATGTATTTGAAGTATAGACATCAAAACACATTTTTATTACTTATGTCAATAATAAGTTTAAAAAAAAATGGTATAATAATAAAATTAATATAAATTCACTAAGTAAAAATTCTGGATGATGACATTATTTTTTTTTAATTAAAGCATTAGTTTTGCAATTTTTTTGTAATTAATTTTCTTTACTAGCAGGCGGAATTCAAATAATAATAATAATTTAGTTGATTTATATAAACTTACTGCTGCAAAAAAATGTACTTTTCGTTGAAAATAAAGTTTAATAATTCTTAATATTCTTTTGAATTTTATCTTTTAACATAACCACGAAATTCCTTCCATCAGTCAAGGTCTTTTTACAATTTTTGACAATTTCTTATATAAGCAGAGTTGGGCAGTTAAATGGAAAGAATAATCTCGTAAAGGTAAATCTACAAATAAATTTGTAAACGCTGCGCTGCGTTTTGCGTCGAGCAATGAGTTTAAAATTGTCTCTACATTGCAAAGAAAAAAAATAAGAAACGCGAAAAAATGCTATTTTATATTTTTCTCGCGTTTTTCCAAAAAGGTTTCACTACTTTTTTAGTTGCATTCAAGAGAATAATAAACTACAGTTTCATCTAAATCCCATACTAGAAAGAAATTTCCATGATCACTTATTACAATAGAAAAATTGCTCCTCAGAAAATTTTATAAAATCTCGTTCTGAAAATTTAATTTTTTTTATTTGAATCGTAAAAGTCTCAAATTTTCAAGTTGAAAATATATATTATATATATATATATATATATATATATATATATATAAATAAAATCAACTTTTTGATTTTAAATTTAATGCTTACAGTTGAAATCAGTTGAAAAAACATGAAAAATAACAAACATAACCTTATATTAAAGCGATTTGTTTCTAAGTTGTTGCTTCTAATAGGATTTGATCGAATTTTTATTAAAAATCTTATTGAATTGGAAACAATTTTTAATAATCAATTTTGATAGAATTTGATAGGACTTTCTTTGAAATCAGTGGGACAACTTCTTTCCGTTCCTATATCAAATTTTTTAAACAGGAAAGTGTGTAGCTAAAAATTTATCAAAACAATTTTATTTTTGGGTCCCTGGAATTTCTAAAAGAAATGATCTGGAAAACCTGGAAGTCATATGGAATTTTGAAATCGGCGTTTAAATTAAATAAATAAATTTAAACGAGTCATAAATTTGCTATAAAATTTTTTATTAAAAAATTACGTACACGTACACAATAAGTAACTTATTTGGAAATTTATTACTCTATTCATCATTTAATACCAAGAAATTCCATTTTATCAACAACTTCTTTTTGCAATTCCTTGACTAACTTGATTTCTTTTTCTGCAGAAATCCGATTCCAAGGGATGCGAGCATCACCAAAATCAAAAGGTGTCAAGTGTCGCATTGCAAGTTTTATACCTTGCACTTGATTTCCTGCAATACGTTTATTGTTTTTTATTCATTAAATTAATTTAATAACTATTAACAGTGCTATTATAATAGTTACCAAACTGATTAACAAATTATTATTATATAATAATTTAAAAAAAAAATATAAAATTTTTCGATTTATTTAAAACAAATATTGAGGGGCTGGATCGAAGAACCGACGGAGATATAGCGAAGCGTCGTTTTATCGATCTAGCCCCTCAATGGATATTATTTAAAAATAAATGAAAATATATACCAAATAGAGGATAAACATTAAGAGATTTTGTAAACAGTTCTTGGTGTTTTTTAGCTTTTTCAAAATCCTTGTTTTTCCATGCCTCGCTAATCGTCAATGGAAGTTCAGGAAATAAATTCGAAGAAGCCGATATGAAAGCTTCTACACCCAACGCACAAGCTGGATATATTAACTAAAATATTTTATTAGTACATTTTTTTAAAGATTATATAAATATTATATGCGTTATAAACTTTAATATAATACTAAAAAATAAGATTTTTTAAAATTATTTCCAAGTTTTTAATTTTTCTCTAAGTTATTCAGATGATTAAATATAAGTCATCTAATAATAGTTACCTTCTCAGCTCCGAAAAGAATTGTATAATTTCGATTTCTCGCTTCTAATGCTTGAGCAACCTCGGACAAATCTGTATTTGAATATTTAATACCAACAAGAGTTGGAACTAAGTTTCCATAATTTTCCAAAAATTCGGCAATGTTTAGACCTACATAAAAATCAGAATTCGTAAGTTAATGTTTATACTGAACCCGGGTTGCCACAAATATTTAATTTTATTTTTCCCTGATTTCCAGACAAAATTTTCACTTTTTCCCTGACCCTAAAGAATATTCTGATTCACTCTAAAAATTATTAGACACTCAAAAAAAAAAAATGTTCTATTACATTTATTTACAAATTTTTTAAATTGTAAAATTATTCAAAAACATCAATAACTTCTTTTTTAAATAAATATTTAATCATTATTTTTCTGTAGGAATTAAAATTCTTCAAAACATTCAAATTCAAACCTTTTTGAAATTCAACAACTTATAAGAATATTATATTAAAAAACATGAAGAATCACTCCGAGTCTTCGACTCGAATTGATCGCCTTCTTCATGTTTTGTAATAATTTAAATTACCATAAAATTTTTCAAAATAAGTTAATTATTTACAAAAATCCTTCGCAAGAATTCAATTATTTTTACAAGCAGTAGGTACAATTTCTCAAAAAAATTAAATTATTTAAAAAAAATGTAAAACAAATTCGTTGCAATAATTCAATTATTTTCATAAATAATAATAAATCGATTATTCGTTGATTCATTTTTAAATCAATTTTTATTAGAAAATTCTAGAAAAATTCAATTATTTAAATTAAAAAATAAATGATTTATTGAATAATTGAATGTTTGTTAAAATTGAATTCTCATAAAGAATTTTATCAATAAATTTTTAAATAATTGAATTCATTTGACAAATTTTAATCAAATTTTCAAGAATAATTGCATTTTTCGAGAAATTTGATTAAAATATTGTATAAAAAATAATTAAAATCCTGCGATGAGTTTCATTATATTTATGAAAATAATTAAAATTTTCCTAAGAATTTTATTAAAATTTTCATAAAATAATTGAATTTTGGAGAAGAATTTTATTATTTACAAAGATACTTGGAATTTTAACAAGGATTTTTTTTTAAATTTTTGAACATAAATGGATTTCTGCGAAGAATTTTATTACTTTTGAAAATAATTTAATCCTCCCAACGAATTCTATTCAAATTTATAAAAATAACTGTATTTCTGTGAAGAATTTTATTATTTTTATAAATAATTGAGTTCTTACAACGAATTTTATTCAAGTTTATGAAAATAATTGAATTCCGGTGAAGAATTTTATTATTAGAAATAATTGAATTCTTGAAAAGAACTATATGTTAATTTTTTTTAAATAATTAAATTCTTGCGACGAATTTTATAAAAATCTTTTTAAATAATTTAATTTCTATAAAAATTTTATGAATTTTTGTATTTTAAATAATTGAATTCCTGTGAAAAATTTTATTACTTATGAAAATAATTGAATTATTTCGAAGAAATTTATTAAAAATTGAATAACTGAATTCCTGTGGAATTTTGCAAGAATTTTATTAAAATTTTTAAAAATAATTGAAGTTCTTGAAAACTTAAGTTATTTAAAACGAAATTATTGTCAGAAATAGAAAAAATTGAAGGTTTTGTATTAAAATTCGTGGTAATTTCATAGTTTACGAAAAAAAATTCAGTTTGCTCATGAATTTTAAAAATTCAATTTTTTTTTGTTCTCTTGTTGCTTAATATACTATTTTAGGCCCCTGGACCCATTAACGAAAAAGAACTAGACTAAGTTAGTAACAATTTTGCAAAGTGCTAAATAATTATCATTTAGAAAAATTACAAAGAAAAATTGTACCTTTTACTGGTGCTCGTTGTGGCGTATGATAATACAGTAAAGGCGTATTGGGTGCTGCATCCGATACAAGTTTTAAATAAGTCGCTAATTCCTTTTCATTTGAAGGTCTAAAGTATAATTCCGGTAATGTCAATAAAGAGTCAACGTGTAATTTCTCAGCGTGTCTTGCCTTAAAAAAAAATTTAAATTTATAAAATTATTAATATTAAAAAATACCAATTTTATAATTTTTAAACAAAATTAACTTAATGACAAACCAATTCTAAAACTTCAGGAAGGGGAGCACCTCCAATGTGAACCATTAAATGTAATTTTGTTGATTTTATGGCCTTCATCCATTCCTCAGCAAGAGATTTTCTTTCGGGGACAGATAAAGCTTGACCTTCACCTGTCGTTGCGCCAACTAATTTTTTCGAAAAATAAAATTATAATAAATAAATAATAAAATAAGTAAAGTTATTTACTGTAGTTTCTTTAAACCAAAAATTACTCTTTAACCCAATAAATTGAATGGTATTTAAAAAAAGGTTTATTTAAGAGATACGATTTTATATTTATGTTGAAATTCTTAAACATTAAATTTAACGTAATATAAAATATAAATAACAAAAAATAAAAATATTTGTAAAATAAGTAATTTAATTTATAAATTACACACTAAGGACACCAGCGACGCCTTTTTTCTCGAGATATTGAACATAATCTGGGATCACTGTTAGATTTAGCGATAATGTACTGAAAGTGAAGTAAAATGTTAGTTGTTACAAAATTCAATTTTACTAAATTATAATACATTAAAATAAAAAAAATAAATATTATAAAAACCAGGAAAATTCAAATCAAACTAAATTCATACTCTTTATAGTTATAAGGCGTCAACGCTGCAACGAGAATACCTCTTAAAATAAATTCTTCCACCTAAAATAAGATATAAATTTATTTTTTCGAAAATAAAATTAGGTGTTAATACTAAGTTCTTTATAATTTAAAAAAGTGTTAGAAAAATGTGAAAGAAAAATAAACGACAAAAAATTTTAATTCATAAAAGTTAAAATCATATTGATTCAGAAATTTTTATTGTAGTAAAATACTAACTAGATTTACAATTATTAAATTTTTCTAAAGTTAAATATTTATTTTTTTAGTGAAAAACCAGTTGGAAAATATATTGAAACTATTTGACTATTAAAAATTAACTAATAAAAAAAGAAATGCAAAAACAAGAAAACAATAAAAAAAAGAATTAAACACACACTTAATAAAAATATGAAAATTATTTGTTAGCATAGAAAAAAAGAGATAATTTTGTAAGCAATTGTTTACACTTACCAACATCGTGACGAACTTTTTGTGTCTAGTTTTAAAAGTGAAATGCCGCGGCACGAAGTAAGGACCTCGAATAAAAAGTGAGAAACTGGTTCATTGCGCAAATTATAAGTTGTTAGTGGTAACATAATAAAAATTACCAAATCCCTTTACATTCAAATCAACACAGTAAGCACCTATATAGCAATTATTTACTAATTTCTTCAACACCTGACATTTTCCAATTTTTGAATACCAAACCAATCGATTACTATTTCGCAATATTACTTTTACAAAAAAGTTTCACTTGCATTTTTCTTAAATAATAATTTTTATATTTTCAATATTAAAACAAAATGTTTTTTTTAAATATTTGGAAATCAAATTTATTAAAAATAAAATAAAATAATTTTAATCCATATTATAATTCGATTAATTAAAAAAGAAGTCTTATAAAAGACGATAATATTACAATTTTAAATATTGTACTAGTTTTTAATATTAAATGAAACTAATAATTGAAAAGTTGACAATATAAAAAAGAAATAGAAATTTTTTAGTTTAAACTTAACAATTTTAAGTTATTCCATGTGAAAGTTAAATCCTTGAAGTAAATTGTCTCCTTAGTTTTATAATTGCATCTATTATTGTTTGACGAGAGAGTAGGTAAAAATAAATCTAGGTTAAAAAATGAAGAGGAAAATTAAAAAAGGTATACAATTTTTTAGTTGTACCATTTTAATAAAATATGAGATCAAAATAAAAATTAAGGCGTTTAACTGTCTACATTCTACAATTTTTTGTTTTAACAGTCAAATCGGCCCAACTTGGGGCTTTTTGACAAATTTTCTCTATATTTTCAGGTATAAATAAATTTTAAAAAATTAAAATTAATTATTTGATTATAAAAAGTAATTTTAAAAAATAAATTTTATAAAATATTTTTTTATAATCAAATGATTAATTTTAATTTTTTAAAATTTATTTATACCTGAAAATATAGAGAAAATTTTCCGACTTAATATTCGTTTATAAAAAAATAATTTTAAAAAAATTAATTTGTTTATAAAAAAAATAATTTTTTTTTAATTAAAAATTGAAAACCATTTTTTTATATTATTTAAAAGTTGAAAAAATCAAATTTTTCATTCTTTGACAACTTTTTTCTAAACTCAATACTTTCAAACCTAATAAGCTACTAAAAATAGATCTACTTTTATTTTAAAAATTCAAAATTTCGAAAATTCATAACTCGAAAATTTGAGCAATTATACAAAAATAAAAAAATACGTATATCATATTTTTTTAAAATAAAAAACGATAAAATAATATTTTTAACCGATTTTAAAATATCAGGCAAATCTCACGTGGAATTACCCAAATATTAAATTTTAACTTTACATCTTACAATCCTTTTTTCTTTTACTTGTCACACTAGATAATTCCAAAGAATCTTTGTGAGAACAATTATTTTTCCAAATTACAAAAATTTTAATTATTTAATTATTATTATTATTTAATTTAATTATTCATTTCTTCATTGCCGAAAAAAATTTTATGCGTTTAGTACAAGTTTATTCTTTCATTTCCTCAACTCTGTCATGCCCCGAGATTATACGAATCTAATGTCAGATTTTCAAAATTTTGAAAATTCAAAATGGCGGATCCAATATGGCGGACATTTTTTAAAATTGCTCAAAACTTGTTACTCGGGGGTTTTCAAGGTCGCTGATTACGAATCTGAAGGTAATTATAGGAATTGACGAATTAATAAGACAGCAAATTCATTTTCCATTAAATTATTTATTGTTAATTAACGGACAGAATCAACTTCTACAATAATATACACGTAGATTCGAGAGACGTTTCCAAGATAAAGAATAATAGGAAAATAAATAGTCTACTCTCGAAAATCTAAACAATAATTCATGGAATGCAATAATAACAAGACAATTTTTTTTCCAAATACAATTTGATATATTTATAATTGATAATTGAAAACGCTATTGAGTGACGCTCCTTTTAATTAGCAATACATGTAAACCTACTTTTTTTAAAAAAAAAAAACCTTGTCATTCTAAATGAAAATTAAAATAAAGTTTTCTAATCTCCCGATTGTACAATAAATTCTTTTAACAAGATTACGAGTTTGATGTACAACTATTTTTATGGATGAAAGGGAATTACCCATATTTAATGATATATCATATTTTAGTGACATCTCTTTCGTAACATTGATATTTGCCAATAGGAATTGTCGAAAAAAATTTTCTTCCAACGACAGACTCATTTCCCCCTTTGTTTTCTAGCCAATCGCAAATATTTTGTTCCAACATACTAGATTGCATTTTTCTTCTTTTGCTTTAAATAATCTGAATTGGAAAAAGAGTACAATTTCGGGATCAACAATTAATGGCAGATGGTGGATTCTGCTTAAGCTGCAAAATAATGGAGCGCATTCTAGAAACGTCTTTTGATGTTCTTGCTGATTTTGGATTGAAGTCGCACAATTTTGCGATTCTCTCCCACTCGGTTCCTGGTTCAACTTCATCAGCTTCCGCCACAAATTGTTTCTCTGCATTTCTAATGAAGAAAGTGACAGAGAAAAAGATTTATCAAAACAAGATGCTACGTTTTCATTCTATTCATGCTCGAGAGTGACTAAATACTCGATTTTTTCATCTACATTATTCAAAAAAGCATGTTTAAAAGCGAATAACATGCCTCCAATATTATAATTATGTTTGCTACTTGTGACGCTCCACGACAAAAGGTATTTAACGCATCAAGAACCAATTTTAGATGAACATCTCAGAAATGATCTTATAAAGTATCCTGACGTAATATTGGATTATGATTTCTGTTATAATGTATAATTTGTATTAAAACTTTTTTATCAAGAAATTTTGTAAACCTTAGAACGGAAAACTGGGGTAGTATACCAAAGTTCAAAGTAAGCCCCGACCGTGGGGTCAGAATGAGACCAATTTTATTAATTTTAACTGCTCCAAAGCTTAAAAAAATGAATTCAAAGTTTTGAAGGGCTAATCTCGAAACGACAGAATCAAATCTTTTTACTTTTCACCACTTCCTCTTCTCCATTTTCTTCTTAAAAAACCAATCTGCTAACTAGTCAGCCTCTTTTTCCATCTTCCTAAAAATATTTTCTAAAAACTTGGAAACTCCCAAAAATCTGAATGGGCCCTTAAAAAATATTTTAGGGGAAATAGGGGACTGAAAATTAAAAAATAGGGGACTTTTAGGGGACCATAAAAATTGGTTAAATAAAGATAAAAATATAATTTATTTATACAGGGTTGCCACCAAAATTTAACTTTATTTTTCCCTGATTTCCAAACACAACTTTCACTTTTTCCTTGACCCTAAAGAATATTCTGATTCGCCCTCAAAATTATTAGATATCAAAAAAAATGTTCTATTAAATTTATTTACAAATTTTATCAAAAGTAAAATTATTCGAAAACATAAGTAGTTTTATTTAAAATTAAAATTTAATAATTTTTTTTCATTGGAATTAAGATGTTCAAAAATTTCAAATTCAAACACCTCTTTTCAAATTGAACAACTCATAAGAATATTATTATAAAACATAAAGAAAGTGATTTATTTCCTTATGTTTTATAATAATTAAAGATGACCGACTGACAAAATCATTATTTTATTATTACAAGAATATTTATTGTAATTTCTTCAAAATTATTTGTATGATTTCAATTCAATTAACATTTTTTAGAATTTTTAACTAAAATTCTACTTTAAATCAATAACATCAATTATTATTCAATTAAACTTTTTCAAAAAAATTAATTCTACAGAATTGTTAGTTAAAACTACGAAAAACAATAATTCAATTCTACGAGAAATCAATTATTTAAAAAAAAAAAAAAATAATATTGAATGTTTCTTAAAATTTAATTTTTACGAAGAATTGTATTAACAACTTTTGAAAATATTTAATTTCGTTTAAGGAATTTAATTAAAATTTTAATTAAATTTATTATATTAAAGAATTTTATAACAATTTTTTGAAAATAATTGAAAACTTTTTGAAGAATTTTATTAAATTTTTTTAAAATAATTGAATTCTTGAGAAGAATTTAAATAATAATTTTTAAAAACCTCAATTTATGAGAAGAATTTTATTAAATTTTTTGAAAATAATTGACTTCTTGAGAAGAATTTAAAAAAAAAAATTTTGACAATAATTTAATTTTTGAAAAAACTTTCTCTATCTATTTACAAAGATAATTTAATTCTTGACGAGAATTCTTGCGATGAATTTTGATATTTATCAAAATAATTGAATTTTGGAAAAGAATTTTATTAAAATTCCTTCGAATAATTAATTTATGGGAAAAATTTATGCGATTTTGTTGTTTATCAAGCAAATTGAATTCTTTTGCAAAATTACTTAAAAATTTTTTGAAAATAATTGATTTTCTGCGACGAATTAAATGTTATTTATGAAAATATTTGAATTATTGTAGCAAATTTTATTGCTTTATTGAATAATTGAATGTTTCTTAAAATTGAATTCTTTCCTCAAGTTTTAATAAATTTTTTAATAATAATTGCATTTTTCAAGGAATTTATTTAAAATTGTATTAAAAATATTTGAAATTCTGCGATGAAAATAATTGAATTCGTAAATTGAAATTTTATTATTCATAAAAATAATTGAATCTTTTCGTAGAACTGTATCAACAAGTTTTTTCTATAATTAAATCTGTTGATAAATTTTATGAAAAAAGTAAATATTTAAAAACATTAAATTGCGAAAAACTTTTAAAAATAATTGAAATGTTGGAAAGAATTTTATTAAAATTTTTGAAAATAATTGAATTTTTGGCGAAAAATTCTGCTATTTATAAAAATAATTGAATTCTTGACGAGATATTCATTAAAATTTATAAAAATAATTGAATTCGTGCAATTTTATTAAATTTTGTTTAAATAATTTAAATTTTGCCAAGAATTTAATTAAAATTTTTGACAATAATTGAATTCTTGAGAAGAATTTTGATATTTATAAAAATAATTGAATTTTGGAAAAGAATTTCATTAAAATTCCTTAAAATAATTGATTTCATGGAGAGAATTTTGTTGGTTATCAAGATAATTGAATTCTTTTGCAGAATTACTTAAAAATTATTAAAAATAATTTATTTCCTGCGACGAAAAAATTAGGAGACATTTGGGGGAAATTTTCAAAATAGAGTACGTTTAAAGGCCGTTTACTTTTAAAGTTTTTTTAAAAAAATTTTTAATTTTTTAAATTTTAAATTTATTTAAAATTACCTTTTGTCGCGGAGTTATACTATTATTCAAATATTGTAAAAATCGAAACTTAATTTTTATATTTTCATTTCCATTCGTAATAATATTATGGGAAATTTTTTATTTCTTCTAAATCGTCAAAATAAAAGTTAAAAGAAGTCATTTTCTTCGAATCTACAAGCCGATAATTTAAAAAATAACTTAGTAACGTATCTTTAATTCTCCTAGTGGCGAATTTAGGTTGGCCAAACTTTAGCAGGCGAAGCTTTGACAGAAACATTTTAAAAATTAATACTTACAAAGCTTTTAATTCTAGTGCCCGTATATTGAATAAATAAATAAAAAGCTTTTGCTAAAAATTAACTAAGTGAGTTAATAGTAATAAACCAAATGTAGATATTTGAAATTAAGCCGTCAATCATCACCAAAAGGTGTTAAATAGTTGCAAAATATTTCACTAGCTGGCTCGACTATTAGCACATTGATTTGGACCAGTCGTCAAAAGGTTGTCTTAAATTGGGCCAACCAAAAACTCGCACTTGCCTCTTACATTATTAAAATTACAACAATTATTAATAATATAGATATTTGTTTAAATAATAGTTTTTAAATATAAACCTAGAAATAATCGAGATAAGTAATCAAATATAAATAATAAAAAATTGAGTACAGTGAGCTTTATGAAACTTGAATAAAAGGCATTGCATGTGCAAAAAGTCATGCAAAATAGAAATTAACTTTCTCAACTTACTTGGCTGACTCCCTAGGAAGCAAAACAAGAACGAGAGTTTTTATAAAAAACATTTTAGAAAATGTTATAAAATAATATCAATATTTAATTTAGTCTATTTTAAAAAAAAATTCTTTATCTTTTATAAATATCTTAGAATTTTTATTTATTCAAGATGTACAGAAAGTTTAGAAATCACTTAATATTTGTAAAAAAAAAGATATTTCTTCTTCATTTTAGAAATAAACAAAAGAAAATATTTTATTTTACATTTGTAAAAATAAAATATTTTTATTTTTCGAAATTTAGTGTCTTCCTTATGAATACATTCATAATTTTTCTAAACTTTCTTAACCAACATCTATGTAAATATTAATTTACCTAAAATTTTTAATGAAATAAATTCAAGTTATTTTATCATTGTGTAAAAAATATTCTTAATTTTTTAAGTAAATTAACATTTAAATCAACTTTATAGGAATAAAAAGAAAATTTATTGAGAAAATTACCTGTTGGTAGCTTTGGTTTTACTAATGGTCTCAACATGATGTTTATACCATTCTTCCAATTCCTTCTTCGCGACTTCCTTCCATTCTTGCTTCTTTTTCTCCTCTTCGGCGTCTTTAAAAGATTCAAAACAAAAAAATTAGTTAAATAAATTTTTTTACTATGCGAACATCAATTAATTGATAGTTAATAAAAATACCTTTCTCTTCTAATCTTGCTTTTTGCTCTTCTCTCCATTTCTTGATCTTCTCCGGTTCTTCTTTTACTGGTGGTGGCGGCGCTGGCACTTCTGGTTCTGGTTCCGGCTCTAAATCCAATTCTGGCTCTAAAAATACAACGAAAAATGTTTAATAATTCAAATTCTCATAAATGAATAAATAAAACGATAATTTTAAAAATTCTAATGAAATTCAATTATTAAATTTTTAAATACAATTATTAACAAACACGATTATTCTAAAAACTTGAAAGAAATTCTTCATAGAAGTCAATTACTATCAAAATTTTCAAATCAATAAAAATTATTAAGAAAACTCCCTTATTCTGAAAAATATGCAAAGAAATTCTTCAACAAAATTTAATTACTTTCAATACAATTTCAATTAAATTTCTAGAAATAATTCTTTTATTTTAAAAAATGTTAATATAATTCGTTAATCAACTTTTTAATTACAATTATTAAAAGTTTTTGAAGAATTCAATTATTTTTATAAATAATAAATTTCTTCGTATAAATTCAATTATTTTCAGTACAATTTTTATAAAAATTTATTTCTCGATAGAATTTAATTATTCTCATTTTTTCCAAAAAACTAAGAAATTTTCCAAAAGAATTTAATTATTTACGAAAATGCTGATAAAATTTTTGAAAAGAATTTAATTTTCGATCAGTAATTTTAATAAAACTTAATAATATTAATAATAAAATTATTAATTATTTTTAATATTTTAATATAATTCCTAGAATGAATTCAGTTATTTAAAAAAATTGTAATAAAATTCTGAGAAAAATTTAATTTTCTCAAAAAGTTTAAATAAATTTCTTTTAATCATATTGTTAATATAATAATTAACACGTACAATATTATTTTAGAAACTTGAAAGAAATTCTTCATAAATCAATTACGCTCAAAATTGAAGAAATTCTTTGAGAAAATTAAAATATTTTTTAAAAATTTTAAAGAAATTCTTCGCAAGAATTCAATTATTTTTATAAATATTAAATTTTTCCACAGGATTTTAATTATTTTTAATACTATTTTGATAAAACTTCTAAAAAAAGTTTAATTAATTTTTAAAATTTTAATAAAATTATGATTATTTTGAAGAAAATAGATATTAATTTTCTTAATATTCTAATCAAAATTAAATGGAAATTTTTTAAAACATTCTTAGCAAAAAACTATTGTAAATAAATAGAAAATGAATTTACCATCGTCAATGGAAATAGGAGCAACATTTGTCATTGGAGGAATTTCAACCTCGAGTCCAGCAAGTTCATTTTGTTCTCGAGCTAAAAATTCTGCCGCTGGATCAACTTCTGCTGGCTCAACAAAATTATCCCCAAAGGCATCCATATTTTCACCAAAAAAAAGAAACTATTTTATCACTGTAAAAAGAAATATTCATTTGAATAAATAAAAAAAGTCTAGGCATAAAAGAAATAAGAAAAAAAAACACTAAATAATAAAGTAAAGAACATCGAAAGTAATATTTAACACTCTAGTTGATTAAAAATTTATGTCTAATTTGAAAATAGTAAGAGTTAATATAATATAGAGAAGTATAACTATAATTAACTTTCGTGTTATTATTTTATATGTACATATTTCAGATAAATAAATGTATATTAATAATGGTAAAATTAGTATTAAAATAGTAATTTGACAGATTTGTGTTATTAGAGTATGAATAAATTTAATAAAACTGAGTAATTGTAATATTAACTTACGAGTTTTAATAAATTTATAGGTGTTGTTGAATTAAGGAAACACCCCTTTTGCAATATTCAGATTTTTACGTCAAATGTCAAATTCAGGTTAGAAACGTCAATAACGATCATTGATCACTTTTTATGAGATGGGAAACTAACAATAATTTTGCACCTGCGAGTACAGGTTGATAAAGGGGAGTTCAGAATGTTTATTCAACTCGGAAAAAATAAGGGTACGGTTACACGACTTTTGGAAAAACCATTCTTGTCTTTCTCCCTCCTATGACAGAGGCTTAAGTTTGTCTCACTCTACGTTTTCTTACTTTTTCCAAAAACGAAAAATGATACAAACTTATGCCTCTGTCATAGGAGAGAGAAAGACAAAAATAATTTTTCCAAAAGTCGTGTGACTGTACCTTAAAATTGAAAGCAGAATCTCACGAGAGAAAAGAATAGTGCTATCTGACTATCTCTCTTGCACCCATGAAATTGTATTTTGCTTAAAGGTGCTCATATATCACCGGTATTTTTGTCAAGCGTTTTGCGTTCGTTTTGTAACTAGGCCGTCATAACTGATTATAAAATTTTTATCCATTTATTATTACAACTAAACATATTAAGGGGATCCCACTTATCGACATTGCAGATCTAAAATGATTAAAAATCTGCAACGACCGTTTCTTGGAAAATATAAGATATTATTACCTATAAATTTGGAAAACTCATTTTTTATCATGAATACACAGGATGAGTATTTTATTTGTTGTAATTATTTGAAAAAAATTATCGTTAGAAAGTTAAATATGGGCAGTTTCCCTGTAACACATCTTTGACTACTAGCTCAAACTGCAACGACCATTTCTCGAAAACAACGAAACAAAATAATTTTTCCATTTGGGAAATTTAATTTTGTAGGAAAATACGGAGGATGAGACTCATTTGCCATCCAGGAATAAATAAAAACTTTATTTTTTGTAAAGTGTATACGTGACAGCTGTTCGGTGGCACTTGATATTTAATTTACTAGCATTAACTTTTCTTTAACAATTTGAACAAAATAAATGTCTCTCATTGTGTGTCTTTCATCACTAATGAATTTTTACTCGAAAAGAAAACATTATATTTTATTGTTGCTAATTTAAAGCTAAAAATAATCAAAATTGGTCAGTTTTGGAACCTTTGGCGCCATCTCTTGGTTCTATGAACTACTAAAAGCTGTCACATGTGTTCTTCTTGTTGTAAATTGCTATACAAAACAGTTTACATAAATTAAAGTTTTTTATTGTTGTTTTCATATGTAATGAATCTTATTATGTGTATTTTTTATTAAAATTAAGTTTGCTAAATGGAAAAATTATTTTGTTTTGTTGTTTTCAAGAAAAGGTCGTTGCAGTTTGGGCTCTTGGAAACTGACCATATTTAATTTTCTAACAATATATTTTTTTTAATAATTACAACAAATAAAATACTCATCCTATGTATTTATAATAAAAAATGACTTTCACAAATTTATAGGTCATAATTCCTTATATTTTTCAAGAAACGGTCGTTGCAGATTTTTAACTATTTTTGATCTGCATTGTCGGTATGTGGGATCCCCTTAATATAATTAATTTTTCAATAATTTCATTTTTACTAATAAATTATTCGTTCAGGACAAAATTAGAATGTTAGTTAATTAGTTAGTTAGGAAGCGTTCAGACCTCCGCATGCAGGTTGCCATGGTAGCGTTCAAGAGTGAGAGAGATAGAATAATTTCCTATCTCTCTCACTCTTGAACGCTACCATGGCAACCTGCATGCATAAGTTTTGCATGCGGAGGTGACTGCGCACGCGCAGGCAACCGAGTTGTGACTGCACCATAAATTTTTTTCTACAAACAGAGGTGCAAATGCACCCTAAAGTGAAAGACATAAAACACATAAAAAGCCTATTGTGGACGTAGCCTAATAGCCACCAAGCGTTTAGTAAGTTGGCAGCATCGTTGCCACCCATTTCTTCCTGTTATAAAAAGTGTTCAACGCCATTTTGCTTTGTGTGCAGTGACAATTTTCAGTGTTGAAAAGTAGCGTCTTATAGATAATTATCGTTTTTGTTTTAATTTTATTTCTCCAAAACGTCGAACTCATACGTAAGTATCAAAATTTTTCATTTTTTCCCACTTAACAATAAAATTAAACAGATATTTAATAAAAAATATCAAATTTTCACCAAGGACATATATATATTCATCGTTCCCCCCATTCATTATAGAAACTCAAGTCTTTAACAGCAATCATACCGGCATCATTTTTCTTTTTTGCGAAAAAAAATTTCTTTTTTATCTTTTACTTCTATTGTGAATATTTTTGAAGTAGTTGCCTTTGAATTACAATTAATCGAGATTTAATGTTTGCAAGTATTTTTTTCTGTATTAATTACACGTTAGTGGTTTTTTTTTCATCCCGTTTCGATAATATTGTACAATTATTACAAGTAGCATACTATTATGTGTGTGCATTCTATAGAATAAAATAATCAGTTTTATATATCTCGGGAAGTAATGTTTTTTTTATCATCGTTTAAAATTTTATTTTCTTGGTTTTTAGAGATAAATTTGCTTTTCTTTTATTAAATTACATTCTTTTTTGTGTAATTCAATTTTACTTCTTTTTACTGTTTTCCAAGCGTATTAATGTAAAATTATATTAAATTATTTATTTTCGTCTTTATTTATTTAACTAGTTTTTTTTATTTTTAAAAACTTTTCTATTGTTAAGTTTTTTTGTTAATAATATTTTGTTTCTCTCGTTACAGAAAATGGTGTCGTCCAACCCACCGGTAAGATAATTATTTTAATTTAATAATGTTCTATAAAGCTCGGATAAGTTTTGTCGTTGTTTGTATAGTGATAGGCTCCGAATTGTTAAATCAATAGCTATGAGGGAAATTAACAGTCACCATAGTTTGCTTAACTCAATATCAGTACACTTGATTTTAGAAAATTATTTTTCCAAAAAAATATTCAAATTTTTTTTTTGTTTCTGAAAAAAATTTCATATTATAACTAACATTAATACACATTAAATAATCAGTATTAATAAATTAATATTAAAATAATTATGAATAATAATTAATGTAAATTTATTGGTAAAACTTGATATTAATTAATATTAAGTAGTTAAAGAGAAGAAATAAAATTTTTGTTCTTTATTGGGTGCTCAATTTTTGTTAACAATTTTGAGCATTTAAAATTAAAAAAAAATTTTTTGACAAAACTAAAATTTAAACTTCTCTCATAATTTTGATAATTTTTCAATGTCGTTTTTTTAATACCCTTTTTTATGCTTTTATATGGGATTAAAATTGCAAATACCAACTATTTTAATATATATTTCATAAGTGAATAATGCAATACTTAACATATTAGACATAAAAAATAGTATTTTTAATCATTTTAATTCATTATTCTCAAAAAATATTATTAAAAATAATTATTTAATTACGTAAAAAAAATTTCGCAAAAAAATTTTATAAGCACGGAGATTGTGGCAACAGCGCATTCACAGGGTGTCTACTGGTCCTTGAAGTCCTGGAAATGTCCTGGAATTTGAAAAAATGCCCTTAAATGTCCTGGATTTTTAATTTTTTACCTTTAATTTTCTATATTTTGCTTTTAAATATTCAATAATTTAAAAATTTTACTCAAATTTAAAAAAATAATTTTTTTGATCCATCAAAAAATAATTTTAATTTGTCGTTTGATTATAGAATCTGGTATTTATAATATTAATTTTAATGATTTTTAACTCTTTTTATAATAAAAAAAATATTTTTGTTCAAGTATAGGTTAATTTAAATTATGTTAATCGTAAAATATGAAATAATATTACACATATAAATGTCCTGGAAAAATAAAAAATCTGTCCTGGAATGTCCTGGAATTTTAAGTCATATTTTCAGTAGAAACCCTGATTTAGTTTTAATGTTATTTCTCAAAATCGGGACAGTCGGTTTACTCAATTATTTTTTTAAATTATTCCAAAAGTATTGAACTTTAAAAGAGTATGATTTTTAAAAAAAGTTTAACTTTTTTATAAAAGTTATTATCAAAATAGTGCACTTCACATGACACTCTCTATAAGAGTCCATATAAAAACATGCAATTTCAACAATTAAATTCTCAAAAACGGGACAGTAGAAAATTCTAAAAAAAATTGTTCTGTAATTCGGACATTCTTAATTTCACAAATTAAAAAAAATTCTTAACATTTTTATTTGATTCACCATCTTTCTTAATCATAAATTTTAATTTAAAATGACTCAAAAAGTTGGAAATATTTTTATAAATAGTCCAACAGTTTTCATTTTTTTAAATAATTTTCGTCTATTTAAAAATATTAATTATTTTACAAACAATTAAAACTTTCGAGTGCAGTTGCTCTTTAGCATTTATCAGAAAGACGCTAAAGTAGCTCGTGACAAAATTATCTTAAAGTTAATATTTCGTTGTGAATTATTATTTTTTGTAAGCTTATTTTTGAAATATTGACTCAGTTTTTACATTTTCTTTTATTAAAAAACTTGAAAGTGTCCGGGGCTACCCCGACAAATTGTTGAAGTTTGGGATTTTAATACTCATTTTTTCCTAAAAGGTTTGATTATTTTACAAATGAATTTATGCTGAAGCTTGAAAGAAGCATTCTGTTTGACATAAAAAAATTTAATTAATATTCCAAAAATATGAACACAAATTATTCACCGAAATGCTTAAGTGTCCGGGGCTACCCGAATCTCCCCTATATCCAGGTCTAAATGACGCTTAAAGCTGATAGGATACTTTTTCGTGTTTTTAAAATAGTTTTTCAATTACAAAGATTTAAGACTGGAAATTATTAAAATCAGTTTAGCTCTCTTTGCATGTACCAAAATTTACACCTTTAGAGTCAATTGCTTTTAGATTAAATTGTAGCTCATAAATTTTGACCTTATATTTTTTAATAATATAGTTCAAAATTGTTGAATGTATTTCATTTGACATTGAGCGAGAGCAAAGTTTCTTGAACAGACACCATATTTGCTGAATCCAATACAAATATGGTCGATTTCAAAGATACATTTTTTAAAATATTGATATTAAAATTCGAGCTTGAATTCGGTTTAGAAAAATAGGAAATTAATTTTTTTAATTAATTTTCTCTTATTCTGCATTTATTTTGTTTTATTTACGAATCATATCGACGAGAATGGTTCATCTGAAATCAAAAATTCAAAAAAAATTCCGTTAGTATATTATATTGTCTACGCTGAACAAAGGACTTATAAACATTTTTTTGGTTTAGAAAAAAATTTCAAAAATTAAAAATGGTTAAATTTACAAAATTTAAAAAAAAATCACTGTATCTGTATGCATGGTTGCCACAGAGCCTGGAAAACCTGGAAAAGGTATGGAATTTAGAAAAGGGTATGAAACACCTGAAAATAGAATGGAATTTAAAAAATTTCTGGAATTTCGCCTGTTTTTAAAGATTTTTAACAAAATTTTAATTTAAAATTATTATTCAATGATTTTCATAGGGTAAGTGTGGGTATTTCTGCGAATTTTTAGTGTAGGTTAACTTTGCGAAGCTCGTCTAAGTTTACGAAAAAATAAAATGCAGTTTTTTCAATTACAAATTAAAGTTCAATTATTATATTTTCCAAATCATTAAACTCAATCAAATTTCGTTACTTATTTGTATTTAAAAAAGTAAATTAAAAACTAATTGACAACACATGTATTATTGTTGACTCGCGATTAATATTGTGTGACATTTATCAAGGAAACACCAATTATTGTGCGAGCATTATTGCAGAAAATCAGGTGTCGCATAGCGCGCTGGTTGTCAAAAAAGAGGTTATGTTTAGTATGCGTTGCGCAGTAAACGTATTTAAAAATCGCAATAATACTAACATGCAGTAAAAATTCTGCTACTAATATAGTTTTAAGTATTATTAATTGAAAATCAATAATATATGGGTAAATTAATATATTTTTCAAATAATAAAGTGTACTTCTTTGATTAGTAACACTGAAACGTGTATACTATAGTGAATATTGGAAATATCAATGGTTTTTAATATGTATTCATGACTGCCATATTTGATAATTTCACAGAATTCTGTCATAATATATTTCAAATTTAAATAAATAAATAAATAATTGTCGGAATGTACATTTTTATGAGCTATTCTATCAAGTAAGATTCAAAATAATTTTTGTAATTATTTTGAAAAAATTAGGCGTGTATTTCAAAATGAAAATAATAATTTTTTAAAAATCGCAATAATTGTGTCACTCGCAGGAATACCCACACTTACCCTAAATAATAACATTTTTTACAGGGATTTATTTTCATAAATTCATAACAAAACTCATCGTAGACTTTTCAATTTTTAAAAATTTTTAATACAATTTTAATGGAATTCCTCAAAAAATGTAATTATTCTTAAAAATTTTATTAAAATTCATCAAAGAAATTCAATTATTAAAAAAAAAAATTTGCTACAATTTATTTAGTACAATTTAAGTATTATTTTCAATACATTTTTAATTAAATTTCTTCAACGAATAAAATTATTTTCATAAATAATGAAATTCTTTGTAAAAATAAAATTTTTTTCAAAATAATTTTCATAAAATTCTACGTAGAAATTTAATTAATTTCAAAAATTTGTCAAAATTTAATTATTTTCAATGTCTACTATTTCAATAAAATTTCACAAAAGAATTCAATCATTTAAAAAGATATTTTAATAAAATTCGTCTCAGGAATTCAATTATTTTCAAAAGTATTCTAATTCTTCGCAGAAATCCAATTATGTTTCAAAAATTTACAAAAATTCTCGTCAAAATTTCAATCATCTATATAAAAAATAAAATTGAGGCCTTGGATCCAATAACTCGCCCGACGCTCGGAGGAACGCGCTAATGCCAGTCGGGTAGCAGTGAGTGGCCCAGAGGCGCTCACTGCTCACTGACTGGCAGTTACGCGTTCCTCCGAGCGTCGGGCGAGTTATTGGATCCAAGGCCTCAATTTCTCTCCGAAATTAAATTATTTTCAAAAATTATAATAAAATTCTTTGCAGAATTTCAATTATTTTTAATACACTTTTTATCAAATTTCTCAACAAATGAAATTATTCTTAAAAATTTTATTTAAATTCGTCAAGAGAATTAAATTATTTAAAAATTTTTTTGATAAAATTCTTTATATGAAAATCAAATTTTAAGAAACATTTAATTTAATAATAGTAGAGTACATTGTTCAACTAGTGGTAAAATCATTCTTTCACCACGAGTTGTACATAACGTTTTTCCTAACGCCTTGCGAGGAAATGCATGTTAGATATTTTTCAGGGTGGCCGCTGGACTGGGAAACCGGGAAATGATAGGGAATTTTTTTGGACCGGGAAAAACCGGGAAATGACAGTGAATTTTGATCTTGACCGGGATTTTGGAATTTTTTTTTTAAAAACACATTATTTTGTGAAAAAAAATAGAAATATTTATTTTAGGACTTATTAATTATATTTCATTAAAAAAGATTGAATAATCTTCTATAAAATCTATTTATTTTGTCAGGGAATTTTATGAAAAGTACTATAAAAATATTCAATTTCTAGAATTTATAAGAAAATTATGAATTTTGTTGTCCAACGTAACAGACTTAGAAATTAATTTTTAAGTTATAAATAAAATTAATAAAAATAAATAAAATTTCTTTTCTTATAAAATAAACAGGGTGGCCGCTGGACCGGGAAACCGGGAAAACCGGGAAATGACAGTGAATTTTTTTGGACAGGGAAAAACCGGGAAATGACAGTGAATTTTGATCTTGACCGGGATTTTGGAATTTTTTTTTTAAAAACACACATTACTTTGTGAGAAAAAATAGAAATATTTATTTTAAGACTTAGGTATTAACTATATTTCATTAAAAAAGATTGAATGATCTTCTATAAAATCTATTTATATTTTGTCAAAGAATTTTATAAAAAGTACTATAAAAATATTCAATTTCTAGAATTTATAAGAAAATTATGAATTTTGTTGTCCAACGTAACAGACTTAAAAAAAGAAAATATTAAATTTAATTTTAAATTCTTTCTATTTCTAACAATAATTAAACAAAATATAATTTTAATTAAATTTGTCAAAAAAATTTCAAAGAGAAAAAATTTCACATCCTATAAAATAATGAAAAATAAATCAATTTAAAAATTTTTTGCAATTAATATTATAACCAAACAAATAAGAATTATTAAAAATTTGAACTAATTAGAACAAAAGTGATACGAAATTTATAAAAATGAATTTTTGAATAACAAATAAAGTAAATAAAAATAAATAAAATTTCTTTTCTTAGAAAATAAATTTTAAAAAACCGTATTTTTCATTAATATCAATTAGTTTTTTTACAATTATTCATAAGCAAATTTTTCGATTTTTTTGAATGTTAAATTAATATCATACTAATATTATTATAGATTGAATTTTAAAAAATTTCAAATTGAAGTTTTAGAAAAGTTGAATTTTAAAAGATTTTAATTAAAAATTCTGAATAATTTAGTCTTTAAAAATATTTTTATTCACATTTTCTCAAATTAGTTATGTTTTTAAATATGTAATATTTAATTGAAAAATTTTCAAATTAATCAAAATTTCATGAAATTGTCTTGTAAACAAGTGGATTTTAGAAATATTTTAGTTATTTCTAGAATATAATTGAATTGAAATTTTGAAAATAATTTTTAATAAGTTGCAGTAGCAATTCTTAAAAATTATTCAAATTTAAAGGATTTGAAATTTGAATTTTTTTTTTGAAATTTGAATACCTTCTATATGGAAAAATAATGGATAATAATTAAATATTTATTTCAAAAAATCTATTTAAGTTCAAAATTATTTTTAGAGTAAACTTAAATATTTTTAGGGTTTGGGAAAAAGTCAAAGTTTTGTCTAAAAATCAGGAAATTCTTTCAATCTTTCATGGAATAATTTATTTTCAGAGTTATTATTTATGATCGGGAAAAATAATTTATGACCGGGAATGGACCGGGAAATGACCGTGAATTTTTTTTTACAAAAAAAGTGGCCACCCTGAATAAATTTTGAAAAAACCGTATTTTGCATTAATATCAATTAGTTTTTTTTTACAATTATTGATAAGCAAATTTTTCTATATTTTAGAATGTTAAATTAATATTATTATAGATTGAATTTTAAAAAGTTTCAAATTGAAGTTTTAGAAAAGTTGTATTTTAAAAGATTTTAATTAAAAATTCTGAATAAGTTAGTTTTTTGAAATATTTTTATTCACATTTTTTCAAATTAGTTATGTTTTTCAATATGTAATATTTAATTGAAAAATTTCAAATTATTCAAAATTTCATGAAATTGTCTTGTAAACAAGTGGATTTTAGAAATATTTTAGTTAAAATTTCTAGAAAATAATTGAATTGAAATTTTGAAAATAATTTTTAATAAGTTACAGTAAGTAGCAATTCTTAAAAATTATTCAAATTTAAAGGATTTGAAATTTGAATACCTATATGGAAAAATAATGGATAATAATTAAATATTTGTTTCAAAAAATCTATTTAAGTTCAAAATTATTTTTAGTATTAAAGATATTCAAAAAAATGTATTATAAACATATTTTGGAGTTTCAATTATTTTTAGAGTAAACTAAAATATTTTTAGGGTTTGGGAAAAGTCAAAGTTTCGTCTAAAAATCAGAAAATTCTTTCAATCTTTCATGGAATAATTTATTTTTAGAGTTGTTTTTTATGACCGGAAAAATAATTTATGACCGGGAAATGACCGTGAATTTTTTTTATGAAAAATGTGGCCACCCTGTTTTTATAATTGTAACTAACAATTTCATTTTTAATAACATTTTATATTTTCATAAGATTTATAATTAAAAAATACAGTGGTCGATAAATGTATTTTCAAAATTTGTACAAATAAGTTAGTTATTTAGTTAGTTTAGTTCGTTAGTTCAGTTAATTTAGTTAGTTAGTAAATTAGTAAGTTTATTGAGTTACTTAGTTCGGTAGTTTCTTTAGTTTGTTAGTTTAATTAGTTTAGTTAGTCAGTCAGTTAGTTAGTTAATTTAGTTACTTAGTTCGTTAGTTTCTTTAGTTAGTTAAATTAGTTTAGCTACTTAGTAAGTTAATTTAGTTAGTTCGTTAGTTTCTTTAGCTAAATAGTTTAGTTAATTTTGTTACTTAGTAAGTTAGTTAGTTAATTCAGTTACTTAGTTCGTTAGTTTCTTTAGTCAGTCAGTCTAGTTAGTTAGTAAAATTTTATTCCGTCAAAAAAAATATCAACATGGATTATTTTAATCTTTTAAAATAAAAATAGCAATAATACATAAGTAAATACTACAAATTCTCCAGAAATTTACTTTCGCCACGGTTTTTCAAACAGTCGTGAAAAGTATCACTTCGCCACGGTTTGTGACCCTTGAAAGTTGCAGTTTCAAAGCGGGTGTTAGGGAAAATATTTTTTTATATAGTTAAATATTTGAATTCTTGTAGAATTTTCTAATAAATATCGATTTAAAAATCAATTTCAGTTAAAATTTTAGATTATAATTGAATATTGAAAGCATTATAGCGTGGATTTTTAGAAATAATTGAATTTTCAAAAGGTTTCAAATTAAAATCTCTGAAAATTTCAACTTTTTATACTTTTAATTAAGAATTCTGTAGAATTAATTTTTTTCAAAAAGTTTAATGGAATTTATTTTAATTATTTAAAGTTTTTAATTTCTAATACATTTAATTGAGGACTGTCAGAATAATCAAAATTTCATAAAATTAAATTGTAAAAAAAAAATTTGAAAATTCTCAAAGAACTTTTTCAAAAATTATTTTAAACAAATTGACTTAAAAAAGAATTTTAGTTGAAAATTTTATAAATTAATAATCGTAATGATGGAAATAATTTTGAAAAAGTTACAGTAACAAAGTAGCAAGTTTTAATTATTATAAAACATGAAGAAAGCGATCACTTTGAGTCGAAGACTCGGAGTGATCGATATCTTCATGTTTTTTAATAATATTCTTATAAGTTATTGAGTTTTAAATTTTTGAAAATTTTAATTTCTATGTATATGAAAAAATAATAATGATTAAATATTTATTTAAAAATGAAGTAATTGATATTTTCGAATAATTTTCGTATTAAAAACCTGGAAAAATTCCGTTTTTTAACCTGGAAAACCCAGGGAATTCTGAAATGAGCAAAAGCGTGGTAACCCTGATATGTTACAAGGTACTTTCGGTTACCAGTCTAATAAAAAAAATTTATTTTTCTTGATTTTAGAGGAAGACAAAAATCTTCGTTGGACGACTACCAGAAAACTGCCGGAATGACGAACTTCGTCAACTTTTCACTCGATTTGGAGACGTAACCGAGTGCGATGTAATGAACCGTTATGGTTTTGTACATATGGCTCGCGAGGAAGATGCGGCAGCTGCAATCAAAGCACTACACAACACAAACTTCAAAGGTGCCACGATCAATGTTGAGCAGTCCACGGGTAAATCAAGAGGCGGTGGTGGCGGCGGTGGCGGAAGACGAGACGATCGCCGTGGCGGTCCAATGAGAGGAGGCCGAGGAGGTCGTGATGGAGGACGAGATAGTCGGCCCGGTCCGTATAACGACAGGAGAGGTTTGTTGAGTACCGCGACTTTTGTTATTGTGGTCAAATTCTTCGAAATTTCTCATCATTTCAAAAATTAATTGGTGCGAAGCAAAAAAAAAAAGAGCGAAATAATATGCGCCATTTCTTTTGATTTGACTATAAATTTTCAAATTTGATTAAAATTCACGTTTTCGTTTTTTTTGAGGAATCGGTGTTTCTTTCAGTCGGGTCAATGTTGGTTTCGTTTTTTATTCTCTAAAGTTGCGTTTATGTTTTGAATCGTGCTCAGGCATTAATTGTTGGCGTTACAGTGAAATTGAGGATTGTTGTCTTTCTGATGCAGGAGGTGGAGGCGGCGGTGGTTATCAGGACTATAATCGTGGTGGAGGGGATTTCAGTGGTCGCAATGATTTTAATCAAGGTTATGGAGATCGTGGGGGTTATGGTCAGAATGTTGGTGGGGGACAGCCAATGGGGGGTTACACATCGGCTGCACCAATGGGCGGCGGTTATGGGCCATCTGGTGGCGCTGTTGGCGCTTACGGTCCACAAGGAACTGCAGACTATGGACGACAAGACTACGGAAGGGCAGACTTTGGTCAAAGGAATGACTACGGCAATCACGGAGGTTGGTTATGAATTGTAACTCGTTTTGCTCGCTCTTCAAAAACAACATTCCCAACATTTTTCCTAATGTTAAATTTCTAATGAACGTGTTTCCTAATAATTACTTTTTCCTAATTCAATTTTCCTAATGACTTTTTTCCAACTCAATTTTCCGAATTATTTATTCCTAAAGCTTATTTTTTCGAATGTAATGAATTTACTCTATTGCCACATATAAATTGCATCATTTCCTTATTCAACGACAAATGATTTGTGTTTTAGGTAAGTTCTGATATATGGCATAAGATAGTTATTGAATAAAAATGTTTTTAAAAAAGTGCAGAGGGTGAATAGAGAAAGCTTTTCTATTAGATTTGAATTGTTGCACAATGTTTGAACTTGGGTGATTTTTCTTGATCCTTTTATTTTATTGTCCTAAAAATTGTTTCAGGCATGTGCGACTATTCGGTAGTCGGTGGTGGAATGGGTAGTGATTTCAATAGAGGCCAACCTGGTCCAGTAGAGTATGGACGCGTTGACAATTTTGGAGGTGGCCGCCCAGTAGATTATGCGCCTAGAAACGATTACGATCGCAGTGGAGCAGGACCAATGAGAAACGGAAGTGGCGCAGTCGCTGCTAGTGGTTACGGCACTGGCTACGGCGACGTTGGTTACGATTCGAATTTCCAGTAAGTTTTTTTTTCTCATTTTTCTTATTCTACTTTTTACTTGCCGGAAGTAATGAATCAGAATGAATATTATGACTTAAAAAATCGCGTGCCAACCCGTTCGTCCTTTAGATATTACTTTGAAATTTTAACCAAATATTCTTCAAATGAAGTACTATTATCGTAAAACTTATTAAATGCACTGGCTCTAACCAAAGAGTCTAAAAAAATTCATTAAAACATGCCTATTTCCACCTAATTAACTATATCATTTACTAAATAGGCTATTAAAAATATAAAATAAAATCCTACTATACTCTGGATTGAATGACGCTTAAATTCATTTTTTAAATTGTTTTTTAATCAAAAAGATTAAAGACTACAAATTATTAAAATTAGTTCAGTTCTCTTTGCATTTACCAGAATTTACAGCTTTAGAGTCAATCGATTTTCGAATAAATTGCAGCTCATAAATTTTGACCTTATATTTTTTAATAATATAGTTCAAAATTGTTGAATGTTTTTCATTTGACATTGAGCGAGAGCAAAGTTTCTTGAACAGACACCATATTTGCTGAATCCAATACAAATATGGTCGATTTCAAAGATACATTTTTAAATAGATAAAAAGAATTTAAAATATTTTTTTCAAATTGGCGACTAATTTTTATAGATTTTTTAGATTGTAATTTAATTTAATATAATATATAAAAGTTAAATATTAATGAATTTAAGATAAAAGTTTAATATTAATTAAGTTAATATAGAAATTTTAATCACAATTCATTGAAATAAAATTTAAAAATCTTTTTGGAAATTGTACATTTAAAATAGAATTATAAATAAATTGTTTAAAGGCAAATGAGTGGAGGTCCGAGTTACAACACTGGCCCAAGTTATAACACTGGACCTGGACCACAAGCAGATATGTTCAGCAGAAGAGCTGGAGGAGCCGTCCAAGGTGGTGGTTATCAAGTTAGTGGAGGGTAAGATTCAAAAATCATTTTCCTTTTCTTTTGAACTAGTAAAACGATTAGTAATTAAAAATAAAACTTATTTGTGATGTCTCACTTACAAGTAAACTTACTCAAGTGTTACTGTGCTAGTGACCGATTTTGCTTTTTGTGTTGCAAAAGTACATTTGCTTTGCAAGCTAAAGGATAAATTTATTTAAAATTAAAATTCAATTTATAATTTTTCAATTAAAGAAGAGAGTCTTCCTTAGAAGAAAAGTCAAGAAAAATAAACTGTAAAGAATCAGAGATAATATTAAAAAAGAAGTTATTAAAATTCCTTTTTTAATAGAGTAGATTTATTGCTCGGAGGGAAAAATTAAAGAAAATTGTTTTTCTACTCCTAAATGTTGAAAGATTTCTTTTTTCCCTAATTAGATACGGCGAAGCTTACGACAGGCCTGATCCCTATGGACCTCCACGTGGAAATGGCCGGTAAGTAAATGTATAATACAAAAAACATTTGTTCTGTTTGAAAAATGGCGCTCGACGCAAAAAAGTAATATATTTATACATATATCGTATCCGATAAAATGTAAAATGAAGAAAAATTCTGTGCTGCGTAATTCACATGCGATACTTCTCATCTCAATCTCCGAACGCGAGAAGCATAAAATCAATCTGAATGCGCCAAACCTGTAAAAAAAAGTATAAGGTGTAACATCTTGAAAAAAAAAGAAGTACGATTTAGCTTGAAACCGTTTTTTATTCTTAAAAATTAAAACATGAATACATACTTTCCAACTAAATTTAAATCATATTCTTAATTTTCTTAAAATTTATATTTTTAGAAATTAGAGAAATTATTTTTCATTCTTAGTCTTTATTTTTAATTTTTTTTTCATTTATAAATATATAAATATTATATATAAATAAATAAATGACGGTTTCAAGCTCAATTTCGTTTAAATAATCGTCAGCGAACCGCGTTCTAATTTTTCAAATTGATTCATAAATTTTTGCGTGATTTTAAATTAGCGTAAAAGAATTAACAAGAGATTTACTATAAGCGAACCCATTTTTTGTTTTTTTTCAAAAGAAGAAAAAAAAGAATATTTTTGGCGAAATTGAAGTCGATTTTCTTTTTCAATACTGCGAAAATTCAACGAAAAGCGAAGTATTTGTAGAGATTAATAATCGTGAATTGGTTTAGGTTACAAATAATGAGAAACAAAAGAAATTGCGATAAGAAAAAATTTGCGATACATGAGCGATTAATTATTCGATTTTAATAGCGTATTTAAAATTTTTTTTGTTATTAATATCAACAGTCGCCGATTGGCGATAATTCATCAAAAGTTTGGGAAATTTTTTTTCTCTAAAAGAAACTATTTTCTTTTATAAATTCGAAATATCGATATTTTATTTGTCAGAAATTTAAGTCTCTGAAAATTATTGAATTAATTTTTTGCTTGAGATAATTTTTTTTTACCTCGTTAATCACTTTATCACACTCTTCATCTGTTTCACATACTTGAAAAATTATGAGAACACTCATCCAGCGATGAAGACATTAACTCTAAAAAATCTATGCAATCCTCACATTTCATAATTTTTTTACTAGTAGAAAGTAATTTTTGTGATGTGTCTATTTTTATTAGACTCAATCTTTTAAATTTTTTTTACTATTCATATTCATTAATTAATTAATATTGATTGATGTAGAAATTAACTCTAAAAAATCCATACAGTCATCACATTTCATAATCTTTCTACTAAAATGAAGCATTTTGGAAATTTTTCTATTTTTCTTAGACTCACTTATTCAAATTTTTTAATTTTACTATTCATATTCATTGATTAATTAATATTAATTAATGTAGAAATTATCTCTAAAAATTCCATACAATCTTCGCGTTTCATAATCTTTCCTACTAGAAGGAAGCATTTTCTGTAATTTGTCTAATTTTCTTAGACTCACTCATTCAAACTTTTCTAATAACTTTGAAACAATAATAATGAAATCATTTTATTTTATACCATTTTATTATAAATATAATTAAAATTTATTCATCATTAAACATTACTAATTTCATATCTAATAACTTTAAAACAATAATAATGAAACCATTTTATTATATAACATTTTATTGTAATTATAATTAAAATTTATTCATCATCAAACATTACTAATTTCATATCTAATAACTTTGAAATAATAATAATGAAACCATTTTATTTTATAACATTTTATTATAATTATAAATAAAATTTATTTATCATCAAACATTACTAATTTCATATCTAATAACTTTGAAACAATAATAATGAAACCATTTTATTTTATACCATTTTATTATAATCATAAATAAAAATTTATTCATCATCAAACATTACTAATTTCATATCTAATAACTTTGAAACAATAATAATGAAACCATTTTATTATAATTTCATTTTCAACATCATTAAATATAACTAATTGTTTTTAAAGATGTTTACATCTTTATAAATTGATGGCTGGTTGCCTCTTGGTAACAGACTTATCCTTATTAAGTTGATTGCCTTTTAATAATTAACTGATTCATAATTTGAATTCGGTCAAACACTAGATTCATTTCTTTTCCTTTCACAAAGTGTACGGATGCACATTGATGATGGTAAAAAGCATCTCCTGTCGAAATCACTTGACCACAGATCGCTGAATCTATTAAGGGGACCCGCAACTGAATTTGACTGTATTAAAACAAAACATAATTTAAAACACTGTAACATTTGATATAATTAAAAATTCATAAAACCCATGCCCTTAAATGTAAAAGAGAGTGTAAGAAACACAATGAAACAAGAACCATAAAAAATATTGAAATTTGTGGAAGAAGAAGAAGCAAATTTCAGTAAATTAACATTTTTACTAATTTTAATTTACTAAAAATTGCTTCCTCTTCCACAAATTTCAATATTTTTTATGGTTCTTGTTTCATTGTGTTTCTTACACTCTCTTTTACATTTAAGGGCATGGGTTTTATGAATTTTTAATTATATCAAATGTTACAGTGTTTTAAATTATGTTTTGTTTTGATACAGTCAAATTCAGGTGCGGGTCCCCTTAAATAAAGTGTTATGTCCGAAGATATAACATAGTTTAAAATAGTTAATAATAAATTATTAACTTGTTATTTGAACCTAGACTTGTATACTTGTTTTAATTTAATTAAATATTAAAATTTAATTAATAAACTGTTTTAAGCCTGAACCTTTACGTATAATAGCTTGGGAATACTTTCTATTATTTTCTTATTTCTTTAGTTCAATTGAAAATAAGGAATATTGAATTTAAAAAGTAATGAGATCTTTCTTGAACAAATGCTTAGTTCAATACTTAATCTCGGATTCAAAGGTTTAAATAATTTAGAAATCAAGAATGTTTTTTAACAACAGGAAGAGTTGGAATAAATTTATACAAAGATTAACGAAGTATAAATTTTTCCGGAAATGGGAAAGTGTGACAAGATTGTAGAAAGAATAGTTTAAAGTAAAAGACAGTAATTTAGTTTGTACTCAGTTTTTATAAAATTTATTTATTATAGATGATTTTCAGTTGAAATTGAAGTTGAATTTGGAACTGGAACGAAGTTGAGGTTAGAATCGTTATAACTTTAAAATTTAGAATTTAGAACTTAAAAACTTGGATAAGTTTGAATTTAAAAATTTGAGAGTTGAATTTGAGACTTGAAATTATAAGTTGATCGAAGATTTTGAAGTGACTGTTTTTGAATTGAAGAAATTTAGAAAAAGGACTGATAACTGATTTTTGCCTATGAAACACGCATATTTATGTGTCAATTCCCACTACTGATTTTCTTAAGGGAGGAAAATTCGGAGATGGAAATGTTGTAGAAAGGGAAAAAGAGGTTAGATATTTTAGGATTGGTTTAAGAAAAGAAAATGGAGAGAAAATGGGCCTAATTGGTGAATTTTGGGTCCGTCCCATTTATAGGGGTTTAACGTGCAGGAGGATCCTCGAAAAAGGAGCTGAGTCTTGACCTTCCTCAACTTCATCTCCTCTTCCAACTCCAAGTTTCTAGAATTTACAGATATGGCTATTTTTCTTAATTTTAACATTTTCTCTAATTTTTACATATTTCATATATTCAAACGGGGCCTTAAGTGTTTTTCGGCTGTCGGGGACCGTTCCTTTATAGTAATCTTGTTTAGGGTACTTATCGCTTTTAGACTAAAGTGTTGATTTTTAGGATTTTATAAATTTATGATGTTATAAAATTTATGATAATTTTTATTTAATAAGATTTGAAAACGGCAATATTGATTTTAGGGCTTAAAATTCTAAGTTTAAGAAAAATTTTATCACTCATTAATTTATCTAATCCCATGAATTTCGCTTCTACAAGTGTATATATAAAAAAAAGAAAAATGAAATGAAAAGAGAAGAGAAAGAGAGAAAATAAAATATGTACAAAACTGAAAACATTGGTTCCAATTCACAGGACGTTACACCCTTATCGTAAAATGGTTAGTTGAGGATGCAAGACGAAAATAATCATAACCCTGAGCACAATGACAATATTAGTTTTTCTAAAGTTATATAATCGAACAATTAAGGGTTAGGCTTGTTGCTGGACGCCTCTATCTGTAGGGTGATATGTCGATGGTCTAGAGTTTAATTGATATTTATTTGATACTTTTATTGTGGTTGGATGCCTCCTCAATAATTGTAGTATGTACTGCTGGAAGTTGGTGTAATTTTGATTGTCGTTTCTAATTTGGCGAAGCTTCTCTAATAACTTTGAAACAATAATAATGAAACCATTTTACTTTATACCATTTTATTATAATTGAAATTTAATCATCATCATACATTACTAATTTCTTCTCTAATAACTTTGAAACAATAATAATGAAACCATTTTACATTATACCATTTTATTAGGTATAATTAAAATTTAATCATCACCATACTAACTCGATTTATATAATCAATCATTGATTCATTATCTAGTTGGTTATTTTAACTCTTCACCTACAACTAATCACCACCGTTATCAAACTGTTGCCTCTTGGTAACAGAGATTTTTTATTATTGCTAAAAAATAGTTTAAATCAGACGGTCGTTTCTAATAATTGCCTGTAATTTATCTCCTGAAAGATAGTTTAGAACATGTTCTGTGATTTTTGTCGACCACATGAACATTGGATTTCCTCTTCATTTGTAATTTTGAATCAGCTCTTTGGCGTTCCTTCACCACTTTTCATATCTAAATTTTATCAAAAGCATAAAATTAATTTAAATAAATTTATTGAAGCAAGAGAAAATTAATCTAAACTTTAAGAATATAAATTATTCCAGTTCCCAAACTTTTGGCGAAGATCATTTTTAAAAAATTAGGAATAAAAATGTCCGAAAATTCAAAGTGTTGTAATGAAAAATAAATTAATAATACTGTGATAAATTTATTTGTAAATGATAATTAGGATTATTTGATTAAAATAAAAGAAAAATTGAGAAAAGAATGGTGTTACATCTTATACTTTGTATGATTTTTCTTCGCAGAGCATACGTATTAAATAAAAGCAAAGGACGATTAATAAAAAGAATTTTTTGATTTTGTGACCTTTTAGCTTCCCAGGTCCGGCAGACGGGATGCCTCCGAGGTACTAAAAAGTATTAAGTACCAAAACTTAGAAAAGCGAACACTCAAATGAAAAAAAAGTGCGCCGATTTCTGTACACACAAAATCACAACCGCAACTGATTATTTGACAAGAAAAATCATTTGAATAGACACTAATTTATATGTCTTTTTTAAAAAAAATGTTAAGAAGTAAATTCTTAAGGTTTCTCTTTTTTTTTAATTCAAGTTGCATTTGAATATTATTAGTTTCATTATGCAGCAATTTAATAGTAAAAACAATTTTTTTCATAATTGTACAATTCATAAAGAATTATAATTTTTACAATTTGCAATATTCCACTCTTAGAATTCATACGTCTCCCCTCCCTTTTTTTTCTTTTTTGTTTGGGAAAATCAGAGTCTAGAACTGTACGTTTTATGTGTAGAAAAAAAAGTATATTATTCTATTTCTGGAAATGTTTATGTACCTTCAGATTAAATAAATTTATCAACATAGGAATCAAAAACAAAAAAAACCTTTTATTCCTAATTTCCCCTCACACAATTCATGATTAGTGGATTTTTTCTCATTATTTTTGTTTTTACATTTTGGAAATTAAGGAGAAATATAATTTTTTGTCGAATCTGTAGAGAAACTAAATTGAGAAATGAGAATTTTTGAGGTTAGGTTCGTTTTCGAGGTACATATTTTTATTGTGAAAGTATTTTCTTTCACAAAGAAACGTTTTTAAAATGAATGAGAAAAATCTTCAGCGTTGCTGCGAAATCGTTTGCAAAATATTCAATGCAGATTAAACAACTGGCGAGACACGTGTTCAACGTTAATTGGAGAGCGATTTCACCTAAACCGGATAGCGTGCCGCCAATTTGCGTTTGCGATCGAAGCCGATGAGCTTTCAATTGACGAAGAAGGTATGTTAACAAAAAAAACAACGGCGTGCGCTCTTTATTCTTATTTTTCCAAAAAAAAAAGGGATTTCCATTTGCTGTGTGTGTGTCGATGCGATTGTTATATTTACACTTGTCAGTTTCATTATTTTTAACCTCAAAATAAAATCGAGCGAAATTATCAACGATAAAATGATTACTCGATGCGGGTAGGACGAATTAAAAAAAAATTCGGATGAAATATCCTTAGTTTTCTATTTTACTTTCCAATATTATTAAAATTAATTTTTTCTCATTTATTTGTAATTTTATTTTTTTCATCAAAATTTTTCCTATCCGTGTCTTAAAATTCCAAGAATGCGTAAAAATGTCGAAAAAATCATTTTCATTTTTCATTAAAATTCATTTTCACTTTTTTTTCTCTTGAAAATAATTTGTTTTCTCTCTCTTTATACCTTTCTTTTTTCTCTTTCTTTCAACGAAAAAGCAATAAACAAACATTCTAGCGTTTTTTGGGAATAAACAAAACTTTCCGTTAATATAAGAGAAAACTTTTGCGACCACGTTTTTATGATGCAGATGCGATTTCAATATACAGTGTTTTTATGCACAAATTATTACCTTTTATTAATTCATCATTCATGTTGCGAAAGAAAAATATATTTATCGATAGAAATAAATTTTTAACGAAACAAAGAACAGCCTGTTGATAAATATTTTTATTCTATCGGAAAAAACATTTTCATTAAACAAAAAAAAAAAAAAAAAATACACTACTCAATTGACACAGTGCGCTTGAAGTATATTATAAAATTATTTTATTTCTATAAATAAAAAGAAGATAGTGATGTGAATAAATAAAATAAAATTCAAGTGTACAGCTTTGCGCACAAAATATATATTTTTGATAGTTATAAAAGAAAACTAATTATTTCGAAAAATAAAAATGTTTAATGGAATATTTTTGATATAGATTGCCAATGGGATGAAGATAAACTTGAAAATTCCTGAGATGAACTCACTTTGGATGAAGATGAGAAGATATTCTCTATAGTGTAACATTTCACTGTTTTGTATATTTATATAAAAAAAAATTAATAGTGAAAGCTAATTGCACGCTAAATAAATATATATAATTTTTGTAAATTATTTGTAAGAAAGAGAATTTTAATTAAATGAAGAAAAAAATTTAATACTTGCCTTGTTTTATTTTTTATGGTTAAAATCTATTTTTACTAATAGATTTTCACTGAAACGACACTAAAACCTCATTTTCTGTCGAATTCTCAGATCTTTCCCCCTCCTAAAATTCCCAATAGCGTCGAACATTAATCCACACTTCTCAGAATATTCCAGGAAAATTTTCAGGGGCGTACTTACTAACTTTGATAAAAGTAAATTTTAATAAGAATTTCAAGTAATATCCTAAATAGTATAGAAAACACATAGTAAAATAAAGAAGAAAGTAAAATAATAGTGAAAATAAAAATTATCAACTCATGTTGATTCAAATTATAATTTAATTTTAAAAAAAATGACAAAAAAGAAAGAAAATTGTCACAAATAAAAGGTAAACAGAATTTTGATAAATTTCCCGTAGAAAAATCGATTTAATCAACATTTTTATACATTTAGTAGACACATTTCACCATAAAAAATAAATAATGAGTTAAAATGAAAATACAAGTTATTGGAGATTTAAAAAAAAAAGTAAACAATTAAAATATTCATGGTATTGTACAAATAGAAATATGTTACATAAAATTAATTAATTTGATTTGCATTCTCTATTAGAAGCAGTAAGGCCTCTGCGGGAGGCACATATTATAAAAAGCGTCTTTTTTCCAAAAATCCTTTGTCTTCCATCCACACCAACCTTTATTGACAATTGTACTTATATTCTCCGCACCGGTATAATGTGGATCCAAAATTAAAAATCGAACCTCGCCGGTTATATCATTTGTACTAACTCCTAAAATTGTGTGCGCTAAAACACCTCCTCCTGAAATAATTTCATCACAGTTTCAAATTAAACTATAACTAAATTATAGAATTCTCAAAAAAATAAAAATTTCTATATACAATTCTTTTTAAGGGAAAAATATATTTTAGAATTATCACTTTTTCTTTCCTGAGTTCAGGGTGTCTACTACAAAAATTCCCGGCTTTATCCTAATTTTTCCCGATTTTTTTCTCATCAAATTTAAATTTATTTGATTTCGAACATAAATAAATCTATGAATGGCTTCAAAAAATTTTATTAGAGTTTTTATGAATAATTAAATTCTTTTGACGAGTTTCTTTAAATTTTTTGAAAATAATAATATAAATAAAAATAAATAATAATTTTATTAAAAAATTTTTAAAATATAATTTAATTGTGGATAACAATTTAATTATTTATAAAGATAATTGAATTTCTGCGAAGAATTTGATTACTTTTGAAAATAATTGAATTGTTTTTTTTAAATTTTATGAAAATTTATGAAAATAATTGAATTCTTGTAAAGAATATTTTTTAAAAATTATATTCAAAAGAATTTAATGAATCTGAAGAATTTTGCTATTTATGGAAATAATTGAATTCTTGAGAAGAATTTTAATAAAATTTTGAAGAATAATTACATTTTTCGTGAAATTCTATTAAAATTGTATCAAAAATAATTAAAATCTTGCGATAAAATTTTATAATTTATGAAAATAGTTAAAATTTTCCCAAGTATTTTATTAAAATTTTTCCTAAAAAGAACTTTGTTAAATTTTTTTTATATAATTGAATTCCTGTAAAATTTTGCAAAGAATTTTATTAAAATTTTTGAAAATAATTGAATTGTGGAGAACAATTTAATTATTCATAAAAATAATTGAAATTTTGAGAATTTAAAAAACTTTTTAAACATAATTGAATTGCTGGAAGCATTTTTATTACTTTTGAAAATAATTGAATTGTTTTTTAGAATTTTATGGAAATTTATGAAAATAATTGAATTCTTGTGAAGAAATTTTTTTTTAAAATAATATTCAAAAGAATTTAGTAAATCTGAAAAATTTTGCTATTTATGAAAATAATTGAATTTTTGAGAAGAATTTTTTTTACAATTTCTTGAAATAATTGAATTCTTTCGATGAATTTTAATAAAATTTTTATGAATAATTACATTTTTCGAGGAATTTGATTAAAATTGTATTAAAAAGAATTTAAATTCTGCAATGAGTTTTACTATTTATAAAAATAATTGAATATATTGCGAAGAAATTTTTAAAAATAAAATTATAATTACGGTGACTAGCTTCTCTTGATTATTTTCCGAAAATTCAAATAAAATCCTTTAAAAGAATTTAATTATTTTTAACAGAATGTAAAGAAATTTCAATTATTTGTTTATAAAAACTCATTAATCTTGAAACAATAGAATTGAAAAATTCCAAAGCTCTTATTTTCCAGAATTTTCAAACAAACTTTGCGAAAATTTCAATTTTATTAAAAAATTTTAAGTGTGTTTCTTTTTTTAAATTAACTAATAAAAATTTTAATTATTAATCTTCGCACTAAGAAACGTGAATACCTACATTAGAATGTAACTCTTTATAAAATTCAATTATTTGTCAATTATTAAATTAAAATACTTTGAAAATTCGATTTGTTAAAAAGTTTTTAATGAAATTCTTTAACAAATTTAATTATTTTCAGTTAAATTTCACAAAATTTCTATTAATTCGATAATTTTTTTTTTAATTCATTTACATACTATATTTGAATCAGTCACTGATTTTTTACTATCAAATTAATTATTTTTAACTAATTCAAATTTAGAGAATAGTATAAATATCTATAAAAATTGAAATAAAAAGCGATTTTTTAAAAACAAATTAAAATAATAAAACTTCTTTTAATTTGATGAAAAAATTCCTGGCTATCCCAGTTTTTCACGGTGAAATTAAATTCCCGGCTATTTCCCAGTTAGTAGACACCCTGTGAATTTCCTTTTTTAAGTTTTGATTTAACTGATAAGATTTATTGAAGTCAAATACCTATCATAACTGGAGTGCCCTGAGTTTCAAAATGATAGGCAAGATTTGGAACTAAATTTTGCATTTCATCGCCGCTAGATGCGCAGAGAACTTTGATTGAAATATTGAGAAGTGTTTCGAGTACAAAACCAACTTCCGTTGATCCAATCCATTGCTTACTGCCAATAAAGCTGGCGGACTTATCACCTATTTCCACTAGGCACTTTTGTATGTCCTTGTGACTAAGATTAGATTTCTCTGTATATCCCTGTAATCTAAATGAGAAATAAAAAACAATAAAAACAACTAGAAATCATCCTATTTGTTTTTAATTTGAAAAAAAAATCTCATTATTACCTGTACCAAGAGATAATTGTTTGTAAAGAACGATAAGCGCATCCCCATCCGTTATCGTCGAAATTATCCTGCATATAATGATGATAGGAATAACATCCATAAACGAGACTTATCTTTCCGGGTGGAGCTAAAAATTTAATTATTTAATTTTTTCTGACTTTCAACAATTAATTTTTTTGATGCTGATGAATAACCTACTGTTTGAAACGGTAATTGCTTCGTGAGGATTGAAAAGAGGCTCGTTATTACTTAGATCACTGTGGAATTTAACGGCGTTCCCTTCTCGAAATATAGGCCTTGTCATTCCGAGCGCCAATGTCTTGTGTAAACTCATTCGGTATTCGGCTTGAATAAGAATTATTGAATTAGAAATTGAGACTTTTAGTTTTGTCTCGCACATTGGAACAAAACTTGACATCAATTTCTGGCAAAATTGCTTTCAAGCAATTCGTATCTAATTTTAGTAAAATGAGATTAGAAATAAAAAGGGATCTTACAGTTCTCTTTGGCTGTACTTCCGACTAAATATGAAATTGTCAAGAGGTGTCCAAAGTCCGTTGGTTTAAAATGCATTGGAATTGGAAGCCTCATTTCGTGAGTATCATTTTTAATTTGTTCCTCGAAAGACATGCCAATTAATCTGAGATTTCTGCAAACTGATTCAACAAGAACTTCATACAGTCTTGATAATGTTGTATTTCGTTCGACTAGCGATAATGCATCAATCTTTAAATTAAATACCAAATAATCAAAGTGCCCTGGAAATAAAATGCAAATTAATAGTAATAATAATTTCACTATATTCGTAGAAATTAAAAATATTTAGCAAGTATTTCGACTAACGTCTTGTTTGTTGGTGAATCACAGGCGCATATTTTGCAGCACCATCCGCTGCTTTGTCATTTGAAAGTTTTAAAAGCATATCCACTGGAACGGCATTCTAAATTTCAAAATTAATATTTCTTATTAAGATTCGTTAGAAACAATTAAATTTAAAAAAAAATTCTTTCTATGCATTTTTATTCAGCAGGCACTGCTTGGATGAAAAGAAAAAAAAACTTACCACTAGATGTGAACTGCTTTTTCCAGTATTCTTTTGATTGCCGCTATTGTCTTGAGAATTGACAGAATTAAGAATTTCCTTCGCAGAATTTTCTTTGAGATTACCATCAGTGTCGTTTCCAAATAAATAAACATTATTTTGTGGAAAGTGAAAAGCCACTTTTCCCGATGCTATCTGTTTGCGGTTATAAAAGATTTTTGTAATAAAGTTTGTTGCCGGCTTCACAGTGCCCCTTAAAAAGTATTTTAGGGGAAATAGGGGACTGAAAATTAAAAAATAGGGGACCATAAAAATTGGTTAAATAAAGATAAAAATATAATTTATTTATACAGGGTTGCAACAAAAATTTAACTTTATTTTTCCCTCATTTTTTCCTGATTTCCAAACACAACTTTCACTTTTTCCCTGACCCTAAGGAATCTTCTGATTCACTCTCAAAATTATTAGATACTCAAAAAAATTTTCTATTAAATTTATTTACTTTCTTCAAAAGTAAAATTTTTCAAAAACATCCATAGTTTTATTTAAAATCAATATTTAATCATTTTTTTTTCATTGGAATTAAGATGTTCAAAAATTTCAAATTCAAACCTTTTCAAAATGAACAACACATAAGAATATTATTATAAAACATAAAGATGACCGACTGACAAAATCTTTAGTTTATTATTATAAGAATATTGTTACTGTAATTTCTTCAAAATTATTTGTATCATTTCAATTCAATTAACATTTTCTACAATTTTTAACTAAAATTCTATTTTAAATCAATAACATCAATTATTATTCAATTAAACTTTTTCAAAAAAATTAATTCTTCAGAATTGTTAGTTAAAAGTACGAAAAACAATAATTTAATTCTACGAGAAATCAATTATTTAAATACAAAAATAAATAATATTTAATGTTTCTTAAAATTTACTTTTTACGAAGAATTGTATTAACAACTTTTGAAAATAATTAATTTCTTTTAAGAAATTTGATTAAAATTTTAATGAAATTTATTATATTAAAGAATTTTATAACAATTTTTGAAAATAATTGAAAACTTTTTGAAGAATTTTATTAAATTTTTTAAAAATAATTGAATTCATGAGAAGAATTTAAATAATAATTTTTGAAAACAATTAAATTCATGAGAAGAATTTTTTAAAAATTTTAGACAATAATTTAATTCTTGAGAAGAATTTCCCTATCTATTTATAAACATAATTTAATGCTTGATGAGAATTTTAAAAAAAATTTTTAAATAATTTAATTTTTGCAAAGTATTTTATTACTTTTTAAAAGAATTGAATTCTTGTGATGAATTTTGATATTTATCAAAATAATTGAATTTTGGAAAAGAATTTTATTAAAATTCCTTAGAATAATTAATTTTATGGGAAGAATTAATGCGATTTTGTTATTTATCAAGCTAATTGAATTCTTTTGCAAAATTACTTAAAAATTTTTGAAAATAATTGATTTACTGCGACGAATTAAATGTTATTTATGAAAATATTTGAATTATTGTAGCAAATTTTATTGCTTTATTGAATAATTGAATGTTTCTTAAAATTGAATTCTTTCCTCAAGTTTTAATAAAATTTTTAATAATAATTGCATTTTTCAAGGAATTCATTTAAAATTGTATTAAAAATACTTGAAATTCAGTGATGAAAATAATTGAATTCGTAAATGAAATTTTATTATTTATGAAAATAATTGAATCTTTTCGTAGAATTGTATCAACAAATTTTGCTATTTATAAAAATAATTGAATTCTTGACAAGATATTCATTAAAAAATTAATTTCAAAAATTTATCAAAATTCAATTATTTTCAATATTTAGAATTTTAATAAAATTTCACAAAAGAATTCAATTATTTAGAAAGAAATATTAATAACATTTGCCTCAAGAATTCAATTATGTTGAAAAGTAATAAAGATTTTTCGCAAAAATTCAATTATGTTCAAAAATTTTTTTAAATTCTCGTCAGAATTTCAATTTTTTTTAAAGAGTAACAAAATTCTTCTCTAAAATTTAATTTAATAAAATTTTTAATAATAATTGCATTTTTCAAGGAATTTATTTAAAATTGTATTAAAAAATATTTGAAATTCTGCGATGAAAATAATTGAACTCGTAAATTAAAATTTTATTATTTATGAAAATAATTGAATCTTTTCGTAGAATTTTATCAACAAAAGTTTTTTCTATAATTAAATCTGTTGATAAATTTTATGAAAATAGTAAATATTTAAAAACATTGAATTGCGAAAAGATTTTAAAAATAATTGAAATGTTGCAAAGAATTTTATTAAAATTTTTGAAAATAATTTCATTTTTGGCGAAAAATTTTGCTATTTATAAAAATAATTGAATTCTTCTTCTTTAATATTCATTAAAATTTATAAAAAAATAATTTAATTCGTGCAAAGTATTTTATTAAATTTTGTTTAAATATTTGGAATTTTGCCAAGAATTTTATTTAAATTTTTGACAATAATTGTATTTTTTGTCGAAAAATTTTGCTATTTGTAAAAATAATTGAATTCTTGACAAGATATTCATTAAAATTTATTAAAATAATTGAATTCCTGCAAAGGATTTATTATTTTATTAAATTTTATTTAAATAATTGAAATTTTGCCAAGAATTTAATTAAAATTTTTGACAATAATTGAATTCTTGAGATGAATTTTGATATTTATCAAAATAATTGAATTTTGGAAAATAATTTCATTAAAAATCCTTAAAATAATTGATTTTATGGGGAGAATTTTGTTGGTTATCAAGATAATTGAATTCTTTTGCAGAATTACTTGAAATTGAAAACAATTGATTCCCTGCGACGAAAAAATAGAGGAAATTTGCAAAATAGGATACGTTTAGGGGCCAAAATTAAAAAAAAGGGGACTTTTAGGGAAATAGGGGACAGACTGTGAAGCCTGTGTTGGGAGAAAAAAGAAGTAGGTACTTAATTTTGATACACACCTTTTTACGTGACTCTTGAAGAGTATCTACAATATTATCTCTTTCGGCAATTAAAGGAAGACTTGCTAATAGTCGAATATAAACAAAATGCTGACAAACATAATCTTCACTCACAATTTCAAAATCACCAGCAGTTTCTAATTTTTGATGAATGTAGAAAAACGGCTGTACACTCGAATCCTTAGTCCAATATTTTAAAATTAATGGATTATCCGTTACGTCAATATCCTGATAAATTTTTATAATATATTAAATATTCAATTTCATTATTTAAATATTTAATATATTAAAAATTAGTTATAAAAATATTTTTTCTTAGGGGCATGTTTCAATTCAAAGCACGTGACATTATTACTATTTTTAATAAAAGTGATTAATAAAATAATTAATAAAAATAATAGTAAAACCTGAAAAGCGTCTGGAATTTTCTGTTCGCATTGGTCGACAAATAAAACGCCCAACAAATCAATCTCAACGGGCATACTCAGCTGTAAATTGACATTTGAAATTGTGGCCTCCTCCTGTTCTTCATTATTCGATTCTACACTGAATGCCAAAACAGTCAATGCACTTTCGCACATTACACCATAAACATGGCCAGTGACAGCTGTTTTTAATTTACCTAAACGCTAAAGAAGAATAATTTTTTATCAATATTTTTTTTATAATCAATAATATAAAAATAAGTCTTCGACTCGGGGTGATCGATTTCTTCATGTTTTATAATAATTAAACAGATAAAATCATTATTTTATATTATAAGAATATTGTTAATGTAACTTCTTAAAAAATTATTTTCAAAATATTGGTTGTAAATGAAAAATTTTTTTTATAAAAAATAAGATTTTTTAAGAAATGAAATTTTTTTTTCAAAAAGTTCGTTACCTTTAAAAACAATTTTTCTTTTTGAAAAAATCATAATTTCTTTCAAAAAATTAAAATTTCTTTTGTTTTAAAAAATTAAATTTTTATCAAAAAAATTGGTGTTATAAAGGACAATTTTTTCAAAAAATTAAAATATGTCTTTCAAAAAATGAAATTTAAAGAAAAAAATTCTATTTTTTCAAAAATGGAGAATAAAAAAAAACAACTAACGAAATTGTTAATGATTCTTTAATTGACAATAAATTCAGTTTCTAAAAATATAAATATAAAATCACTAACGTAAAAATAATTTTTGCGTTTGACCCTGAAAAGGTAATTATTTTAAAATTCAGCTTCTTTCACTGTTCTCATTATTTTTTTACATAATTTTCTTTTTATAATAATAATAACTATTAACATTTATATTATTTATAATTAATATTTTACTCTTTTTATAATTTAAAATAATTTGTAATATTTTCGAAAAAAATCTCAATTTTGTTAGCAAATAAAACTTCTAAATTCGCCAGAAAATTTTCTTTTTGTTTCACTTATTATACATTCTTTTTAGTGCTAATAATTCTTTATCTCTTGCTTTTTTTACTTCAAAAACAGAAAAAAAATTAAATTAACAAAGTAGAAAAAAAAGTTCTTCTAAAAATGTTTACTGATAATTTGTTATTATTATTATTATTATCTATAATATAAAATAAAACAATCAATTTGCAATGAATTACAGTAAATTAAATCTATTTATTGTTTAACAATTGCAATAAATGAAAAATAAATTTGCATTTTCATTAAAAGCAAAGAATTATTTTCTAGGACAAATTCGTTATTACAAAAAAAAAAATTGTTAAAATATATTCGTAATAAGTGTAAACAAAAAAGGTTACATTATTTTTTCTCTTATAAAAAAACGAACAAATAGAAGATTGTTAAAAAATTTTTTATTTTGTTTCATTCTGAAAATATAAAATGAATATTTAAAAAAAAAACTGCAGAGTATGTTAAAGTATGTGTAGTGAAAATATGTGAGGGAAAATGTTTGAATTATATGTCAAAAAATTAGAGGTTAGCTTTTCTGTTTTAATGAAAATGTTGAAAGAGAAATGATTATTAACACTTACCTCAATCACGTTCGATAAAATTCTAAGGCGAGGCGTCATTATAGAAGATAAAAATTTTTTATTCTCAACTATAAAAACCCATTTAAAAATTCCATACGGGGTTTTTCAAATGCGCCCATAAAATCAAAAAATTGATCAAAATATTTGTGGCCAGCCAAGAGGGAAATAAATTTCTCACAAGTTCCACAAACCGCCGATAGATGTCGCTTACAGTTTTCCGCGGGAAAATTCAATTTATTATTTCTTTAAAAGAATTTTTAAATCTATAAATAGATTTAAAAATTCTTTTAAAGAAATAATAATTTGAATTTTCTTTGAAATAATAATTTGAATATTTTCTTTTATTATTATTATTCTCATTGTTTTATTATTAATTATTTTATGAGGCCTTTGCAGAATAAAATCACTAAATCGCAAAATGTAATTTTTACAAGAGAGAGAAAAGGATAGAAATATCATTTGCCTTTTTCCAGAAAAGGACAAACAATATTTCTATTCTTTTCTCTCTCATGTAAAAATTACGTTTTGCGATTTTAGAGGTTTTATTCATTAGTTCTATTTAAAAATTACTTTTTTTTAGAAAAATATTTATTTATTAGATAAATATATTATTTGGATTTTTTTTTATTCAATAAATGTTTTTAAAAGAACATATTATATAAAAAATTTTTTTCCACTAAATATAAAAATTAGAAATATCAGATAATAATAGGTATAAAAAGGGAAAAACAAAAATCACAATATAGGAGAAATAAAAAAGAATTTAAAATTTGCATAAATTTTGTATATTTGTGGACTTTGGCGCGACTACAGTGTAATCAAAATTTTCAAGACTAATTTTCCTTAGTCTCAATAATTTGATAAATTTTGAATTTTCTAAAATATTCGAATCACTCTGCAAATACAAAAAAAAGAACAATTACATGCAGACTTACAATATACAAATAATATATATATATATAATGTGTGTATTCCTAAGTACATAAGTACGTACATAATACGAAAAAAAGTCCACACAGACAAAAAAAAAAATTTTTATTCTCTACAACTCGGAATTTACGTATATAAAAAATGCAAATCCGATCGTCATTGCTAAGAAAAAGAAACATTTTCCTTTCTTTCATTTTTAAAGAAACAATATTTCCCTTTTTCTAAATTTTTTCTCTCGCTCATATTTAAAATAATAATAATAATAATACACATCAAAAATTGAAGACAAGAAAAAAAGAAAACCAAATTTTCATTTCTTCAGACAAGTCCTATATAAAAAGTGAAAATTAAAAACATTCTTATTCAGCTTCACTTTAAACGAAAATTTTGAAAAGTCCAAAGAAACTATTCTTCCAAGAAGAAATATTAAATCTTTCAAAAAGTAAACCTTTAGTTGACAAATTTATCTAAATCAAAAATGAGCAATTTAAATCAATCATAAAAAAAATGTATCGAACGATTCAGTCTTAATTTTATATTTTTAAATATTGTTTTCAATTTTTTTTTATACTGCAAATTTAATGTGTCGTTCCAAATTTTATGCTCAAAATTTCTTTTCTCCTGGAAAAAAATAATGAAATCAAAAGTCTACTTTTCTTTCTAATCAGTTTTCTTTTTAAACAAACAATATTTTTTTGTTTACTTGAATAACTAATGAATTTTCGAATTGACATACAGAAAAAAAAATAATTTATAGAAAAAAAAATAATGTTAAAACGTGACAAAAAAGTTTAATTAAAAACACTAAAAGACAGTAATTTTATCACAATGGACAAGTATATCCGAAAGTAAAAAAAAAGTGGAAAAAAATTTGTTTAAAAAGCATTCCAAGCATTCCCCCTTGAAATGAGTTTTGATCGTTTCTTTTCCATTTTTATTTGTTTTGTATTTTTTTCCTTTCTCTAAATAAAAACGATCGAAATTCCCCTTTCTTCGAAACTTCATTCCTTGTACTCACAACATTATCAATAAGACGTGCAGAGTTTTTTTTTTAAAAAAAAGATTGCATTACAAATGGTTTATAACTAGTATAAAAAAATGATGCTAATAAGTTTTTAAATAACGCGAGACAATATAGAGCAATTGGCTCTGAAAACACGTTAAAATTGTTTTTTTTCTTCTTCTTCTTCTTCTTTCCCCTTTTAAAACGTAGGATGCGAATACGTTTTTTTGAAACACTTTTTCAGCGTAATTATTTGAATCCGATGTATTTGTGAAATATGTGTATGTGTTTTGTGTGTGTGTGTGGGTGTGTGTGTCTTCCTTTGAATTTTCTTTTTTCGTTTTTAATTAGCTTTTCACAAGGACGCGAGGGTATTTTATTGGCATGTCAGTCTTGCTTCAATCCCCTCCTGGTGTCTAATTACGACTTTTCCTTGCACGGAGGTTCGTTACTACTTTGATTTGCAGTTAGAAATTAATTTTCTGCTAGACACTTTCAAGATCTTCCTCACAATCAAACACTGAACTGTTTCTTGGCAATAGAAGAGACACGTGTCCGAATCTAAAATAAAAATATATTAATAATTAAATGCTAAAAAATGAAGACAGAAATAATCATATATAAATTTATGATTTTTACTGAAATATTGGAAAAATAACAATTTACAGGGTTGCCACAAAAATTTAATTTTGTTTTTCCCTGACTTTTTCTTTTCTAAAAATTCACGCTATAATGCTTTTAATATTCGATTATAATTTAAAGTTTTAAGTGAAATTCATTTTTTAATCAATTCTTATTAGAAAATTTTTCAAGAATTCAATTATTTAAATAGAAAGATAAATAATTTATTAAATAATTGAATATTTCTTAAAATTGAATTTTTATAAAGAATTTTATCAAAATTTTTGAAAAAATAATTGAATTCTTTCGGCGAATTTAAAAAGTAATTTTAAGAATAAATGCAATTTTCTATCAGTTTATGTATTTAAAATTGTATAAAAAATGAGAATGTATTAATTTGAATTCTGCGATAAGTTTTGTTATTTATGAAAATAATTTAATTCTAGCAAAAAATTTTATTAAACATTTTTTTAAAGAATTGAATTCCGAAGAAAAATATTATTTTTATGAAAATAAGTAATTTCTTGTGAAGAATTTTATTAAATTTTTTTTAAATAATTTAATTTCTCAGAATTTTTTAAAACTTTTTTAAAATAATTAAATTTTATCGAGAAATTTCATTCAAAAATTGAAAATAATTGAAATCTAATGATGAATTGTATTGAAAATAATTGAATTGTATAGGAAAATTTTATTAAAATAAAAATTGCACTTTTATTAACTAAATCTTGTAAAAAAATTTTGTCAAAATTTTTTTAAATAATAGAATTTTAAGAAGAATTTTATTTAAATTTTTGAAATAATTGAATTAATGCGAAGAAATTTATAAAAAATTGGTAAGTAATTTGATTTCCGCGAAATTTTTATTAAAATTTGATTTAAATAATTAAATTCTTTTGGAAAATTTTATCAAAATAGTAGATATTAAAAATATCTGAAATGAGGAAAATTTTTGATAATTCAAATTTTGCTAAGAATTTTATTAAAATTTTTAAAAAGAATTAAATTTTAGAGAAGAATTTATTGTTACTATTTAAAAAAAATTGAAATTTTGACGAGAATTTAAAAAAATTTTTTGAACATAATTGAATTTTTGCGAAAAATTTTTATTACTTTTGAAAATAATTGAATTCTTGAGGCAAATGTTATTAATATTTCTTTTTAAATAATTGAATTCTTTTGTGAAAATTTATTAAAATTGTAAATATTGAAAATAATTGAATTTTGATAAATTTTTGAAATTAATTTTTCAATGAATATCTCGTCAAGAATTCAATTATTTTTGTAAATAGCAAAACTTTTCGCCAAAAATTCAATTATTTTCAAAAATTCAAATAAAATTCTTTGCAACATTTCAATTATTTTTAAAAGTTTTTCGCAATTCAATGTTTTTAAATATTAACTATTTTCATAAAATTTATCAACAGATTTAATTATAGAAAAAACTTGTTGATACAATTCTACGAGAAGATTAAATTATTTTCATAAATAATAAAATTTCATTTACGAATTCAATTATTTTCATCGCAGAATTTCAAATGTTTTTAATACAATTTTAAATAAATTCCTTGAAAAATGCAATTATTATTAAAAATTTTATTAAAACTTGAGGAAAGAATTCAATTTTAAGAAACATTCAATTATTCAATAAAACAATATAATTCGTTCCAATAATTCAAGTATTTTCATAAATAACATTTAATTCATCGCAGAAAATCAATCATTTTCAAAAATTTTTAAGTAATTTTGTAAAAGAATTCAATTAGCTTGATAAACAACAAAATCGCATAAATTATTCCCATAAAATCAATTATTCTAAGGAATTTTAATAAAATTCTTTTCCAAAATTCAATTATTTTGATAAATATCAATATTCATCACAAGAACTCAATTCTTTTGAAAAGTAATAAAATACTTTGCAGAAATTAAATTATTTTCAAAATTTTTAAAAAATTCTCGTCAAGAATTAAATTATCTTTATAAATAGATAGGAAAATTCTTCTCAAAAATTAAATTATTGTCAAAAAATTTTTTTAAAATTCTTCTCAAGAAGTCAATTATTGTCAAAAATTTTTTTAAAAATTCTTCTCATCAATTCAGTTGTTTTCAAAAATTATTATTTAAATTCTTCTTAGAAATTCAATTATTTTTAAAAATTTAATAACTTAGAATGTTTTCAGGACCTTAATTTTTGTCAAATTAATATTTTTTTTAAAAATTTAATAAAATTCTTCAAAAAGTTTTCAATTATTTTCAAAAATTGTTATAAAATTCTTTAATATAACAAATTTAATTAAAATTGTAATTAAATTTCTTAAAAAAAAATTAAATATTTTCAAAAGTTGTTAATATAATTCTTCGTAAAAATTAAATTTTAAGAAACATTCAATATTATTTATTTTTGTATTTAAATAATAAATTGATTTCTCGTAGGATTAAATTATTATTTTTCGTACTTTTAACTAACAATTTTGTAGAATTAATTTTTTTGAAAAAGTTTAATTGATGTTATTGATTTAAAGTAGAATTTTAGTTAAAAATTCTAAAAAATGTTAATTGAATTGAAATGATACAAATAATTTTGAAGAAATTACAGTAACAATATTCTTATAATAATAAACTAATGATTTTGTCAGTCGGTCATCTTTATGATTCATAATATTCTTATGAGTTGTTCAATTTGAAAAGGTTTGAATTTGATATTTTTGAACATCTTAATTCCATTGAAAAAAATGATTAAATATTTATTTAAAAAAGAAGTTATTGATGTTTTGGAATAATTTTACTTTTAAAGAAATTTGTAAATAAATGTAATTGAACATTTTTTTTGAGTATCTAATAATTTTGAGAGTGAATCAGAATATTCTTTAGGGTCAGGAAAAAAGTCAAATTTGTGTTTGGAAATCAGGGAAAAGTCAGGGATTTTTTAATTTTCAGTCCCGTATTTCCCCTAAAATACTTTTGAGGGGCACTGTGAAGCCTGTATACCTAATTGTATTTTTTATAAATGTTATTTAACGTCTTCATGTGTATATTCATTACTGTTTTCTATTTTATTTATGTATTTTCTAATTATTTTTCCTTCTTGAAGAGAAAATCCTATTAATTTCGAAACAGGGAAATTTAATATTAAAATCCACTTGTCCGAATGCATTCGTCTACTTTATTACTCACTATTTTAATAAATGAATAAAAAAGTAATTGTGTAAAATACTCACTTGCTGCTTTTATATTTTTCTTGAATTGCTTGCTGCTGTAGGTTGTTGGCATTGTTGAAGGTGCGCTGCAAGCATATAATACAGGCTTTCAGATCCTGTAAACTGTAGCCAGAGGAGAGTTCCAATTCATGAGGCCAGACTTCTTCATTGAGAGTGTGTCGTGCCAATGAAACGGACGACGCTGCTAAAATACTTGGCAAGAAATGCAAATATGGATCCGCTTCCAGCAATGATAATTCACATAAGTACTGAAAATATTACGAAAATTAAAATTTTTTTCTTTACATTTTTTTAATAAAAATAAATCTGATGAAAGAATATAAAGAAAATTTGAACTGACCATTGCTAAAAATTGACTCTTTTCAGAGAGATTATTGCTCGTGCAATATTCCATAAGAAATGAAAGCGGAGTGGGTACAGTAAGATCAAAAGACAACACTCGAAGAATTAAGTGTTCCATTCTCAAAACTTGCTTCTTTGAGTATGTATCGTCAGTGATGAAAACAAATTCACCAACATCTGGTGGATAAATCTCCTCGTATTTTCTGTAAATATTTTATATATTCTGTTATTATTATCATTACTATTAATATTATCATTAATTATTATTGCTGCTATTATTATTATCATTATTATTATTATTATTATTATTATTATTATTATTATTATTATTATTATTATTATTATTATTATTATTATTATTATTATTATTATTATTATTATTATTATCACTAATTGTTATTATAATTATGACAGTTTTAGAAAAAATAAAAAAGTTAAAACACTTAAAATTGGACCTATCCCAACTTGTTCGTCTTGAAAAACGAACTAATTTCTTGTAACTTTAAGTATGAAAGAATTTATTGTTGTTGGAAAAATGGTGAAATTGGAAAATTGTTTTTTTAAATATATACTCACGATGCGATAAACATTGCGGCGGTGCCAACAAGTTGTAGTTTTGCTCTAACGACACTCATATAGGAAAGAAATCGATCAATATAAGAAACAGCGAGGTAAAGGGTCTCGCTTTGTAATCGATATTCCTCAGCGACTTCAACTAACCAATCGACCAATATTGAACGCATTAAATGAGTAATGTCTGGCTGCTTCTTCATGTATCCAGCTTTTGGTCTGTGCACAGTCTACGAGAAAAATGTTTTTTTTTTTAATTTTTAGGCATTCTTGTTCATCAAAATTAATAATATAAAATATTTATAGAATATTTATTAAAATCTATAAAATAAATTAATATACTGAATAGTTATATAGAATACAATAAGTTTCAATTTTTATCTGAAATTGAAAATCGTGATCTAACCATAAAATTGTTATAAATAAATATAAATAATGTAAATTTCGATAAAAAAGAAGAAAGTATAAAAAAGTGAGTTATAACTGATTAAGTTGACCTTCAGTTTTATTTTAAACTATCAAAAATAAATGCGTCAACTTTCAAACATAAATTTTTTTTTGATTGAATTAGTTTATTTCGAGGTAAAAATAAAGCGTCTTTTGGTATTTATCTTTTGCACATATTTTGAAGAATTTTTGTTTCGCAGTAAAATTTATCTAAATATCTTGAAATTTTGAAATTTCACTGATTTCTAAATTTAATTATTCAAAACTTGAATAATTTTGTTAAATAAATTCTTAAATACTTTAGATTTGTTTTTCCACGAGAAATAAAATTAAAAAAATTCTAATTAAAAACCTTCTGAAATTTAACAATTTCTAGAAATTACAAATGTAACTCTTTTAAAATTGAATTATTTTCTATAATTTTTAACTAAACTTCTTCTCTAAATCAATTATTTTTAATAATTTTCAAAAAGTTTCTCGAGAATTCAATAAATTTAAATACAAAAATTCAATTTTTTATAATAATTTTAAATTTTTTAAAGTTAAACTAAAAAAAAAATTTCTAATTAATTTTGGGAAGATAATAATTGAATAATCAAAATTTGGCAAAATCGTTAAATAATCAGGGTGGCCGCAAGATTGACTTTATCAATTTCCCTGACATTTTACTGACATAACAACGAATTTCCCTGACAAAAATTTTTTTGTTTAGAGCAAAAAATGTATTGCATGACAGTCTTAATTTCTTTAATTGCCCTGACAAAAAAATTTTTCCTGACATTTCCCTGACTTTACTGACAAAAAATTTTTTTTCCTGACATTTCCCTTCTTCTTTAATTGCCCTGACAAAAAAATTTTTCCTGACATTTCCCTGACTTTACTGACAAAAAATTTTTTTCCTGACATTTCCCTGACTTTACTGACAAAATATTTTTTCCCTGACATTTCCCTGACTTTACTGACTTTACATGTGGCCACCCTGATAATAATTAAATTTTTGAAAAATATGGAAAAAATAATCAAACTTTGGAAGAATTTTAATTATAAATATGATCACGATTTCTCCGAAATTTTAATAAGTCTAAAAAAGTAAAATTTCTTATAAATTGTTAAAATCTTTAATTTACTTTTTTCGAAGGTAAATGAATTTTAAAAAATAATAGTAAAACAATTCCAAGAATGAGTTTTTTTTAAATATTTAATGTAATTTTCAAAAATTATTGAATTTCTTAAAAGAATTTTTTGAATAACTTGAAAAAAACTAATTAATTTTTTTAAAAAATTTAATTAAAAATTCTCAACCTTATTATTTTTTCCAAAATATAAAAATAATTCTAAAAAATGTAAAGTTATTATTTTTTGTACGTGTTTGAATTTTCGGAAATACGTAATTGAAAATATTGCAAATAATTGAATTTAAAAAAAATTAAACTTAAAAAATTTTGATAATTACTTCTTTTAAAAATATTTTAATATAAGTTTTAGAAGATAATTTTCATTAATTTTCATTTTTAAATTTACAATTGCAGATTTTTCATTAGCTAATATTTTTCAGAATTTAATTATTTTCATATAATTATTTCATTATTTTCATTTTTCATGTTATTAAAATTCTTCAAAAGATGATTTTCAAAAATTGCATTAAAATACTTGAAAAAAATCAATAATTTCCAATTCAATTTTACAAAATTTCAAATATATTTAAAATAATTTTTAAAGATTTGTCTGATTATTTTTCACACTATAAAAATCGAAATAAGTTGCATTTTATACTAAAAATTTGGTATTTTGTTGCTATATTCGCAAAAATTAGCATTTTTTTAAAATAGTCGAAAAAAGTTTTTAAAAAAGTCATAATAATTATGATTTTTTTAATCTTTTTCTGTAGTGTTTGTAACTTTCTCTGAATTTTTAATCAAAATTTTCATTAAAATTTTTAGAAAAAAATTAGTAAAGTTAACTTAAGTATTGGGAAAATTTTCTTCAAAAAAAAATTAATATTAAAAATTGTTATTTCCAGAACAACTTTGACTATTTTCAACGACAATTTTCTTATATAAAAAATAGAAAAATTTACTTTAAAAATAGTGCATAAAATTTACTTAAAAATAATTTTTAATAGTTAATTTTAATGTTTGAAAATCTAAAATTTTTCCAAAGTTTGCGAAAAGTAAAACTTTTTATCTTCAAACATAACTAAAAATTTTTCTAACTTACAAAAAACGACAATTTTTACAAGTTTTTCTTAAAAGTCAGGGATAAAGGGAAGAAAATTGATAATTTTAGGTGTTTTAGTGGATTTTAATAATTTAAGGGGATAAAAAAGGGGAAAAGGGAAAAAAAGGAGAATAAGTAAAAAAAATCGTGGAAAAAGGAAAGAAAATGTATAATTTTAGGTGTTTTAGGGGATTTTAATAATTTAAGGGGATATAAAAAAGGAAAAGGGGACTAACTGTGATCCATGTAATTAATTGCAATTATTAAAAATGAAAAATTTGATTTTCTCTTTACCTCAGCACTCCTTAGATAATTGTAAATATCAGCCCGATATTCATTGACTTCAAAGAAATTTGTTCTAATTGCCTTATTAATTTCGGCTTTTGTTCGGCTATCCTTTTTCAATGAATCGGAAAATGATGAAATCGATTTTTCAAGTGACATTGGACATTCGACATTATCTTTTTTTAAATCATCATCATCATTATCATTATCATTATCATCATGATGAATTTGAATTGTACTCGTGACAATCTTGTTAATTGGAGTTGGACTCACTTGCAATGTTGGCTTTTCCTTTTCAACTTTTATCGTTGTCACTTGCTCACTTACATGTTTTATTTTCAATTCTTTACCCTCATTTGTCTCGCGCAATGCAACAGACGTCTCTTCTTGTAATTTATCCTCATAAATTTGGAACATTGTGTCTTCCTTTCTATCATCGCAGACATGAAATTGCTGTTCATAATTAATTGGAATATAATTTTTTCCCTTCGACTTTTCATCCTTGCAATTTTCCTAAATTTAAAAAAAAACGAAATTATTTTAAAATTAATAAAATAATTCAAAAATTAATAAAATAATTCAAAAATTAATCAAATAATTTCAAAATTAATCGAATAACTTCAAAATTAATCAAATAATTTCAGAATTAATCAAATAATTTCAAAATTAATCAAATAATTTCAAAATTAATCAAATAATACCAAAATTAATCAAATAATTCCAAAAAAGGAATTAAAATACTTGATATTAAAAATTTTTTTTAATATAAAATAACTAAATAACTAAAAATTATTTTTTATAAAATAATGAGAGGTTCTAAAGTTTTGAACGTTCAAATGAACAAAAGTTTTTTCTTTTTTAATATTTTTCAATATTTTTATACAAAAAAGAAAAACAATTAAAATTGAACATTTTCCTAGTTAAGAATTAATCTTTTTAATGAAATAATTTTGTTTATAAAAAAATAAATTAAAAAATAATAAAAAATATCGTTTATTTGAACTTTAACTTTAAAAACTTTAGGGACATAATGAAAATTTATTTAAAAAGGAAAAGAATAATTAAAAAAATGGAATATTGGAGTTTTTTATAAAATAAAAATTAAAAATGAAGAAAATACAATTCAAATAAATAAATATACAAATTAATTAATAGAAAATAATTAAAACTAAGAATATAAAATAAACTTATTGCGCATGACTTGAATATATTTAAGTAAAATTATGTTAATATATTTTTCGATAGAGAAATTATAAAAAATATTAAAAAGTAAAAATTCCAACTTTGATTTTGTTTTAACAATTTAAATTCTCGTAAAATTTTATTTAAATATTATTTTCGTTTTATTTTATATTTAACGGTTTAAAAAAACTTCGTTAGAAAAATTCCCCTGTTAAAATTGGGAGCTTGAGTGGAATTTATTTTCCGATCGAACGAAGCGAGATAATAAATAACGCACAAGGCGTCTAAAGACAATGCTAATTTTACCAAAAATGGGAGTGAATTTAAAATTCAGGGTTAACGAAGCAAAACGGTCAAAAAAATATTCCCAAACAATTTTTTCCCCCCCTTTTCAAAAAGGAAGCGTCGGAAAAATATTAGAGAAAAATTATGCTTTTCGAAGGAAAATATAAACAAAATTAGAAGAAAATCTACAAATAAACAGGATAAATGATCATAAGCGTCCTTGAAAAGGTAAAATTCTACCGACAAACGGAAAAGAATTAAGAAAATAAGCGAGTGTGAGAGAGAAAGAGAAAAAATACTCACCGGTTTTGATGCTCGTGAACAATTATTTTGTAAGACTCCAAGTACAGCTCGTTTTTGTTGTTGATTTTGATTTTGTAGTGGCACCGAAGCATTTTCCTTGCCCTGTCGTCGAATATCAGCGATAACGCGATTTTCCTGATCCTCATGTACACGAATAGTAGCCATGATTTTATATTTTTTGTTCACTGCTATTACACGGAAAAATTATAATTCAACTGACTCCTTGATATTTTTGGAAGACCGAATTTTTTTTTGACGTTTCGCGTAATAATATAGTTTGTACAAGAGAGGAAAATTTTTGTGTAATTATTTATTGAGACATTTTCTCTGAAAAAAAAAATGAGAGGGAAAGGAGAGGATACTTCGGTGCTTTCCGAACACCAAACAAACTCTTTTATCCGCAGCACACGTTGGCCGTTTAATTTCAAACAAACGACTCCATATAACTAAAGCCCAACCTTCTTGCCTACACTGGCAGTTGACAACAAGCTTTCTTTAAAATTGACCTATGAGCCAACGGGAAACAAATATGCGGGAGTTGACGACCAATGGGAGCACTGCAGTCACATGCGCAATGAGCTTATCAACATATGTTCTGAAATCTATCAAAAAATGTTTCTATGTATTCATGAAAATGATGAAAGTTACCATCAGGGTTGGGAATGTATAAAGCTTAAATGTGTGTGTTGTTTTTATCTCGGAATAAAAAAGAACAGAATTATTTATTATTTTTGATTTTATGTGAAAATATTTATAATAATTATAGATAAATCTATTGTGCTTAGAAAATAGAATTGCAAATGCCGTGCATTCAAGGAAAAAGAATAGAAATTGCATTCGTTCTATCTCATATAAATTATGGGGTGCTACTCTCTGTACCAAAAACATAAGTTCGAATGCTCATTATGCCGAATTTACAATTTAGAAATGACCAGATACGCGAATCCTCAATAACCTAAATTGTATATTGAATGAAATTCAAAAGTAGGGAATAATCATTTGATATATTCTGCATATGGAGAATATTATTTTAAACTAATTCTTTTTTTCCACAATTTGAAATTATTGCAATTTTTATTTTTGGAATTTCCACTTTACCTACATTTTAATAGATCGAAACGTAAAATATCAGAATTGACATTTAATTGAAATATGATGGAGAATAAATATATATTCACTGAATAAAAAGATTAAATAATTATTAAATGTTTGAATTTAATAAAAACATATTGTTCAAAAGTTACAGTGCGAATTGTACAGAATATATATTAATAAGAAATATAATTTGGCAGAATGTCGATTCGATCGATTTTATATTTGCAAGAAATTCAATTTGACAGAATATCAATTTATAAGAAACACGTTTTCGTAGAACTTTAACTTGTCAGAATTGTAATTTTGTAGAATATTAATATTGGCAAATCTAATTTTGGTAGAAATCTGCTTTATCAGAATGATCACATGTTCGAATCCTCAAAAGTTAGAATTCCATTTTTACCGAAAATGGATTCCACATAAATATTTGGCGCAAATTTTAAAATCGACCAATCAGAAATCAGAATTTTAAAATTTGCGCCAAATATTTATGTGGAATCCATTTTCGGTAAAAATGGAATTCTAACTTTTGAGGATTCGAACATGTGATCATTCTGATAAAGCAGATTTCTACCAAAATTAGATTTGCCAATATTAATATTCTACAAAATTACAATTCTGACAAGTTAAAGTTCTACGAAAACGTGTTTCTTATAAATTGATATTCTGTCAAATTGAATTTCTTGCAAATATAAAATCGATCGAATCGACATTCTGCCAAATTATATTTCTTATTAATATATATTCTGTACAATTCGCACTGTAACTTTTGAACAATATGTTTTTATTAAATTCAAACATTTAATAATTATTTAATCTTTTTATTCAGTGAATATATATTTATTCTCCATCATATTTCAATTAAATGTCAATTCTGATATTTTACGTTTCGATCTATTAAAATGTAGGTAAAGTGGAAATTCCAAAAATAAAAATTGCAATAATTTCAAATTGTGGAAAAAAAGAATTAGTTTAAAATAATATTCTCCATATGCAGAATATATCAAATGATTATTCCCTACTTTTGAATTTCATTCAATATACAATTTAGGTTATTGAGGATTCGCGTATCTGGTCATTTCTAAATTGTAAATTCGGCATAATGAGCATTCGAACTTATGTTTTTGGTACAGAGGGTAGCACCCCTAAATTATGCTTTCCTTCCGGTTTGATCAGGAATTTCAGGAAAGGCCCACTTTCTATATTCTTTATAGTTCATGTCAATAATTCCAACGGAATTCTGCTTTTCTATTGGCTGGTTAGGGAGCATTTACACCTTCTGTAAAAATTGTCTAGAACGGAAAATTTACACTGGAGTAAAAGAGATAGACATACAGTCTGTCTTTCTTACTCCAATGAAAAATTTTCCGTTCTGGAAATTTTCACCGAAGGTGTAAATGCTCCCTTATTTAGACTATAGAAGGTAAGCAAACTTCGTGAAATTAGTGCCTTCCCTGGCACTAATTTATATATTTACTTTAAATAAATAATTTATTTATTTACTTAAATAAATAATTTATTTATTTACTTAAATAAATAAAATAAATAAAAAATTGGTAAAACCGAAAGCAGAATTTCATGAGAGTGAAAAAGATAGTGCTATCGATTATCTCTCTTGCACTCATTATTTTCTACTTTTACGTGGGAGTGCACCCTTAAACTCAACAATACAGTCATTGTGGATGCGGCCTTAACTCTACCGGTTATAGAAGAATGGTGGGGAAATTAAAAGGCAAAACAAAGCAAAGAAAGGCACTAGCCGTACAACAACTAAAGTAGTAACGTCAGTGTCAGTGGCCTTAAAAATAACAAGAAGCACATGATATTGACAGTTCAAAGTGACAGTGTTCTTCCGAACATTATAAAGAAAAACACAAACTTCTCTTATTAACAAGTGTAAAGTAAATTTGCCGCGAAAATGTCGTCGCCAACACAAGTGGTCAGTATATCTATAAACATCTATATATGCAAGTATTTATACAAATAGTCGATAATTTCTCTTTGTTCTTTCATTTTCATTAATATATTAACTCATTACTTCTAAAATTGAAATTTAATTTCTCATTAATATCTAAATTAGACATAGTTTGTTTCTTTTATATTATTATTTATTGACTTTGTTCAAAAAATTATATTTAATATCTTTAATATAAACAATTAAAAAGGGGTGGCGGGAATTTAAAAAAAAAATTTTTATCGATACATTTTCTTTGTCACAGGGTCACTGATATTTCGCAGTTTTAACAACAAATAAATGAAAGGTTTCAGTAAATTGATTTAGAAAAATAATTATGTTTATTTGCTAAAAATAATTAGTTTCTAAATTACAAAATAAAGAAACATTTATTTTATTGAAATAAATCAGTTTATTGATTTTGTCCTATTTATATTTTGTTGTTAGTATACACCAAAAAAAACTTTATTTTAAATGAAAAAATATATATAATACACATTTTTCACGGAATCTAAAGCCAATTAATAGCATATTTAATATTAGAAATAGTAATTAAAATTTTTTAATTAATTAATACATTTTCTAAAAAATATTTAAAAAGTATTTTAATAAAATTTATTTGAAACCAAAATTGATAACATCACATACGACAAATAAAAAATCAAAAAAAAACCTTTACCTATTACTATAAAAATTCCAAAGTTTATTAAAAAAAAAATATATACGTATTTTTGATTTAAAAAAATTTTTAAGAATTTTTTTTAAATTCTAAAAAAAATATTAAGGGCAGGGACGGGTGAAATTTCAAACCTTCGATTAGTTACGTTGTTAAAAGGCGACAATTTTTTTTTCTGGCATTATTTAGGATCTAAATTTATTCTATATAGTTAAAATTGAAAAAAAAATGTTTCGGCTATTTTGAAAATTTTATTTTTTGAAAAAATTAAAATTTTTCAAAATCGATACGATTGATTGTTCAGAATCGCAGGAAAAACCTACAAAAAATTTGGCAACGAAAAATAATAAAAAATGTGGAATTAGTTGAATTTTTCAAGAACTACTAGTAAAATTTGAGCTAATCAAAAATGACCATTTTTAGGGGTATCAAAATTTTTTTTACATTTTTTCAGTACATGAAATCATATTGCACTATAGAAAATTAATAAAAGTAATTTTTAACTGATTTACGATTTTTTATTATTTTCTAAAAAATTTGATTTTTCGAAAAATTAAAAATTTTTTAATATTAACCACCCATAAACAATAAAAATTTAGATGAGTTTAAATTTCAACCGTACCTCCCCTTATAGATATATGGTCAGACATGATTTTTCGAGGTCGCTGATTACGAATTTGAAGTCAGATTTTTAAAATTCAAAATGGTGGATACAATAGGGGTCGTCCATATACCACGTGGGCACTTTTGGGGGGAGGGGGGGGTTAAAAAAAGTTTGAAAATGTCCACGATCCCATGTATTGTTGTGTCCACAAGGGGGGAGGGGGAGGTCAAAATCTTTGAAAAACTGTCCACGTGGTATATGGACGAATTGAACTGTGTGATTAATTTTTTGTTCAAATTTGAAATTAAATGTTATAAAATTCTTTTTTCGAACGAGATTTGTGAACTGAAAACTTTGTCAATTTATTAATGAAGTGTAGGATAGGAAGATTCATAACAAATAAAATTTTTGAAATTTTGATGATATATTGGTTCAACAATTTTTAATTTTGAAAATCTGACATCAGATTAGTAATCAGCGAACCAGGAAACCCTCAGATATTAAGTGTTTTGAATAAGAAGTAATATTTCTTAATTTCAACAGTCATATTGGATCAGTGACATCGTAAACGCTTAGATACCAAATTTTATAAAAAATTAATAATTTTGAAAAGATATCTTGTCGCCTTTACATATAGTGAAATCAGTAAGATAAGTGAGCGCAAAACGCCAACATCTTCGGGTTTCATGGCATCAAAAATAAAATAAGCAATTAACTCTCAAGCAAATCTAATCTTATTTAGAAGGATATGAAACCTGATAAATAATCATTTTTGTTTTCTCAAGTACTTAATTTTTTAAAAATTAGCTACTTAAAATAACAATTCTGCAATGAATACAATAATTGCAATGACAAGTCCAATACCAAGTGTTATGAAAGGCTTGATAGTAAATGAGTTCTCATTTTTAAAGAACCTAGAAATATTTTTTATTTTTCCGAACTTAACTGCTCTGTATTCCTCGTGCCATTTGTGGGTCAGACCAGTTTGCAAAAATCTATTCATATGACGTTCTAATTCAAAAACAAAGGGAGAATTAGGTTCAAAATAAACTGTTACTGACGCAATATCTATTAGATCGTTTTCTAAAGTTTTGATAGTTGAAATTCCATTTTCTTTCAAATCCATTAGAATCAATTGTCGAGCTGATACAATGTCTACATCACAAGCAACTGCTTTATTATTGAAAAGGTCATTTAAACAATCTTCAATCACCGTATAATTAGTTGTTCTTTTCATCAACGGGATAGTGGTATTTAATCCCTCTCCCTAGTAGAAATTTGTCATAGTATCTTTAAGGGCACTGGACAGTTCCACTGGAAAATTTCGAGGCACTTTACAGTTAAACTGGCTAAAAACTATAAAGTGATGTCACGCTAATTTCTTCAAGTTATTGTCCAGTCAAATTTTACAGTTTCTGATCATCAGTCCTGTAGAAAAACTATACAAAATAATTCACTTGGAAATGTCAAAACTTTCTTTATATTGACATTTCGTATTAAACACGTACAAATTTGAAAATATAACGTTAAATTCTTTTGTCAACAAATTAAATAAATTAAAATTTTACGAAACAAAATTTTTACTGTTGGTGTATCTATTGTTCCGTATATCTTTTGTCAACAAATTAAATAAATTAAAATTTTACGAAACAAAATTTTTACTGTTGGTGTATCTATTGTTCCGTATAATAAATGATTTATAATAAATTATCTGTAAAATTATTTTTAAATAACTACATAATTAAAAAAAAAAATTATAAACATTACTGATTCTTGTACACATGTCATTTTTTACATTAAACAACATTCAATTTTTCCTTGAATTAAGCACAACACTGAAATAAATATTATTATTTTATCACACTACAAACTTATAAGTAACCCTAATAAAGAAGAATTAATTCAGTTCAAACGAAAAATATCTAGCGGTTTCGGGGAGCGAACTCGGGTCACACTGGGACGAAATACCTAAACGCACGCTTTACGCATCACGGCCGTTCTAGTCGATGGACGATTCCGGAAAAATAAGAACCATACTCTACCGGCAGGTAAAGCAGTTCCCTTTTTCATCTTTTCTAGCTCAACTGGCGAATTACTGGACAGCTACTGCATAACACTCTCAAGTTGAACTTATTGATTATTACTGTATAGAAGTTCTGTCTGTCCAGTTATTCTCATGGCACTGTCTAGGCGTTCCGTGAAATTATGTTTCAAAGTTTGTCGTGGCGTTAGCGCTACCGTCAGTCCAGCAACTGAACAGTGTTGTGTTGACATTTTCCACAAATACATCAGTGTATACACTGAAAGAAATAATTCGCGGGTATAACTAGAATTATGTCTATTTTTTCCGTAAGGAATTAGTAATAAATTGTTACTGGCTACTGTCATTAATTATAGACAGTTCTGTTATACAGATCGGTGAGCTATACATATGTCAACGTCAATACATCAATGTAAAACATAACCTCACTTTATTGGACCAATTCTAACTTTTTGTATGTAACAGGTTTGTTAAATTAATATTTATACATATAATAAGAGTATATAATCTTGAAAAGAAATTGTCTTCTGAATTTAAAAAATTAGTTAATTTAATTAACTCAATTAATTAAATCGAATTTTAAAAAAGTTTTTTTTTTCTAAAGGAATTTCCATTAAAAATAAATTTTGCTTTAAAAGAAATTTTTATTATTAAATCAAAATTTTAATTGTATTAAATAATTTAAAAAATTTGTTATTTAGTTGTCAACAGTAAAATAAAAGAACAAAATTAAAAATATAAAAAACTATAAACTGTAAAACCAAAAGATTTATTTTATAGAAAATATTTCGAAAATGTCAATACACAACTGTTTAGTTACTGAAACTGGCGGTAGCGCTAACGCCACGACAAACTTTGGAACATAATTTCTCGGAACGCATCGATAGTGCCATGAAAATAACTGTACAGGACTCCTATGCAGTAATAATCAAGTTCAACTTTATATTTTCTTTAACAGTGTTATGCAGTAGCTGTCTAGTAATTCGCCAGTTAAGCTAGATTAAACTTCCATGACTAAAACTGTACAGTAACTTGAATAAATCTAGTCATGCCACGACAAATTTCTACTAGGGCTATGTCAAACGCTTTGTCAAAATCAGTTGCATATAAGATCCATTTCTTTGCCCTATCCTTTGATTTAATTATATCTTTGTAGTCCGAGAATAATTCGACTGTTGTCAAAATTGAATGTAAGCTTGATGAAAATACCAAAAAACCGAAGCAAAGCGTCATTAGAGCAATTCTATCCCTGAGTTTTTCAACATCCAGAGGAACTGACATTCCCAGTAACAATTCCCAAAGATGCAGGAACGTCCAAAAGTGTCTATTAAACTTTAAGAAACGAAAAAGTGTCCAAAGGAGAACTATAAAGACGCAACTGAAAATAGCCAAATAGATAGATTTTGTAAATAAATACTTGGTGATTTTCTGCTTAGGTAGTAATGTTAAGTACATTGGGGGAGTTATTGATAAAGCCAGATTATCCGATTCTTCATCAGTTTCGTCTGCGAAATAGGTGTTTAAAGCAAGATTACAGGTACTGTTCCTTATAGAATTTTTCATTTCATCGTAATTGCAAATTAACGAATCTATAGAGTATCCTGAATCGCATTGCGTTGAATATACTTTTACAAGACTAAAGTTCATTATGTTTGAAATAGATTTCAGTTTTGGAATATTGTAATTATTTTTATTCAAAACTTGATCATCAAAGGCCTTCATTTCATATCCGTTTAAATTCTTCAGTTTATTAGGAAACAGAACGCCCCCTTTGTTATAATTCATCTTCGTATAAACTCCGGTGAAATTATTAAAGTAGTGAATTACAATATTCCTTTGGGGCATACTTAATTTCCCTCTTGACATATTACTCTCCAGTTCGATATCGAGAATTGTTAATTGTATGATGTTTCTGGACCATGCGGATCGAAGTAGAACTTCACGACTGCTACTACTTTCGTTTAAGGTGATTACCATCAGACATCTTGGAAATGTAAAATGACCTGTTACTTGCTTCATGAAATCGAAAAACTTTTCAATTATTTCCGCAGAGTTTTCTAGAACAACTACAAAAAGGGTACTTTCATGATAGCTTCGCGAAGTAATTGCAGTCTTAAGCTCCATTGGATCTTGCTGAATGAAGTTTATTATTCGACTTGGAGAAATTTTGATTGCAGCCTGGAAAATTTCTTCTCCTGTATCAAGATTTTCTGTTTGCTCGTCGTGCATTATTATCGTTTGATACGCCTCGAATTCATGTTCTCTTATCTGTTTAAAGATGTCACCAAATGGAAGGGCTTTCACAACACTTATTTGTAGCAATCCTTGAAGTAAAACGATAATTTTCGCCAATTTCAACTTGTACATAGACATTTTAACTTTACCGAAACTTAGTGATCAGTTCAGAGTAAAAGACCGAAGGTGACTGATTTTTAGTATATTTGTTTTTGATAGTGAAATTGGATGGTTTGTATGTCATTACGGATTGATTATGCTAATTTACCTTTTGTCTACAATTTATTTCATATAGATGTTGAATAGATTGCTTTTTAACAATCTATTCTAATATTTTGAAGCAATTGAAAATAAAATTAAGTAATATTAGATATTGAACATTTACGTTTATAATATTTCACAACAGATCAATAACAAATTCCAGTAATTGAATTTTTTCTAATGAATTACTTTTTGGGTTTTTATCTCATAAAAATTACTTATGAGAATTATCTGTCTTTTGAAATTTGTTATTTCGAATTAATATTTAATAGAAAAAGAATTTTGATTTTTAAGAACTTCGAATTTTTGTTACATCGAATTAGAATTTGTATGAATATTTATATAGGCGAATTACAATGTACCTCTCTACTCATTTATGATTTATTCGAATTATAATTGTTAAGTTTAGAACCAAAGAATTTAATAATAACTGAATTTTAATTATTACGAATTTTCACTGCTTAGAAATCTATAGGGAAAGAAAATTAATTTGAAGGTTTCGATAACCTCAAACTTTGCTGTTTAAAGAAATTTAAAGGATCGTTCTCATTCTGTAAAAAAAATTTTCTTTAGGATTAGGATTATTTTTGAAATTGAAACCAAAGACAAGAATATAATCTGTTGAATTATTTTTTTATTATTCAATTTAACAAATTTGGTAATTTTAAGAGACATTGAAAAATTACTTCCATTGCTATATTAACGGAAAATTAAAAATCATTATCAATGCTGTCTTCTGATACATTTAGGTTGTCTAGAACACTGACATTTAGATCAGTTTGATCCAATTGTTTTTCATTTAAACAACTATTTAATTGACTGAAAGTAAAACTACGGATGTAGTAGTCGAAATATTCTTGAATTCTAAGAACGCACTTCATTTTATTTTTCATAAGTGTACTTGTATCATTCCTCTTGCTACACAATTTAAGAAGAGGTTTTTTAGACGATTCAGTCCAAAGAGAAAAATATTTTGCTGGATTGGAGAATATATTTTGGCATTCCTGATTCTGATTTGCATATTTTTTTTCAAAGTTTTTAGAAATCTGTCGATAAAATTTGTTTTTAATTTTTTAAACTGATTCTGTGAATATTTTATTGATTTTAATTCATTGACTATAACTTATAATTTTATTCAGGGGGTCAACCTTTGTGAGACTAAAAAATCGATTTCTTTTTATCCTATATATTTTTAATGTATAGAGGAACTGAACTGGATCAGCTATAAGTGATTACATTCTATTTTGTTTTCAATTTGAAAAGTTATTCAAATCCAAATAAATAGTTTTAACCCTTTAAGCGCATCCTGGGAGTTTGACACCCATACTCAACCTTTGGAATTTAGGTTTCAGAAATAATAAGTACTATTATTCTATTCTTTTCTAAAAGTGTTGTATCTCAAGTGTATACAATTAAATTTTTACGTGAAAATATTAAAAATTACCGTTTTGGTCAAGTTCTTTTATCTGGACCACTGAGCTACCTACGAAAATTTTGCCGAAAGATAATATCCAATTCCAGTTTACAAAACACAATTTAAAGCCCGTGGGAGTCAAACACCCATGTCTACGGTTAAAGGATGGTTTAAAAAGCGTGCGTTTTAAGGACAAATTTGGATTCAACTTGACAAAATCGATTATCACACTGGTTGATACCCTTATAGATGGTTGAAACTTATGGACATGTCAAAGTCGTTTTGATTTTTCCAAATAAAATTTTAGTGTCTAACCAAGACTTTGGCGAGTCTTGAGGTGAATGAAATCTCATCCAATTTTAATATCTATAAGTTTTAATGTATTCGTATAAAAATATTCATTTTAGTTAAAGAATTGGCTTACTGTGTTGAATGCTTCAATAAAAGAGGTTTCTATTCCTTCTATGTCCATCAATGGTATCTTAAGATCTTGACTATAAAATCGTCCTGCACCCGCCAATTCTAATGCATCATTTGCCTTTAAAAATGTTTTACAATTTTAAATTTGTTAAGATAAATAATGTATTGTTATTAGATCAAAGAAGTGTAGTATTTGTTTTTGTGCCATGTTTCAGAAATTTGTACTTTTAGTTTTTAACCTAGAATCGTAGTGACCGCATTTTTCGTAAGGTCGTGATTTGTTTCTAGTTTATAACATAAGTGAACTTCAACTTTATGGAGAATGTGGTTATTAGATTTTACTTTGGACAGCAGAGCGCTCGGTTCGGTTGTAAATGTTGAAAACGACTTCGATAAGTTTTCTTTACTTGTTCTAACATCTCTATATGGATTTTTAAGGGAATGGGAATGATGGAAATTTTTAAAGACAATGACCACAATTACTCGAAAACCAAGATTACAGATTTGGTACAGATTTGGTTTATAGAACTCATCTTATATGTAATTGGTTTTTGTATCTTAAATAGGAAAGATTTTTACTTATAAAAAATGGAATATCTCTAGTAACAGTGTTGATATCTTAAAATAATTAAAAAGAAAAAACTTAACAAAACTGACAGTGCTGAATAAAAACGAAATTTATAATTTAATCTAAGGTGTAAAAAATGTAGTATATATACATACATAATAAAATCACGAATTTATGAGAAGCAATTAAAATGTTAGAATGTAGATTATTTAAAATCTTCAGTTTTACGGCGATTAGGCTATAAACGCTATCTTTTTAACAGATAGAATATGTGTGTCCATTTGTTTTATACCGGTCTCTAAATTAAATTAATCTAAAATTTGATTTTTAAAATGTTTTAAAGAATGCAAAAATTTTGAGAAAGCCTCTTTTCAAATATCACTCTAGAAAATTTTTTTTTTAATTATGCATCAAAAAACAAATTTTTATGATAAAAAAATGCAGGACAAAATTTTTATGTTATGTAAAAAATTTTTTATGTAAAAATTATATTTTACTTCTTAATAAGATTAAGATTTAATATTGTTATTAAAAATTATTTTACATCTTAGCAAGATTATATTTCAACAGAGTACTTACATGCAAAATGCCGATGATAAGACACAGTAACAAGTTAATTGAAGCGACAGACATTTTTACTGAATTGTGATTTGGTGATCACTACACTGGTTTCTTCTATAAGAACTCACTTGAATATAACGTGAAACTTATTAGTTCGGAATTTTTAATATATTCTGTGAATACATTTTATTTTGTACATTTTATACCTAAATTTCTGGATTATGTACAAAACGTGACCAAAAGTAATTATCTGATAGATTATTTCTCAATATAATTCTGTTGGAATGACATTATTTTCAAAATATGAAAAATTATAAAATAAAGTTATCGTCAAGTGCCGTTCTCTGGTGGCAATTTTTTCTACTTCTCATTGTTTTAAATATTTCGAAAGATTATAAAATTCTACGATAAATAATACATAAATGAAAATTTTAATTTAACTTGGCAGCTTTTTTTAAAAATTTTTTGCAACTTTACTTTGAATAGAAACTAAATTCTTAATTATTGTTCTACTTAATAGCTTTATTATTCTAGGCGGACAAAAATCGAAAATGCAAATAATTCAAGTGTTATGAATTTAAAATTAAATAACTTCTATATTGAATTTCGTTACATTTTATTTCATGTTTTTATTATTTAAATTTTACATTTCAGACTTTTTTAGCCTTCATGAAAACAAAATTTAATCAAAGCAAGAAAAATATTTAAATTTAAAAATATTTCTTAATTTTTCAGCATAAACTGCAAAACGAACCATTTAAAGTTACTTTAAACTTTTCAGTGGACTATATATTAAAAATTTGAAATTTTTTTTCAAAAGTATAACTTTTGTAAAGTTTAAAAAAGAATTTCGTTTTTATGTTTTATACAAAAAAATCAGAAATCAAAAGAATATTCCTATTTTTTAAGTTATAAAGCAGTAAAAAATGAAAAAGTTAAAAACTATGCATGATATGAAAAAATGAAACATTTTTATCACTGGTAAGAGTTATAAAATATTTGCAAAAATCTATTTGAGATTCGCTTTTAAATCTTTTGTTCACAAATTGATAAGAATAGTTTTTAACATATATGAAAAAAATTACAAATAATATTTTTTGGAAATTTATTTCTCTATTTAAAATTCTTTAATTTTTTTGATGAAAATACAATTATTTAAAAAAATGTTTGAAAAAAATTCTAATCAAGATTTCAATTATTTTCAAAAATAATAAAACTCATCAAATAATTTAAATTCTTTTTAATACTATTTTAAATTAATTAATCGAAAAATTCAATTATTTTCATAAATAAAAGTTTTCCACAAGGATTCAATTATTTAAAATAAAATTTTCATAATATTTATTATATTTCGAAAAAATTAATTATTTAATAAATGTTTAGAAAATTCTTATAAAGAATTCACTTATTTTTCAAAAATAACAAAATTTTTTACTAAAATTCAATTCTTTTTAAACATTTATTTATAAAACTTTTCGCAATAATTTAATTATTTTTATAAATAATAAAATTCTTCGCACAAATTAAATTATTTTTGAAAATTTTAATTTTTTTTTTTTAATTTTTGAAAATTTTAATAAAATTTAAACTCGTTGATACTTAAATAAATAAAATTTTTGGCAACTATTCAATTATTTTCATAAATAATAAAATTCCTCGTATGATTATAATTATTTTTAATACAATTTTACAGGAATTGCTAAAAAAAATGTAATTATTCTTAAAAATTTAATTTCAATTCCTCGAAAAAAGCAATTATTTAAAAAATTTTTTTTAAAAATCAATAGCAGTTCTAACAGCAATTATTATATTCAATAAACAGATAAAAACTTTTACAAAGATAATAAAGTTATTTATATCATTTAAAAGAATTATAAACTTAATAAATTTTTTTCAATGTATCTAAAACAGTTTCAAAATTTAAATTAATTTCATTTTATAGAAAAAAATTTTTATTGAAAAAAAAAAATCTGTTAAACTTCTATATTATTGGGGAATTTTAATAAAATTATTTTGAACACAGAAATAAATTATTCAATTAATTTTTTATTAATCAGTTTTATAACGTACATAATTTTAAACATTGAAAAATATTTTCATGTCTTTAACTGGACATTTATTGTCATAGTTTTAACTTTATTCATCATCTTCTTCTTCTTCTGATTTAGATTTAGGTGAATCATCTTCCATTAACTTACTAGTATTATCGTCATTTAAACATTTGTGTACTTTGTCAAAAGAATAGTTATTGAGAAAGTTGCCTAAATACTCTTTTATATTTTTAACGCAATCCTTTTTCGATTTTGTAATTACTTTTATATTGCCGTCCTGGCTGCATAATTTAAGGAGAGCCATTTTCGATTTAGTAGTGAATGCTGAGAAAATATCGTCAGGATTGATGAATTTTTCTTGGCATTCCTGATATTTTTTTAAATACTTTTGTTCGTACTTTTTACTAATCTGTAAAATATTTTGTTTTTTAAATTTTGCTTATATGAAAATTTTATTATTTTCAATTGATGATTAACCGATTTTCAATTTGATGATTAATATTAAATAAATTTAAAAATCATTTATTAAAGTAATGAAAAATTATGTATTAATTTAAATTAAACATTTTTTTTAATTAAAGATAAAATGTTGTTCATTTTTAATTATATTGATTATAATTTTGTTATCACATTATTTTATCAATATTTAAATATTTATAGAAATATTTTTTTTTATAAATTAACTTACCGAATTCAGTTGTTCCATAAAAAAATTATTTATCTCAAATACTTCCATCATTGACAACTGAAGTTTCTGAGTATAAAACTTTCCAGCTCCCGCAAACTCTAATCCTTCATTTACCTTTTAAAATTTATTTACAAGTTTATTGAATTAATATTAATAATATATATTATAAGTTGTAATTTTATTTTTAAGAAAATAAGACAAATTCAATAAATTTATGGCGATAGTAAAAGTTTATGCTTCGAGGAAAAAGTTATTTGTTATTTTTTCTTTGTAAAATAATTAGTTCTTTAAGTTTGGTATGAAATAAATCATACTTACATGCAAAATGCAGGCAATGAGGCACAGCAAAAAGATTTTTGAAACAGAAGACATTTTCTTCCGAGTGTGGTTCTGTACTCAATGAACTGGTATCTTTTGTAGAAACCTAATTCGGTAAAGTGTAACTTACTTCTGAACTTCTGAAATTGAGTGCAAAGCATTTTATTTTGCACGTTTTATGTCTAAAATTTCAGGAATATGATCAGAACGTGACCTAAAGCAATCATCCGATAGATTACTTACTAATAAAATACTGTTTCAATGTCACTACTTTTTAAGCAAATATAGAAAATTTTAAAATCGTTTGAAAAAACGTATATTAGAATATAAATTTATTTAAAAATTTTTTATATACATACATAGAAACATTTTCATCATAATTTTATTAATATTTTTATCAAGATTTAACTTTAGCTTATTAAGTAAGCCTAAATCGTAAAATAAATCAAGATTTTCTTTAAGGTTCTCAACATTTAAATAATTTCAATAATTTCAAAACCTTGGGATCATTAATTTTAAAGTTTATCAGCAGAGAATTGAGGGACCAAATCATTTATAAAGAGTTTAGAAGAAAGAGCTACAAAAACAGATTTCTTAGATTTTTATCTTCTGATTAGAGTCCTTTAGGTACCATGTTCGTACTAATGTCTACATATAAAAGCGAATACCCCCAAATTCACAATTGGTTGCATAAGCTTTGCACCCGAGAATTATTGTACAATTATGGTACGTGCCTATAATAATTTATATAATAATGGAGTTTCTGAACGGCTTCGTTTTCTTCCACGATTTTTATTACTTTACTCATCATTCTCTTCATTTGTGACATTTATTTTAACGTCATCACAATATTTTTCACAGATGGAATCAACAAATAAATTATTAACGTCCAATGAAATTCAGACGAAATTCAAAATGCAGAGCAAATAACACCTTTTGATTTGTCAAACATTTCTGATTCAAAAGAATAGTGTGATCGGGTTGACCAATCAGGAGGTTTCTTTATTTTGTGTTTAGAAACTACATTTATCTGAATGGTCAGAAAACTAGTATAATCCAAAGCTCAAAAATCAACAGTTATAAAACTTAAAGATAGAATAATAGAAAATTGCACCTAAAGATATCCTTCCGATAACTTCCATAAATAAGAAGACACCTTCTCGCAATCTTGCGCAACAATCTAAATCGTTCAGATGCCGATGCACTCTTACATTAAAATAATTTCAGACTTTTAGCAAATAGTATGCGTCTATTTAAATCTAAAAGTATCTGTCTCTATTTCTAAATTCTTGAAAAATTATTATTTTATAAATTCTACAATAATTGTTTAAAATGAAATTTTTAAATTATATGATTAATGTAATTTAATGTTAGAATAAGTTAAAGAATATGAAGTATGAGAATAAGTGAGACAGTATAAAAATAATAAATAAGAATTATTTATATGCAATAATTAACAAAGCTAATTTCAATTAATTTCAATTCTTTCAATTATAAATTAATTATATACAAAAATAATTGTGTGTAATTAATTATAAACAATTTTTAAACATTTAAATAATTCTTATTTAATTTCAACTAATTTTAAAAGTCAATTCAATTATTTTTAATTATTTTTGAATCCTTTAGAATGTGTATAGTAAAGTTATTACATTTATATAGAATTATTCTTTTATAATATGTAGGACACTACATTGACGATAAAAAATGGACTTTGCATTCCATAACTCTCGACTTCATTCCATGTAAAGAATGACATACAGGGAACAATATATCGCAAAATTGTTCAATGATTTCTTGATCGAAAATAATCTCAAGCAAAAAGTGTTAGGAATAACGCTCGATAATGCTTCCAACAACACCACTTTTATTTCAGAACTAAATTTATTGATGAAAGCAGATGATGCTTTCTTTGATAAAGAATATCAATATTTCCGGTGCCTGGCACATGTAATCAACCTAGCGGCTCAAGATTTTCTGACATCGTTGAATTTGATTTCTGATAAAGATATCAACGAAGTCGAAAATGAAGATGAGCAGAATGCTGAATCGGATTGGATACTTCTTGATTATGCTCAAAAGTATCTTAAACACTTTAAGGCATTATCTGATGTTCTACGTGCTGGCGAAAAATATGCTACTTTGTCCTTGGTGGTTGTTGGATTTAATTTATTACTTGACGAAATAGAGAAAGGGATGAAAAAAATTGACGAAATGTCCGAGAGAAAAGTTTTTTTTGATGAAAAAATACGAAACGCACTTTCTGCTGCTCATGAAAAACTACTTGAACATTACAGAAAATGCAATTGGAACTATTGTGCAGTGTTAGTTTTGGATCCCAGATTCAAAGTTGAAATCTTCGATAAAACGGAGTGTGGTAAAGAAATGCTGAACTCCTCTATGGCACAATTTGAAAAAATCTATAAACAAGTTTATTATATCCCACTTTCGAAAAATATTGATGAAAAAGAAATTATTATTCCTGATAATGACCATTCAGTGGTAGAATTGGAATCAAGCGCGACGATGAAACCATTAATATATTTATTCATTTTTTGAAAAAAACAAACGTTTAAAAAAACAACAATCATCCACGAAGAAAAAGCAAAAAGAAAATTGGAGACAATAATTTGATGACTATTGTAGTGAAGAAACAGTAGATGGCAAAAATGGCCAGCGACTTTTTTTCGATAAAAGCAACTTCGATGTCGGCGGAACGATTATTTTCTCAAGCATCGTTAACTGTGAGATAAAACAGAAGCAAACTATCAAAAGTATTCGAGAGTTAATGTGCGAAATTCATTATTTTGTTCAATAATTTAAAAAAATTTAATTTACATACTTTTGATGTCAAACTTCGAAATAAAGAATTATATTTAGTTAGTAATTAATCTTGTATTAATTTTTTTTCAGTACATATTTATTAATCTTAAAACAAATATTTATCAAAAATAAAAATGCTATTTTAATGAAAATTATAATATTTTCTTTTACAAATATTAAATTTATTTTTAGAAATAATTGAATTTTGAAAAGGTTACAAATTATAATCTTTGAATTTTTGAATTATTTATATGTACTTTTTAACTAAAAATTGTGTAGATTTAATTTTTTTTGAAAAAGTTTAATATTGCATTTTTTAAAATTTATTTGAAGTTTTTATTTTCTAATATATTGAAGAATTTCTGAATAATCGATGCAATTTCGTAAAATTGAATTGTAAACAAAAGAATTTGAAAATTTTTCAAACATTATTAAAAATAATAAATTTAAAGAAGAATCTTAGTTAAAAATTTTGGAATACAATAATTGAATTGAAGTGATGAAAGTAATTTTTAATAGGTTACAGTAACAATATTCTCAAATAATATAAAATAATGATTTTATCAGTCGGTCAATTTTAATTATTATAAAACATGAAGATATCGATGACTCTGAGTCGAAGACTCTGAGTGATCGATTTCTTCATGTTTTATAACAATTTTTTATAAGTTGTTGAATTTCAAAAAGTTTTGAATTTAAATTTTTTGAAGAATTTTAATTCCTATTGAAAAATAATAATGAAATATTTATTTAAAAAAGATAAATATAACAATGCGGAATACAGTATTATATGAAAGTTCCATGTATTTGTAAAAATTTATTGGAATTATTTAATTTTGTAAAATATAAATTTAGTTTTAACAAACTGGAAAAAATTCCGTTTTTTAATCTGGGAAACCTGGAAAAGTCATTTTGGAAATGAATACATGAAAAAAATAAAGAATTTTAGGAAGAGAATTGAATATTCTCAAAAAATATTATTTATAATTTTTTTTATGTGTTAAAAACTATTCTTATCAATTTGTGAACAAAAAATTTAGAAACGAATCTGAAATAGGTTTTTGCAAATATTTTATAACTCTTACCAGTGATAAAAATATTTCATTTTTTCATATTATATTATAGTTTTAAATTTTTTCATTTTTTACTGCTTTATAACTTGAAAAATAGGAATATATTCTTTAGATTTCTGATTTTTTTTATATAACACATAAAAGCAAAATTTTTTTTAAACTTCACAAAAGTTATAATCTTGAAAACTTTTTCAAAATTTTTAATATAGTCCACCGAAAAGTTTAAAGTAACTTTAAATAATTCTTTTTAGAGTTTATGTTGAAAAATAAAAAAATATTTTTTTGCTTTGATATTCACAAGAATTAAATTTTGTTTTCAAGAAGACAAAAGTATGAAATGTAAAAATTATATATTAAACGTTTGAAATAAAATGTAACGAATTTCATTATAGAAGTTTTTTTATTTTAAATTCATAACACTTGAATTATTTACATTTTTCGATTTTTGTCCTAGAATAATAAAAAGCTATTAATTAGAACAATAATTAAGAATTGAGTTTTTATTCAACGTTGAGTAGCAGAAAATTAAAGAATATTAATCATTTTATTTCAATTTGTAATTCAGGATATGTATAAGTAGAGGAATATGAAATAGACAATAACAGTCAATATTCTACATGAGGTATTAGATAAGCACCAGTAGCATATCATCTTCAACAAATGCTAATGGTCCAATTTTCCCTTAGATAACAATACAATCACGCAATTCTAATCTCTTCTTCTATTTCATTTTCTGCATTCTAATTTCCTTCGTGATCGTTTCAACGCTAAAATTTAACTTATTTTCTGTTACGTAAAAGCAATAAAAATTATATATTCTCAAATACTTATTCTCTTTTTTGTCTTTCATTTTTTTATCGAAACTATTTTATTTTTTCTTTCAATTATAAAAATAACTATTTTAAAATTTGATGTTTGATTTTTAGTAATAATGATGTTAATTTTCACATATTATTAGAGATGTGATAAAAATCTTCTGATTAAGAATAAAGACCTTGACCTGCGTCTATCAGTTCGTTAAGATGAATAAAAAGTAAATTTATAATCGTTTCGTTTCTAATTGATTTACTAAACTTGAATATGCAATTTTAAAAAAGTTTACTTTTTTATTTTCTTTATATTGATATTTTGATATGCAAACCAACTAATATAATTACGAACATTATTAATACTTTCCAGTCTCTTGTGATTTTATTAATTGTATAATAAAAATCTTATTTAGAATTCATATAAGACCTCGTAACTTTTTATCAAAACATAAGTTGCAATTGTTGACAAATAAATTATTATAAACAATTAATTAGTTATATTAATGAAAAGATAATTTATTAAACAATTTATTTATTTATTTGAAGAAAACCAAGCCCAACGGTAAAAAAACAATAACAGAGCTACAAAATGTAAACTTAAAAATTACAACTCAATAGCAAATCGTCAACAAATCTCGACGCTTATTTTAAATACATATGTGTAGCAATTACAAAATCATTCAAAGATGTACAAAATAAATCTAAATTTTCATCCTCATTTTTAAGAAATAAATCAGTTCCTCTAGGAGGACAAACTTTATCCTCTTTCCAAGCTAAAAATTTTAAAAATTGTTTATGACAATATTCAATTGCCTCACAATACTTGAGAAATTGGTCGATAGTTTTCTACATTAGATTTATCACCTTTTTTAAAAACAGGACAAATCTTTGTGCTCTTCCAAGCATCCGGAAAAATACCCTCTGACAAAGCTAAGTTAAAAATAATTGTAAGTGGTTCAATTTTAAACAATGTAAAAGTTTTCTAACTACAAAAGCAGAAATAAGATTAGGGCCCGATGTATTTTTATCAGATATCCTTCCAATAGCCTTCTTTACATCACTCTCCTCAATCCTCAGAACAACACCCAAAAATCGATAATGATCATTAGTTGAGGAAGCATCAAATAATCCCACAGTATTCTTCTCATAAACACTATTAAAATAATCAGCAAATAAGTTTGATATGACAGTAGGGGAATTAAATTCAATGCCATTAAATTTAATAATTCCAGGTATTCTAGACTCAGATCATAAACGATAAAAATGATTCCAAAACACTGTTGGAGATAAAGAGATGCTGTCCTCAACCTGACCAATATAATTAGAATAAGCAATATCAACACGTCTCTTAATATCCATACGAAGGCGCTTAAACATTTCATAATAATATAAATCATGATACCTCTTATAACGAACTCTATATTTTTCTTTCAATAATAAGTTATATTCTGATATATTATAACAAACTTGTAAGATGCTTTATTTTTACTCAAACTTAACTCTAAACATATTAAAATATTGCGGAAAACTTTTCTGTTACAGTTAAGGAGCATTGGCCCAAAATTAGTTCCATTTTTAAAGAGTATTTCTGTTTATTTTGTGATAATGGCTGAACAACCTTCACTGCTGACTGCCTGTTTCAAATGTCTGCCAATAATAAGTCTAATTGTTTTCGTTCTTTTGCACGGAATTAGCCTCTCCAAAGAGTAAGTTACTCTTCAAATATAATATTACTTATTATTTATGGATACATGCATGAGGTTTAAAAATTTTTATTTTTAACACTGTTTTTAAGCAATTTTAAAAAAACTGAAAAAAAATTGTGAATAAGGTTTGGATTGTTTTGTGAACAGCAATATGCATACATAATTATAGATATTTTTTTTATTAGTATGTTCGGAACGTTTAGATTATAAGAAAAGAAATTTCTGTTTTCTCAAGTACTTAATTTATTAAAAATTAGTTACTTAAAACAACAATTCTGCAATGAATACAATAATTGCAATGACAAGTCCAATACCAAGTGTTATGAAAGGCTTGATAGTAAACGAGTTCTCATTTTCAAAGAACCTAGAAACATTTTTGATTTTTTTGAACGTAACTGCTCTGTATTCCTCGTGCCACTTGTAGGTTAGACCAGTTTGCAAAAATCTATTCATATGACGTTCTAATTCAAAAACAAAGGGAGAATTAGGTACAAAAAAAACTGTTATTGACGCATATTCTATAAGATCGTTTTCTAATATCTTGATGGTTGAAATTCCATTTTCTTTCAAATCCATTAGAATCAATTGTCGAGCTGATACAATGTTTACATCACAAGCAACTGCTTTATTATTGAAAAGGTCATTTAAACAATCTTCAATCCCCGTATAATTATTTGTTCTTTTCATTAACGGGATGGTGGTATTTATTCCCTCTATGTCCAATGCTCCATCAAAATCAGTGAACTTTACTATCCATTTATCGGTTCCATCCTTTGACTTAAGTATATCTTTGTAGTCCGAGAATAATTCGACTGTTGTCAACATTGAATGTAAGCTTGATGAAAATACCAAAAAACCGAAGCAAAGCGTCATTAGAGCAATTCTATCCCTGAGTTTTTCAACATCCAGAGGAACTGACATTCCCAGTAACAATTCCCAAAGATGCAGGAACGTCCAAAAGTGTCTATTAAACTTTAAGAAACGAAAAAGTGTCCAAAGGAGAACTATAAAGACGCAACTGAAAATAGCCAAATAGATAGATTTTGTAAATAAATACTTGGTGATTTTTTGCTTAGGTAGTAATGTTGAGTACATTCTTCCAAGACTTATTGATAAAGCCAGATTATCTTTTTCTTCATCATTTGCGTGTGCGAGATAGGTGTTTAAAGCAAGATTACAGGTACTGTTCCTTATAGAATTTTTCATTTTAGCGTAATTGCAAATAAACGAATCTATAGAGTATCCTGAATCGCATTGCGTTGAATATACTTTTACAAGGCTAAAGTTCATTATGTTTGAAATAGATTTCAGTTTTGGAATATTGTGATTATTTTTATTCAAAACTTGATCATCAAAGGCCTTCATTTCATATCCGTTTAAATTCTTCAGTTTATTAGGAAACAGAACTCCCCCTTTGTTATAATTCATCTTCGTATAAACTCCGGTGAAATTATTAAAGTAGTGAATTACAATATTCCCTTGGGGCATACTTAATTTCCCTCTTGACATATTACTCTCCAGTTCGATATCGAGAATTGTTAATTGTATGATGTTTCTGGACCATGCGGATCGAAGTAGAACTTCACGACTGCTACTACTTTCGTTTAAGGTCATTACCATCAGACATCTTGGAAATGTAAAATGACCTGTTACTTGCTTCATGAAATCGAAAAACTTTTCAATTATTTCCGCAGAGTTTTCTAGAACAACTACAAAAAGGGTACTTTCATAATAGCTTCGCGAAGTAATTGCAGTCTTAAGCTCCATTGGATCTTGCTGAATGAAGTTTATTATTCGACTTGGAGTAATTTTGATTGCAGCCTGGAAAATTTCATTTCCTGTCTCCAGGTTTTCTGTTTGCTCGTCGTGCATTATTATCGTTTGATACGCCTCGAATTCATGTTCTCTTATCTGTTTAAAGATGTCACCAAATGGAAGGGTTTTCACAACACTTATTTGTAGCAATCCTTGAAGTAAAACGATAATTTTCGCCAATTTCAACTTGTACATAGTCATTTTAACTTTACCGAAACTTAGTGATCAGTTCAGAGTAAAAGACCGAAGGTGACTGATCTTTTAGTATTTGTTTTTGATAGTGAAATTGGATGGTTTGTATGTCATTACAGATTGATTATGCTAATTTACTTTTTGTCCACAATTTATTTCATAGATGTTGAATAGATTGCTTTTTAACAATCTATTCCAATATTTTGAAGCAATTGAAAATAAAATTAAGTAATATTAGATATTGAATATTTACGTTTATAACATTTCACAACAGATCAATAACAAATTCTTGTAATTGAATTTTTTGTAATGTATTACTTTCAATTGGAGTGCATGATTATCCCGTAAAAGGTGAATTATACATCAACTCATAGATATTTTCATAACCTAATGAGATTCGGCCAGTGTGGAAATATTCCCTAAGTCGCCCAAAGGAAGATTGGGCGCCAATGTGGGCCTAACTATAGGTTTCACAAATTTTGAAAATTGAGGAAATAAAATAATTTAGTTAATAAAATTATTATTTAAATAATATTCTGTGATAAGTTAGCAAAAAGGCGCAACTGTAACAAGCTTAAAAAAATTTTTTTTTTCTTTTATGTACTTAGGCAAAGTTTGGGTCATCCTAACTTGATTCCAAGTGGGATTTCTCAAAGTATTTCTAAACTGAAATTTAATTGAATTTTCTGTTATAAATTAATTGGACCCAAGGCCACAATATAAACAATTTTATTTGTTATAAATTAATAAAAAAAATCAATTAATAAAACTTTAGTTAATCACGTTAATAATTAAATAATCTCCCGTTCGGTTTTCCCAAAAACCAATCTGGGTTCCCAATTGAGGAAGAATAAGAAAATTGAAAACAATAGTTATTAATTATAGTAATAATATTGAAGTATATATATTGAAGTATATATTGAAGTATTATAGAAATAATATTATAGTAGTAATATTGAAGTAATATGTTCCATGAATAAATAAAATGTATTTGAAGTTTTTAGTTTTTAGATAGAACTACTATTGGCTAAAAAAGTAGAGGCCCCTGACTTTGTAAGCTATCAACTCGAGTGAAAAAAATCGTAGATAGTTGAGGCAAAGTGAAATCTGTAGCTTACTTATCTATTCTCGTTTGTATACAAAATTGCAAAATTCAAAGAAATTTTTTGCTCAAGTTATAATTTTTTAATGATTTGAAATACACATTTTTTGGATGATTTTGAGAAAAGCCTAGAAAATACCCTATCAAAATACTAATTTTTTTTTTACAATTTTTTTAACCTTTCTTAAAAATAAAGAAAACAAATTTTTTAATTTTTTTTATTAACTTTTGGATATTATCCAAAGCAAAGATAAAAAGTTATATCTCTTGCAAATAAAAATACGGCTTTAAAATAAAATGCAGATTATGTGAAGCTTTTTCTTTAGACAAGAACAACAAAAAAAACTTGTTAAAAATTTTTTGTTTAATAATTATTTATGAAAATGTTTTCTTTTTTAAAATTATTTTTGTTTCAGGAGAAACTTTTGCATAATCTGCATTTTATTTTAAAGCTGTTTTTTTTATTTGCAAGAAATATAACTTTTTATCTTTGTTTTGAATAATCTTCAAAAGTTAATAAAAAAATAAAAAAAATTTTTTACTTTATATTATTTAAGAAAGGTTCAAAAATTGTAGAAAAAAATCAAGGTCAAGGGCCTTATTTTCGAATCTAGACTTGCGTCTACTAACTCAGGAACGATTCAAACTGATTTTTGTTAAAGGATAATTTTAAATAAGTTAGATAGCAAACTTTAAGAATCAGAATTCGTCAAGAGATTAAATCAGTTGATCAGGAATTTTACTAGACAGGAACTTTGTGGAAATAAGTTGAATATTGGCTTCCTTCTCTAAAGAATTTGATTGAACGTAAATCTTTTTATTAATAATCGAATTTTGAACTTGTAAATAGCGAACAATTATTTTTATCATTTTTGAAATATTTCTAGAAAAAATAGATCTAATACTGCTTAAAATATTGGATTCTAGAAATTTTAAGATTTGTTGCCAAAGAGATTAAGTATTTCTAGAAGTATAATAATTAAAGATATTCCTGCCAAAGTTGTCTCAAAAATACCAAAGATGGTAATTATCTATTTAATATTTATTTAATTTTGTTTGTTTGCTAAAAGTCTGAAATTATTTGTATGTATTAAGAGTGCATCGGCGTCTGAGTGATTTAGATTAATTATTGCGCAAGATTGCAAGATGGTGTCTTCTTATTTATGGAAGGTATCGGAAGGATATCTTTAGGTGCAATTTTTTATTATTCTATCTTTAATTTTTATAACTGTTGATTTTTGAGCTTTCGCTTTGGAAAATCAAAATTTAGAAATATTGCATTTAAAGTGATCGTTCCGCTATTTTTTATTTAATTTACAACTATTTACGTCTACAATTTATTTAGGGCTAAAAGTAAGAAAATGCGAATTTATTTTTTCGAACCATAGGTACGTTTTAACTGTCCCTGTCACGCATATAGTGTCAATCTAAGAACCCAATTCAAAATTAGAGACAATACTGTTTGTAAAAATACTTAGATTAGTTAAGGTAGATTTTTCCCTGCATATAGCACTAGTGACTTCTTTTTAAGGTTGTAAAAGATGTGAATAGAGTAAATTCAAAGTAGTGATTTCATTTAAAATTTTAAATGCAATATTGATATAAGATTTGCAATTGATAGCCAAGTATTCGTAATAAAAGGAATTAACGAAAATGGAAATACAATTTGATTACAGATATACTTTCTCAAGGCGAATTCTAACAGGACTTGTGTTCAGTTGCATCGGCGATGCTTTCCTTGTGTGGCCAAATCTTTTTACAGCTGGAATGGCTATGTTCTCCGTTGCTCAAATTATGTATATTATTGCTTTCGGATTTACACCACTTAAACCTACTGTAGGTGCAGTTCTATATGCAGGAGGTGCTCTAGGTAAGAAACTTTTTAGTTCGTATAGTTTTACTAATGTTTTCCAATTATTTTATGCAAATTTAGTAATTCTTTAATAGTAAAGTTAGGATTATGTTAGAATAGTGTTACGTCCTAAATTTAACATAACATAAGTAGTGTTAATTAAATATTTTATATTAAAATACTGCATGAACAGTTCAATACTAAATCTCGGAATTAAAGGTTAAACAATAAAGAATCAAAATAATTGGAATAAACTTCGCACAGGCGAGGAAAACCTCTATATTATGAGAAAATGTGATCAAAGTTTATGTTTATCTCAAAGGTTTAATTCTTAATTGATTACCATGACTTCTAAGTCATGGTAAAAATCAAGGAAATTCGTGGACTTTATTTTTAATCGAACACCTGCATCACGTTTTAATTTATTGCAGAAATATTTTCTATTAGGCTGTAAACAAGTTCAAGAGTACATAAAATTAAGCTCGTGCTTCGCGAAGTACATATATGAGTCATAAGTTTACTGAAGATTAGAAGATCGTAACTATTAGCATTGTTCAATTGTGTGTATTATCAATATCGAATTTCATAGCTTTAGTAATTTTGGGTATACATTTTTATTTGGAGATTTTTGGAAAATCTGAATAAGAATTTCTTGTATTTCTCACTTTTAGGTTATATGGGGTTGGCCTATATGGATAAAAATAGTAATTAAAAATATGATTAGAATAGTTGGCGATCTGCTACCGGACCGATCCACTAAAAACTATAATTCTTCATTTCGGAGATTCTTTTGTTTTAAGGGTGACTTTTTTATTCTGTTTTTATTAAAAACATTCGTCATTTATACGAAACGAATTCTAGTAGCAACGATATTTATATTTAAAATTCTCAATTACATATACCTGAGCTATTATCTGATATAACTTTAAGGGTTCGAGCTCGGTAAATTAGATTATATATCCCCTGAAGAAGAACAATAATGTTTGAAACTATTTGAGAGTTATAAATGTATAATATATTTACAAAACCTATCAAGGTCTTTTTCATTATAATAATCATTAATTTTAATACGATTTATAACAAAAATAAATTTTAACGAAAAATAATAGTTTTAAAATGATTGTGAATTTCAAAACTATAAAGACATCTTTGTATGGATTTATAAAAATCTTAAACAGTATTAATTAGAATTAAAAACGTAATTAATACAATTGTTAACTTTTCTTCCTTATTCTGTTTCTCTATAGTCACATACATTCTAATGCCAGGGTTGAGTGGAATTTTAGCAATAGGAGTTCCATTTTACATAATGCTCTTAACAACAATGGCATGGCGAGCTATTGCCAGAGTTCAATTCTTTGATGTAAGTCATCATCTGAACCTGAATTTCATAATATATAAAATGCTTCAATTATTTTAATTGCTCATTTTAATTAATTAATTATTTTAATTTTAATTAACTCATGTAAGAACATAAGTTTAATTACTTGTTAAGGACTTATGGACTTGGACGAAGTTATGCAGCTGTGCTGGTAGCATTTGTTTTCTAATGTCGGACACCTTACTAGGTTTCAATTACTTTTACAGTCCGATCCCCTATTCTCGGGTAAGTAAAAATTACTTTCATGTAAATATTTTCAAGTGGTAAAAATTTCTCTTTACGAGCTCCTTTCGGATCCAAAATTCCCATATAAATCCCTCGGGATTTTTTGTTTCCCGCACAAATCTTTTCCTGAATAATTCTAAGTTATTCTTTAATTACGAAAGAAGATTTTGACTAAAGTTCTTTAGTATTTCCAGGGCTCGAACTATAGGTCCGTAAACCCCGTAAAAATCCGTAACATTGCTTGAAATCCGTAAAAATCCGTTTTTTTAAAAAAAAAGGTCCGTAAAGTACGTAATTTGATTCAAAAAGTATGAAAATTTCGTAAAGTGTACGATATAATTTGGATAATTTTTGAGAAATTACAAATTGTCTTTTCAATTATTTTTAGAAATAATTAAACTCACTTTTTCAAAATTCAATTATTTTCAAAAATTTTAATAATTTAAATTTAAATTTTAATTATTTTCAAAATTTCAATTATTTTCAAAAATGTTCCTCAATTCAATGATTTTTAATAGGTATTTACTATTCTAATAAAATTTCCCAAAAGAATTTAATTTAAAAAAAAATTTTAATAAAATTCTACACAAACTTTTAATTAATATAAAAAAATAATAAAAATTTCACAGGAATTTCATTATTTACAATTTGTTTTATATATATATATTTCTTCGCAATCATTCAATTATCATAAATAATAAAATTTGTACGGGAATTAAATTATTTTCAAAAGCAATAAAATTCCTCGCAGAAATTCAATTATTTTCAAAAGTAATAAAATTCTTCGAAAAAATTTAATTATCTTTAGAAATAATATTAAATTCTTCTCTGAAATTAAATTATTTTCAAAAATTTTAATAAAGTTTTTGGCAAAATTTCAATTATTTTCACAAATTTTCCTGAATTCAATGATTTTTAATAGGTATCTACTATTCTAATAAAATTTTCCAAAAAAATTTAATAAAATTCTACACAAACTTTTAATTATTTTCATAAAATAATAATAATTTCACAGGAATTCAATTATTTACAAATTTTTTAATAATTTCATTATTTACATAAATAATAACATTTTTTTACAAAGATTCAATTATTTTCATAAATAATAAAATTCTTTTTAGGGATTCAATTATTTTCAAAAAATAATAAAACTCATCGCAGAATTTCAATTATTTTTTATAAAATTTTAAAATTTTATTAAAATTCGTTGATAGAATTCAATTATTTGAAAATTTGTTGATAACGATTCTTCATGGGAATTGAATTTTAAAAAATATTCAATTATTCAATAAATTATTTATTTTTGTATGTTTAAATAATTGAATTCTATAGTAGAATTTTCTCTAATAAAAATTGATTTTCATTTCATAAAAATGAATTTCAGTTAAAATTTTAGATAATAATTGAATATTAAAAGCAATAACGTGAATTTTTAAAAATAATTGAATCTTGAAATTAATTTTTTTGAAAAAGTTCAATTGCATTTTTTAAATATTATTTTAAGTTTTTATTATCTAATACTTATTTAATTGAAGAATTTACGAATAATTGAAATTTCGTAAAATTAAATATTTTGTAAACAAATGGATTTGAAAATTCTCAAAAGACTATTTAAAAAATTATTAAAAAATAATGAATTTATAGAAAAATTTTAATTAAAAATTCTTGAAAAAAATATAATTTTGGAGAAGTTACAAATTATTGCAGAAATTCAATTATTTTCGTAAATAAAATTTTTTTTACTGTATTTAATTATTTTCAAAAAATAATAAAACTCACCGCAGAATTTCAATTATTTTTAATAAAAAATTTGTTGATAACGATTCTTCATAGGAATTGAGTTTTAAGAAACATTCAATTATTGAATAAATTATTTATTTGCATTTTATTTGTATTTAAATAATCGAATTCTAGTAGAATTTACTAATAAAAATTAATTTAAAAACGAATTTCAGTTAAAATTTTAGATAATAATTGAATATTAAAAGCAATTTAGCGTAAATTTTTAAAAATAATTGAATCTTGAAATTAATTCTTTTGAACTCAGAGTTATCAATATCTTCATGTTTTAAAATTATGAAAAATTTAATTTACAGTTTTAAGTAAATTGTTCTCTTATTTGACTCGGACTGGTTATAATTTTGTCAGTTGGTCCGTAAATGGTCCGTAATTTTTCATTTTTGGTCCGTAAAGTCCGTATTTTTTTATTTTTAAATACTTTCACTGGTTCGAGCCCTGTATTTTTAAAATCTTCATTAATTTTTTTTTTATAAGTGAAGTTGTATTTAAACATTTATTTTAAAATCTTGGTTAATTTACATAGTTTAAAATTTAATTTAAATTAAAAAATTTAAATTTAATTTAATTTAAAAGAGTTATTTGGATATTTTCAGATTTCAATCATGTTGACATATTACGCAGCTCAATTAGGAATTGCATTGAGTGCCGTTGAATCAAAAGAGAATAATAAGCCAAGCGAAGTTCAACGATGAGCTAATTAACATTTTTTTCCGGAAAAAATACTTTTTCAAGAAAATTTGAAATTTTTCTATCTATAGAAAAGAATTTCTTTTGATATTTTTGAGTAAATTCGGTGATATCCAATTTACGACAGAAACAATACGTTATACCTCTTGTACAAAAAAAATAGCTAGATATATATTTTTAGAATTACTTTTAGACCTAATCGATTGCTATTATTTCGATTAATATTCTCATATTTTATATATTATCACTTTTCTCCAGTGAAAATATTTTTTTAAAATATTTAAAATCTAAATTGATAGCAAATTAGTTACAATTAGTTTAATTAAAAAAATGTTTTTAATATTTATTTAAAAAAAAATTTTTTCTTTTAAAAATAAAAAATTATTGAAAAGAAAATTTTTCTAAAAAATAAAAATCGTTGTGATAAAAAAGTAAAGAAAGAAATAAAACAGTTTTTGCGAATAATAATATTTAAAAACTGTTTTTTTAGCTTGAATACGGTTTTAATAACATATCAGAAAAGTTGATAATAATTATCAACGTAATATTATTTATGTTGATAAAAACATGTTATTTGTTTTCGAAGAAATGTATTTTTATGTAAAGTTTTAAGTTTGACAAAAAAAAAATATTTGCATTTGTTATAAAATTATAAAATTATATTTTTTTATTTTTTTTTATTCTAAAATAGAAATTTACTTTTTCTAATGTAGAAAAAAATATTTTTACAAAAAATCTACGTGTAAAATGCGGTAATAACGCTTTAAAAGTACTGAAAAATTAGAAAAATTAGAAAAATTAAATGTATATTTAAACCTGTAATATTTATACCTTAATGTGGTAATAATTCGTTTGGTATTAATTTTTTTAATTGGTTATAGATATTTCAGAGTTCAGTCAAAGACTAGTTATATTACAGGTTAAAGGCAAAGTTGAAAATTAGATGTTCGTAGATGTAGAAAAGAATATTTTTAATATAGATTTATTTAATTCACGTATTCAATATAATATATTTATGTATTCCTAATGGAACAATATTCTTTTTAAAGAATGTATTCGATCTGTGTTAATTAGAATAAGCGCTCTCTATTTGTAGAATAATTTTTCATAGGTTTGTATAATTTTAGTAATTGTAAAAGGTGTTCTGAATAATAATTAAAACATCAATTTTCGTAATATTTATATGAGATAGTTGAGTCCTAAGTCTTTACTGTAAAATAAGTATAGATAAAGTAGAAACGAAAAATTATTCGGTTCAAACAAAAAATACAAAGATGAAATAAAATTAAGAAATATTGTTTAAATTATAATTATTATTGTATAATTGTTGAGTAATTATTTTATTGTCAATAAATTTCACAATGTGGATGTTAGACTTGATATTTCTCAAATTATTCTCTTTTTATTGTTTTTCTTTCAGACCTGAATGATCCTTAAATTGTCAACAGCAGCAATATCGAGTATAATTTTTTTTTCTAAATATAATTTAACTTTAAAGGGTCAAAGAAATCAGCCATTTTTACAATTTCATAGGTCAAAAATATGGAAAGTTGAAATTTTTTTTTTAAATTCTCGTCAAAATTTCAATTATCTCTATAAATAATAAAATTCTTATTCAAAATTCAATTAATTTCTAAAATTTTTATTAAATTCTTGACAAAATTTCTTCCTTAATTCAATGACTTGCAATGTCTATTATTATTTTAATAAAATTTTCAAAAAATGAATTCAATTATAAAAAAAAAAAAAAAAAAAAAAAAAAAAAAAATTAAAAAAAAAATCTTTTTTTTTTATATTTTAATAAAATTCTACGGAAACATTTAAATATTTTCATAAAATAATAAAAATTTCACAGGAATTCAATTATTTACAAATTTTTTTTATAAATTTCTTCGCAATAATTCACTTATTTTCATAAATAATATAAAATTTTTATACAGGAATTCAATTATTTTTGTAAATAATAAAATTCTTTTTAGGAATTGAAATATTTTCATAAATAATTAAATTTTCACTGGAATTGAATTATTTTTAAACACACTTTTCATAAAATTTTTCGAAAAAAAATAAATTATTTAAAATGATTTTTATAAAATTTTTCGCTAGAATTCAATTATTGTAAAAAAATTAATAAAGTTCTTCGTAAGAATTCAAGTATTTAAAAAAAAATTTATAAAATATAAAACAATAATATTCTTTTTAGGAATTCAATTATTTTCATAAATAATAAAAATCATTGCGGAATTTTAATTATTTTTAATTCAATTTTAATCAAATTCCTCGAAAAACGTAATTATTTTTAAAAAATTTATTAAAATTCGTCAAAAGAATTTAATTATTTAAAAATTTGTTGATAAAATTCTTTATGAGAATTCAATTTTAAGAAACATTCAATTATTTAATAAGTTATTAATTTCTGTATTTAAATAATTGAATTCTTTTGAAAAAGTTTTATTGAATTTTTTTAAAAATAATTTCAAGTTTTTATTTTCTAATATAAATTTAATTGACAAAATTTTGCGAATAATTGAAATTTTTGTAAAGTTGAATTGTAAACAAATGAATTTGAAAATTCTCAAAGCTCTATTTAAAAAATTATTAAAAATAATGATTTTATAAAAGAATTTTAGTTAAAAATTCTTGAAAAAAAATATAATTTTAGAGAAGTTACAAATTATTGCAAAAATTCAATTATTTTCGTAAATAATAAAATTTTTTTTTAGGTATTCAATTATTTTCATAAATAATAAAACTCATTGCAGAATTTCAATTATTTTAAATAAAATTTTAACCGAATTCCTCGAAAAATGTAATTATTCTTGAAAATTTTATTAAAATTCGTCGAAAAAATTCAATTATTTAAAAAAAATTGTTGATAAAATTCTTTATAAGAATTTAATTCTAAGAAACATCCAATAAATAAATTGTTTTTTGTATAATTAAATAATTGACCTTTCGTAGAATTTTCTTATAAATATTGATTTAAAAATGGATTTCAGTTAAAATTTTAGATTATTATAATTAAATATTAAAAGCAATATAGCTTGAATTTTTAGAAATAATTGAACTTTGATATTAATTTTTTTGAAAAAGTTTAATTGAATTTATTTTATTATTTTAAGTTTTTATTTTCTAATATTTATTTAATTGAAGAATTTACGAATAATTATTGAAATTTCGTAAAATTTGAATATTGTAAACAAATGAATTTGGAAATTTCCAAAGAACTTTTTTGAAAATTATTAAAAATAATTGATTTAAAAAAGAATTTTAGTTAAAAATTTTAGAAAATAATAATTGAATATTGAAATGATGAAAATAATTTTAAAGAAGTACAATATTCTTATTATCAGAAAAAATTGAAATTGAAGAAAACAAAACTGATTTGGTAATTTCCACACTTCGAATTTTCCAAATGTTGGCGCCATTTATAGATATTTGATATTCTTAGGATTGGTACTAATTTACCTTAAAATAAAAGTAAAAACTAAAATAACCTTATTTAATTCTCTTTTATTAACGATTTCCACAAGTTACATAATTTTTCTACAACCTTCAAACATATTTTCAATGTTCTATAGTAAATAGAATAGTGTATTAAAATGTAGAATCTAAATCCTCGCTCATGACATTTCGAGAATCTAGCTCATCGCTTCTGACACTTTGAGAATCTAACTCATTGCTCCTAACACTTTTAGAATCAGAATTCTCCTCTACCGATGGTTCAATAGTTTTTTTATTTAAGCAAATAGTTATTTGGTCAAAAAATAATTTATAAAGATAATCCTTCAGGTATTCTCTTAAATTAGACGGGCAGTTTGGATTCATTTTAAGAAGTTTTCGCAGTTTGCTTTTAACGTTACATATTTTTAAAAGAGCTTCTTCAGATGATTCAGTAAACTTAATGAAATATTTATTGGCATGAACAATTAGATGATCGCATCCCTTGTCAAGTTTTCCAAATTTATTTGTAAATTCCTCTCCAACCTATAAAACAGTTTTGAATTAATGTTATTAAATTCTTTCACCTTTAATAAGTTTTGAAAGAAGTTTTTATTTTTCAAGTTATTTCAAAATAATCATATGGTATAAATTAATTTAGCTATTTAGTGAACAGAAACAGATATTTTTGACATTTCTGTTAAAATTTAGCTCACCTCATGAAATTGATCGGTAAAATACTTTTCCAGTTTTCTGATTTCTGTATAACTTAATCCAAGTTTATCGTTGTAAAATTGTGCCCAAGGTTCTATTTCGAATGCATGATGTACCTTGTGAAAATTTATTAAAAATAAATTAAATAAAATTACGTCCACTTCTTCGAATTAGCAATTCATTATCATATAATTAGAAAATTATTCACTTACATGGAAGATGTAGATAACAAGAAGTACTAACACTTGTTTCGTAATAGAAGACATTTTCTTCAAATTGTAGCGATCTATTCAAAGTACTAGTTACTTATGGTAAAACTTGCTTAGATTACACATATTTCTTACTCTTAATTTTCGAATGTTTTACACACTTCCTTTAATCTCGTATTTTATGTCTGAATTTGTGAAATATGAATAAAACGTGACCTATAGTAGTCATCAAAAAGATTATTTGTCAATAACATTTTTTTACAATGTCACCATTTTTTTAATACAAAAAATAAAACTTGTAATTAATAGCCTATCAGAAATTGTGATAATCATATGTTAATTGTCAATTCTGTTTTATAACAATTCTGTTGCATGTCAATTGTGTTACATGTCAAGTCTGTTAATTGTCAATTCTGTTGCATGTCAGTTACGTTACATGACAATTATGTTAAATATTAATTGTGTTCAATATTTTTCTGTTAAATAACTTTTTGGTTGTTTGTCAGTTGGGGGATCATTCATACGTCCTGTTCAAAGGACCAATTGTTCAAATTTTATAAACGGTTCTAAAGATGACTATAAAACGGTTCTACAGGTTCTTTATTAATAAATAAACAAACATTTCATACTTCTTCAGTTCATCATATTTAAAATAAAATTTCCAATGTTATATATGCAAAAAATATTCCAATAGATAACAATGTATTTACGAAATATTGATTCTGAAGTTCATGGAAATTTTCTTTCCTTAACGTGAAAAAGTTACAAAAATTATTAACGGAGACATAGATTGGAAAAACATAGATTTTTATAATTCCGCTATTTAGGGTCTGTTTTTGTTTTTACGAAAGATAGTATCCCATAGTAACAAGCGGAAAAAATGTATAAACCTGCAATTTCTTCTCGTAAAAGTGACATTAAAAAAATTTTTCCTAAAAAATTCAAAAGGATTTTCGTAATCTTAATCTATGTTTGAGGCTAAATACATTTTTCCTTTTTAAAATTTCTTTATAAAACAGAAAACTTGACATGAATTTGCTTTAAAAGGAATAAACCTTGCCTGAAAGAGGATTAAGTTTTATGAAGAGTACTGAACAGACGATATTCGAATAACGTTGTAAAATTGTTGTGTTTGGTTATAATTACAGAAAATAATGATGAAGTGTACAAATATTAATTGTTGTTTAACATTTTTTGGTGTGGTCATTCTTGGAGTCGCAGCGGGTAGTAGTTATACTAAAGGATTAATAAAGTACCTAAGAAGGGAGTCGAGACTACATCAGGTAATGTTTATCACTGACGATCATCTACTCCAAAATTCAAGTTCAAGCGCCGACTATCTGATCAGAGATGTTTCTCACCATTTTCCATCGTTCAGTACTAGTTTCTCTACACTGAACGAAAGTCTACACAAACACTTTCCACCTTCTGCACGACCACCAAGACGAACGACGTTATTCATCATGATTCTCAATGGCGATCAAGGTGGCAGTTGGTTTAAACTTGTTTCTGCACTTATGCAACTGAAGCAATTGTCGCAGGGACATTCTTATCCAAAATGTTTGATTAACATTATTTCTCAAAAAGAATCTCAATCGATAAAAGAAATTCTAGAATATTTTTGGTCTCTTGATTTTCTGGACATTGCAGTTTTGCAACACTTGAGAGAAAACGAAACATCCATGGAATCAGGAGACGGTAGACTGCCTGTTTTGCATAAAATCAATCTTTTTGCGAAAATTTACACCGCTAATAAAGTATCAGCCAAGACAAAATGGTTTCCAAACAAACTTCTAAATCTGCATGGATATGAAGTAAGATTCGGTCTTGGTTTCTTGAAATATAATGACAACAAAGAGCATTTTAAATCCCACTTGAGATTTGCAGGCATTTTTTCAAAAACAATGCATTGTTTTCTTAAAATTCAAGAAATCCCATCTTTGGATGAACATTCATTGTATGAGACTGTTTACCAACAGAAATTGGAAATGTTCTTAAATCTGAGGCAGTTCGTGATTTCAGAAAGTCTTTCTTCAAAAAAACCTCTGATACGCATTGTAGACTTTAGAAATGGGAAGGCTGTGATTCCAATTACATTGAAGTTTACTAGAGTAATCGTAATTTCCAGAGAATTCATTTACATGTTAGTTTCAACCACGGTTGTAATTGTAACAATTCGAATCACAGCTTGGATTTTAAAATTCAACAGGAAAACTTGGCAATTGTTCAACATCAGTCGAATTATAATGGGCATGTCTGTCACCAGAGAACCTGCGAAGACAGTGGAGAGAATAGTTTTTGGAATATTCTTGTTGAGTTGCATTGTCTACTCAAGTTATTTCTACTCAGTGATCTTGGACATCTCTTTGCAAGCCGAACCTCAAATTTCAAATCTCGAAGAACTTGCCAACTCGTCTCTAACGCCGTTAGGATCTCCTTTATCAATAAAGTCAATCCTTGAAAGTCCTATTTATTACATTCGAAAACTAGGCACGAAAGCAAATTATACTTCTATTGTGAATACAGATAATGAATGTTTGGCTTACTTAACGAAATTTGCAAATGTAACTTGTATTACAAATGATATAATTGTTAGCAAATTCAAGAAGCATTCAGAATACAGCGGCAGAATACTGCAAGAACCTGTGTCTTATTTTATTGTGAGCTGGTTTGCGAGAGACGGATCTCCTTTTCTCGATCGCTTCAATGAAGTAATACTCAAAGCATCAGAACACGGTTTACTGCATCCTGCTCTGCACGAAAATAACAAGCAGCCAAATAGGCCTTCATCTCCTGAAGAAATCAGTAAGGAAAAATTGCTTATGATCGTCTGTTACTTGCTTGTTATAGGATACTCCGTCGCAGTGTTGTCTTTTATTATGGAAATAATGAGCGTTGTTAATTGGCAGCGTAAAGTTAATGCATTTTATCATCGATGCTGCAACTGTATGAAGTAAAATAATTATGACGAAAAGGATTGTTACACTGAGAGAAGATAATTCAGATGCTGCGAACTAAAATCAAACTCGATTTTGTCTACACTCAGAAAATTTTAGTGAGGCTGCAGGGTTTCGTCTGTGTGAGCGCAGTCTCACAAAAATTTTCTCAGTGTACTGACAGATTCCAGAAAAATTAAAGAAAGTTATTGTAGTTTAACATTATTATTATATAAGAAGATTATATAGGAATTTTAGCTTTCCCTTAATACTAAGAAGAATAAAGAATAGGGTCAATTAGGGTAAATCGAAACAGTAGTTATTATTTGAGTTAAATAAGAAATTTTAAAAATAAATACCGCCTTAAACCTTGAACCTTATAGATCATTCCCAACAGGTTCTAAGTATTTTCCCATTTTCCGTTTGTCAATTAGTAGCAGTATATACAAAGATATTTCCTATTGCAGAAAGAATTGATAATCAAAGAAGACACCCTTTCACTTTTTTGACTCGCATTTGGAAAAAAATAAACTAAAAATTCATATTAAAATTTATAATTATCTCTTATTAATTCTAAAACAAAAATTAACTTTGGTTTTTTCATTTTGCAAACTATAATTAAAAATAGGAGGCTGTTTCTATTTATCCCTAAAAACTGAAAATTCAGGGTATATAGAAACAGAATAATTTCAATAATATTTCTTATAATATAGAAAGAGAGAAAATTGTTTCTATCAAACTACAACACTATTTTCAGCATTACAAAGGAGAACGAGAGAGAATAAGAGAGAACAAACCTTTATTTGGGTAATGTGTCTCAACTTTTGGCATGGTTTATTTTTAAACTTATGTAGTGTATTACTATTTATTAGTTTGAATTATTTTATAACTAACAACATTTTTATGTAATTTTTTGTATATTTTAACATTTCCATACTTGAAATTGATTTTTTTTAAATTTTGTAAGAAATAATCAACTGTTTCTATTTATCTCTAAATTTTAGCAATGTTAAAAAATTTAGGGGTAAATAGAAACAGTTGATTATTACGATTTAATGATACCTATATATTTTCTACTACTCCATAAAATTGTTCCACGAAAGTGGAATAATAACTCAATACACAAAAAACCGAAAGTATTCCGATTAAGAAGAAAAAACTTATGTTATTGGTGAAACTTAGCAAATCTGTTTCCATTTACCCCAACTGACCGTACTATATAGGATTTTTGAGTGACTAGAAATATAGTGCGAGCGTAGGTACTGTGGAAAAAAAATATGCCGTCGATCTTTAGAATTTGCTATCTCGTAAGCACAATAATATTTATTAATAATATAAAATATATTATCATTAAAAAATATTAGATTTGGGTAGATTTGTAGACTATTGTAATATCATTAAAAAAGAATTTTTCTCCGTGTGTATCGAAAAAAATGTATATACGTATTTCTTTACTTTGACTTTTGAGATTTTGATGAAAATTACAGAAGTTATTATGAATTATTAAAATTTAATGTTTTCAAAAACAATTTACTTTTCGAATGCGTTTTTCTTTCTCAATATCAGAAAATGGAATGTAATATGCTACATGAAAGTCTTTAACCTTTATCTTTAAAAAATGATAAATTTTTTCCCGTTTTTATCCGAATGTGGTGTTTTTTTTACTTATAATTATAATTTACAATTACAATATATATTTATAATATAATTTTGATACTTCACTATACAAAAACTAAGCAAATGCATGCATTGAGATTAAAAAAAATTGTAAATATTAAGTAAATAAAAAACACTACATTTGAATGAGTTTTGTCCTTTTTCAAAGATAAGGTTGAAAAAAAATTGAAAATTTAATGTTTCCATCTTTGAGAAAAAGCACTTTTTAAGTTTAATTTTAACTCTTTGGGGTATTTCCATTGCAGATACGTTATTTTTGATTGCATATTTAAAAAATTCATTTTCCAAAAAATTTCATGTAGCATAGTTCTTCCTATCGTCTAATATATTGTAGGAGAAAAACGCGTTAGAATAATGTAAACTGTTTTTAAAAACATTAAATTTTGCTAATTCATAACTTCTAACTAAATACAATGTTGCTGCGCAAATGAATATTATATTTGATTATTAAAATTGAAAATGTGTTTCGACAATTCTATTGTAGTAATAGAACAATGACGTGTGAGTCATTCACAAAATCTATCGACAAGAAACCAAATTTGTGAATCAG